TGAAATGCATGAACTTGCATTGCTCTTTGAGGCCCGTTTACACTTGCAATTTTATGTGCGATTTACGTCTTTTATATAGATGTGAACGAGTGAATTATATAGTTACAGATGTTCAAATGTAAGAGCTCTTATACATCAAAGCATTCGTAACTACTCACTCGTTCACATCTACCAAAAGAAGAAAATCGCGCACATGACATGGGACCAAAAATTGCAAGTGTAAACGTTGTTATCATTCGTTGTTATCATTAGAGCAAGATTTTTTTAGCCTAAAGTAGCTATATATATATACATGTTTTCCCGATTTGCAATCAATTCTCCCTTTAAATGGATCTCATGCATGGCGTGTTTTATTCTTTTTTATGTAATTAAGACGCTCTCGATCGTCTCAGATGCAGGTGAAAAACTCGGATATCATGATAAAAGAAAAAAATCTAATGACTTATAACTAATTGTTTGGTTTTGAAATATACCTTGACACTTTATTTACAAATAGTGAATATATCGATACTTAATTAAAGGTCCATGTTATATATTTTGAATAAAAAATTAGGTATATAGATCGATGGGGCGACGTAAACGTCAAGCGAAAATGACTTACCGTGTGATTTTATTCCATCGAATTCTTGAGTTTCGTTTTTGTATACAAGCTCTGCAATGAAGAATTTATTTAATGAAAGATTTGTTATAATTGTTCATTTCGTCTAATACGGCAGTTTGTTAATGAGATAATTAACAAGTTGTTCGGACGAATTGTTGTTACAATAAATCAAAAGCTGTGACATGCAAATAATTATTATGCATTAAATGTGACAAAATAGTTTACACATGCAGGGGTCGGTCTATCATTTTATTTAACAAGCAAACTAAATGTTTTTAACTTTAATTCAACGATCTTGTTTACAACGACATATTCAATGCATAATTAAATATTCAAGTTGACTCATTCAAGAGAGATGTAAGAGTGCATGTTATTTAATTTTGACTTATCCACCGTTTAAGCTAAACTCGCTTGATACAACCGGCCCCAGGTCTGTAGTTGCGACATCTTTCTAAAATCAAGCGCAACCCAGCAATGCAACTCTCTTTATATCCCATATATCTCTATAGCTTATAAGTCTCAACTATCTATAGAAACACGTTTGCATGTAATTGCATGGATGGGGTATATAGGGGGTCGGGACATTGCAAAGGAAAGGCGGGTGAGCGGATATTTGTTACAGGGAACTTCAATATTGACGCATACTTAAGGCGGTTTTCCACTAGGCGAGAAATCTACCGTCGCGGATCCCTTTCACGGGTCACAATTGAAAAGAAAATCGAGCGAAAAATTTCGTTTGGTCGAAAAATTCGGCCTAGTGGAAAACCACCCTTAAGGCTAGTTTCCACTCAGGAAAATTCTCCTTTGGATCGGACAGGACAGGAAAATTTCCTTTGTCGGTGAGTTCTCAGGCGGCGTTTATACAAAGGAAACTTTCCTGTCCTGCCCGATCCAAAGGAGAATTTTCCTGAGTGGAAACTAGTCTTTAATGGCGGTATAGGCAACGTATTTCGACCGAGCGACATTCTTCGTCTGATATTCTTTTCAATTGTGACCGGTAAAGGGGGTCCGCTACGGTCGAATTCTCACAATTGAGAGAAAATGGAGCAAATGGAACACCCCAGCCACTTAACGTTTTTCGCGCCCCTGCTTCCATCCATTACCGGTGTCCCTGAGAGAAAGCAACTAATCGGTAGCGGTCTTGCCAACATCGATAAGTGGGGTGGACATATGGATTCATAAATCATGCATGTTCGCAGACCGTGAAAACAAGTAATTTCAAAAGAAATGTATAAAGTAAAACACGAATATATAAATATGTCCCTCCAGTTGCTACAACACTAGTTACCGTTGTCAATTCACTTCAAATCAGTCTTGGTTTTTAAATTCGGAGAGACGTGAAACAAATATTATATTTTTTTTATAGCTTGCATGCGATAATATATATATCTCGTAATGATTAGTATCCATCACAGAATAAATGAAGAGGTTTAAATGCGATAGTAATTCACCAGCAAATTTAGGCAAAATGAGAAGCTATTGATGATAAAATATCATTTGCCATCTGGTCAACAACTTAACAGCTTTAAAGGGAATTATATGAAGAGCCGACAAAAGACATTAAGAAAACAGGAATATTTTCATTGCTAAGATATATAGGGGTTTTTGATACGGAAGAAAGACGGGCACTAGCCCTTCTCGCCACAAATGAAAAATCGGATTATTATAGCCCCGTCTTGGTATCTGTAGCTGTAGTATATATATGGAAAGGCATACATGAACTATTTTGCTTTCTACAGGATATCTCAGGAAAAAAAAACCGAAATAGCAATTACCTGACTTTTATGCAGGATATATTAAACTTAATGATTTAATCTTTAGGTTGCATGAAATTGCAGCTCTTTGGATTTTTATTATTGCCTTTCTCATTTAATATTAGCAAGAAATGATCAAGCACTTAATTTAAAAATAAAAAGTTAATCATCGAAAACAAACTTGTCCAATTGAATGCAAAATGTGATGAATGCATACTTGATGCCGTATATATATGCATGTGTCCGTGCAGCATAAGGCCCGTTTACACTTGCGATTTTTGCTGCGATTTTATTTGTGGTTTTCCTCTTTTGATAGATGTGAACGAGCAAAAAGTTACGAATGTTCTGATGTGTACAAGCTCCAAGTTGAACATCCGGAACTAATTCACTCGTTCACATCTATCAAAAGACGAAAGTCGCACACAAAATCGCAGCAAAAATCGCAAGTGTAAACGGGCCTTAAGAATGTCCATTTGATTCCCAACAGCAACATGCAAAGGAAAACATTGTTGGAAAGCTAAAAACTCCTCTTCCTTTGTGTAAAAATTGTTAAACCCAACATATATGTAATGCATTGTATGACGTTAGATTTCCGAGACATTCTCTACAACACTTTCATCACTAAGCAATTTATATTAAGGATTAATATTCCATAGAGTTTCAATGTTAATTTATAATATAACATAATATGTTTCCGACCTTAATCTGTGGGGGCGAACGTGTCAGCCAAGGCTAATGTTTTTTTCCAATGAGCTTCTGTCTCACAATACTAACATCTCTCTGGCATACTGAGGGATATGCAAACCACATCCCTAAAACGGCTTAAAACGATTAAGGTAAGGGATCAAGTATTAGAAAAAGCAAGGCTTTAGCTTGAATTCATTGTTGAATCATGTAGAGATTGCACGCGTTAGTTCCGAGCATGGTTTGACTTTAAACAGATAGAAAATTCTTGATATTGCGAAAGGCAGTGGCGTAGTCAGCCCGGCAATTTAGTCATCCTATGCTAATATTTTGGTGTTCATTGACTGTGAAAACAATGAATTTGTAAAAAAATGAATAGCGATAATAACATAAAATTTGCATGACTAAATCGTCATGCTGGCTACGCCACTGGCGAAAGGTACAAATTTTCGGTGTTCGCTCTTCCTTCTATACGGGTAAAATCGACAATCGAAACTCTTTTATATTTTGCACAAATGCACTTTACCGCGGAAGACATGCAAGCATGTGTATTCGCCCTTCGGTGGTAAAAATAGAATTATTCAAACTTTTCTACGTGGTTTAAGTGCTTAAAAGGTTTTCAAGAACCGACTGCACGCGCTTTTCCGACGCAGACATACACCTGGTGTATTGGCCTGTATAAGAGGCGTCTTTGCATCATACTTAACGAAAAACTAAAAATTCCATCCGTTTGAAAAGATCGCAGCCGGCAAAGGTAGGTGGACTAAAATTCTGTGATGTTTAAGTTTGGTTTCTATTTTACTATAAAGAAGGCTTTATTTATATGTCTTTGATTCGACTATCCGCGATAAATAAAATTAATTAAGTTAAAAGCGACTGTCAAATTGGATCAACAAAGCAACGCGGTTCGACGATTACTTTGTATTCATGATAAACATTTGCATGGGGTATTTTTGCGTACAAGTTGATATACCAGTTGATTCCCATTTTGATTAACTGTGGTTTATTGGACATAAGTTTTTGAGTTTCTGAGTTTTTGTAGCCTCAAGGGCAGGGCCGTCGCTAGAAGCTTAATTGGGGGGGTGGGGGGTGGGCATATTCATATATTCGTCTTAAAGCGATTCTCCACCCGCGAGTCTTCACCCGCACGGGCGAAGCGGCCTTTCTGCCCATGCATGGTCTCTGCTGCGTCATTGCAACGCCGGCAGTCGAGTTGGTTTGCATGGGATTTCAGCCACTTGAGGCTGAGTCGCCGTTTCGGAACGTTTTACAATCTCAGCTGAGGTGCGTTTCCAAACGTGTTACAATCTTTTAAAATAGACAGGTTATTTGGTAAAATGCTTTTCAAAGTCATTTGAACGATCTAATATACATTTTTTGGTTTGCACATCAATAGACGGCCGTGTCTAAATATCAAAGGAAGTTCTTATATGATCGCGTCTTAGTATATAATGTGTCCAGGTCACTTAAAACTAAGTTCCTATGATCGCGTGCTATACATATAAGCTTGCACATCAGTGAATGTGTCCAGGTCACTTAAAACTCAAGTTCTTATGATTGAGTGCTATAGTATAAATATAGACTTGCAGATCAGTAAATGTGTCCAGGTCTGCAGGTCACTTAAAACTAAGTTCCTATGATCGCGTACTATACATATAGGCTTGCACATCAGTGAATGTGTCCAGGTCACTTAAAACTCAAGTTCTAATGATCGCGTGCTATATGCATACAGACACAGACTTGTACATCAGTGAATGCGTCCAGAAATGAGATCACTTTAACGCAAGTTCATATAATCGAGTGCTATATGTATAGACTTGTACATTAGTGAATGTGTCCATGCAGATCATGCACTTAAAACTGAAGTTCTTAATAAATAATGATCGCAGGAATGCTATACATAGACTTGACATCAGTGAATGTGTCCAGAAATTAGATCACCTAAACTCAAGTTCATATAATCGAGTGCTATACAAATAGGCTTGTACATTGGTGAATGTGTCCAGATCACTTAAACTTAAGTTCTTATGAACGTTGTGCTATACATATAGACTTGCAGCCATCAATAAGAGTTTTTTTCGTTCCCTGTAACGGTAGTACGTTGTCAAAACGAAATAAAAACCGGATGAACTTTAAAATGAATCGTTTCTTTTAGCCGTAGACCTCCGTCAAGAAGCATGGCTTTCGCAGGCAACACATGGTGGACGTATCTCATATTTTCGTTGATCGCGACATTTGCATTGCTAGGCAACAGCCTGGTGTTGTTTGTCCTCCTCACGAAAAAATCCTATCTAAAACAGCCATACAACATCTTCATATTCAGCTTGGCTTTGACCGATATTTTATCGGGAATATTCTTGGTAGGTATATTAGTATAGTTGATAATTCCGCTAATATTTACATTAAATGGCGGTGATTGACTGAGCAAACGCTCCCAATATTGCTCTCATACATGTTTTTCTTCATCGGCATTGACGGCCATAACCTGGGAATTGGGTAGAGTTTACGCTCCCCCAGGCTAACCAATGTCAAAGCATCAACCATTTCCAGGGCCATGCGTCGGTGGATGATGATCTCTAAGAGCAGTGGCCTTTCTCGTTGAGACCTTCGCTGGGGTGGGAGGCAATATTCGGAAAAAGGGAACCCCCAACCCATCAGTTCAAGAAGGCCCTGACTTTATTCCATATCTTCACTGCAGGTGATCAGTCGGTACCTATACCTTCCACCTACGCCTGAGGGGGAGATCCACCGGGAGGTGTTCTGCCGTACAATATGGTCTGCGTGGGTCTTGTTCACCTTGGGATACATATCAATCTACACGTGCACCGCTCTCACGTTTGAACGCTGGCTCGCCGTCACCAAGCCTCAAACGTATCGCGCCGTCAGACCAGGGCAAGCGATCAAAGCCGTGGTCTTCGTGTGGCTGTGGGGGATAATCATCAACATCACCACACTGTTCCGGGCAAAATTCATCCCCGAAAAGCAATCATGCTCATGGACATCACTGAGTGTGGCTAACGAGGTGTTTCCGTGGATAGATTTCACACTGCAATCTATTGTCCCGTTCGTATCCATGGTCCTCCTATATTTGCATATACTGCACACCATGAAACGACTGCCGGTCATGTCGGCTGAGCATAACCCGATTAAGAAAGTCACCAAAGTAGCGCTGGCAGCCTCAACAACGATCATAATCGGTTGGATTCCCAGCCGGGTAAGCTTTATGTTGAGCAAATATGGCATAGTCGATCCAAACAGCTTGCTCCACTATTGTCTCATCATGTTGTCGATAGCCAACAGTTGCTGGAACCCAGCCCTCTACGGCATCTACAGCTCGCAGTTCAGAACGGAGTATGCAAAGTTGTACCGGAGGCTGTTTTGCCTGGAAAAACACCACGTGCCTGTCGTGGAGGGAGTCGTGAATAATGGTGCTCGAGAGCGAAGTTCTGGTTCGACTGGAACTCAAAGCACCACCAAAAATACTCAACTTTGAGGTTTTGTAAAGGTCTGTGGCCGGTTGTAGCTATATAAAACTCTTTACATTTTGCAATTGAATAGTTAAATCCTAGTTAACTCAGAAATACACGACTCTGGTTGGCCAATTCTGTCCTTAACTACAATTAAAAGTTAATTAACTAGCCTTTTATACAACTGGCCCCTGATCACACGATCCAGTTTTGTCGAATCCAATTCACTTCTGAGGTATAGTATGTAGTCTGTTTTCGATAAAAATTCTGCATTGGTTTTAGCCAGCGAACTCTATAAACCCAGGAACGATAACTAACTGATATTTGGGCGCCATCTTTGAAGCCAATTTGAAGCCGAATTGGCTACCAGTGCCAGACCCTTCCTATTGTTTTTGCCGGCGCGATCGTCGACCGTGAAAACAAAAATAATAGCAAAGGATTGGCTCTGGTATCCATTTTGGCTACATAATGGTATCAAAGACGGCGGCCGAGTTATCGTTAGGGTCCAGCATAGACAATCAAGGTCACATAGAGTCGACTCAGTGGTTTTAGTTGATTTATCACCTACATACATTGCACGTCAACAGGCTATAAAACATCAATCTAAAGTGAATGGGATCCGATAAATTTGGATCGTGTGAACACACTCTAATACGATATTGAGAAATGTGCTCGCACGACTTAGAACAAAAACGCATTTAGATCGAAAGTTAATTGGTTGCTCTGAATAACTTCAGAAAAGACTGTCCACTTTGATTGTTGCGACGATGTTACGGTTTACAACTATTATAAATAGTTGCACTTGACACACTTTCCGGAAATTGAAATTTGGAAATGGCTTTCAAACAAGATTTGGCGGTGCTGATGGGATTCATAGGTCTTAGTAAAACATGTATTAGTATATTCGTAAATAAAATAATTAAAATCATTGAAATGCTTAAAATGTCAGTAAATGAATAAAAAGAATAGAAACGCATCATCGGCCTAGCTGTTTTCCCTCAAATAAAATTCAGAGCAAGAAGTTTAGGTGAATATACATACATGCTTTATGTTTTAAAAAAGTATAGTCCAGTTCATGTTTCGTCTTTTACGGTTAACAATAGTAGATCAGTAAGGAATAGCTTATAACTAAACATCCATGCTGTAACAACTGAGAATACATATAGAACTATCGGAATTCACAGAAGTTTCGCAAATTAATATCTCTAACAGTGTGACTGTGAGATAACACTGTATCAAACAACACCGAACGAGTGTAACTCTGGACGGTCTGGACCACTAGGAAGTACAGCTTGGAACTGATAGAACTATCCAGAATCCTACTGATACTACAGTTAATTTCATGAATTTTTCGGCAGTAACTTTGGAGTCATATCATTATATTGAGCTGGAAAAATGAATATTTCCTTGATATAATGATTTAATAAATCTTTCCCAATACCTATTAACAAAGAAATAGTAATAGGGGGGATAGCAGTAGGAGGAACTAAATTCCTATTGATTAACTGCTCTCCTTGATCTCAAGAAAAAAAGGGTGTTTTCAATTGGGCGAAATCAAATTATAACATGTATTAAACTTAATTGCAGCCAAACAACCAACAGTACCGGAAGATTCACACAATTGTCTCACAACAATACTGAATAAAAAAGGATCATTCTAAAACATATTAAACTAAAGCAATCGTTAGCGTTGTAAACTTTCCGATCCTAAAGGCCATAGAACCAAACAAGCTATGATGTTGAACGAAAGCTTTAAGGTCTAAGGATGGTATGGAAAATTGATCCACGCAAGTTTTATGGCTTCACGCCAGTAATAAATTTTGCTTTGCTGTCATAGCCAAAGTGGCAAGCGTGACAATTTATATAAAACAAATGAACCTGTAGAGTATAAATTGATGAAGTTTTTACACTACTGAGTTTAGAAAGTTATACTTCAGTTATACGCAATAATTTAACTCCTTTAAGCTTTGGGTTGGATTTTGAGTCGCGCAAGACAAATATGTACAAAATCACGAATTTCACAGGGCTATATTTTCTACGCTTCACATAAACTTTCAATTACACTCAATCTTGTATGTTCTTGCTAGGTATGTAGTCAGCTAAATCTTGCTCTTTTTACTTCTTACACGTCAATATCGCTAAACAGTTACTTAGGATTACACTATGCCGGCCCCGGATTACACTACATATATCAAATTTTCTGTGATCACAAATGGAATTTTCAAAGAACAAATCCTAGGTTTTAAAAGATTTGTTGAAAATACTGGAGGAAACAGTAACACTAAGTTATTTCATCTCAATATTCAGTACATAATGTTTAAAACTTTGGATCTAACAAGCAAAATTGCAAATGTGATCACAAAAACTTTGACAGTGTAAACCGGGCCTTAATCGTTGCCAAATTTCCTTTCTAAATTAAACAGTTACTTAATGGTTTCCGTGGTTGGATAGCCTGATCCAAACACGGGCTTCGACTAATCAGAATACACGTTATATACATGTTATTCTATAAAGAATGTTACTATGTGTGTGCAGTCAACATGCAATGACGGATTTGAATAAAAAAAAATTACATCCGGAGTATTTCTCATCGGTGTAAATGAGTTGTTCACGACAATTACGATTATATGGAAACCGGGCTTAAGCTCTTTTGAGTGAGAGTACTGTTCAGTTACGCTTCACTTGAGTCTCAATATATCACAATCTCGCCGAAACTCATACAACGTTGGCCCAGTGTCTGAATGATAGACCAACCGGAGTGCAGAACAAAACCCATCACAGGTCACAAATACTCATGAATAGCAAGAAAGACTTTTATCGCCTTTGCTATAAACACGAAATATGGCCGAGGCTGAGCCAAACCGAAGTAAAACGGAGACGACTACGGTTGAAAATCAGCCTTTGGAGGAGAAGAGAAAGAGCGTGGATGCGGAAAGCGGTCTGTTGGACGATGCGGAAAACGGAGACGCGGATGACTCTGAAACTGGCGAAGTTATAAAGCCCGATGGTGGTTGGGGATGGCTGGTTTGCCTAGGAGCATTTATTTGTAATTTTGTGGTTTTTGGTACAAACAACTGTTTTGGTGTGATATATGGCACTCTGATTAAAGAACTCAGCATTAGCAGCGCGGAAACAGGTAAGCACTCAATATTAGGCATCTCATACGATTCACTGGGTATGTTATGGCCGTGTAGAGATTGCTGGATGTGAACAGATTTCTGTATCTAAATACGATAGGCTACTATGCAGTATATCCCTAATAAGTCCAGAGAATTGACATTATCGTTTCCAATTGTGCGTGTTTGAAAAGAGTGCTAAGCATTGGCATTATTGAAAGCCGCGATCTCAATGTTTTGTTCATAGCAATTATATAATCCTACGTTAATAAGGAAAAGATAATACACAAACAAACACAATGAATATAGAGCTCTCACGAACACCCATCATAACCCACCATAACCGCGGTCTGATAAAGTATTGTGAACAAATCTTTTCAGCAATTGTGAAAGTAACTAGATTAGATCCGTCACAGGATTCCCAGCGTTATAATCCATAGACATTACAAACAATTAATATCTTACACAATAGATGCGGTCAAATTAAGGCTTCAAAACTACTGATTAACCGGCAGAATTTAATCGACTGAATGATGGTGTAAATTGCCAGGACAAACAGGGCAAACCGATTTAACCACAGACATGCACTGGAGTATATAATTTTCGATACTCTATCACGTGCACGGTAGCTGATAAGTAAAATAGTTAGCGTTAAACAAAGAAAAACGTTAACGTTAATTTCATGTCTGATCGTGTTGAAGAAGTCAGACCAGTATTTGTGCAACCTTTAAGCGGTACGCGCGATATGTTTTGAAGTATGTTGATGATGCGAGCTAGAGGGCTCTCGGGTATTTGTTGTGCTCCGTAGTGTTGGTAAACGCCGGTTTGGGACGATGTATACAACACGTTGACAGTGCTGTTGATACATACCCGAAATACCAAGACTGCGGGGAGCGCGATCTTGGAGTAAAAATAGGCTTGATACAACCCTGCGGTGAATTTTGTATGTATCGAAATAGACCATCAACGCACGCTGTTCGTAGCTTGAAACAGTGATACATAAAAATACTGACGTGGGAGAGCAATAACTGCAGGCAATATACAGGCAATTTCTCATTTACACCACCACACATAAAACAACAAAAAGGATTGATGAGATTGCGCCTCGTATATGTAGGGGGGTTTGTATATGAACTAAATCAGCAAATGTAACTTGGTGCTGGTTGGGCAGAACTTTAAAAAAAAGGGAAGTAGCGAGCAGTAGCATGCCTATAGGACACCTGATTTAACTGGCTCACAACAGGCTGAGCACGAACTACAGTTTTTTTTTTTAAATAAAACTGAAACGGCATTATAAGGCTTGTTTTCATTTAGTCGTAATTCAGTCATAAACATGTCAGAATGGTTGATGTTTTAGAATATTGCCATTTGTCTGCACAGTTAACAATGCCAATTTACATACAGAGAGAAATTTCCAATTGGACTATTTCACATCGGTGAAGATGTCTTGTTTACGACGGTTGTTGACAAGACTAAATGTAAACCAGCCATTAAGGCCCTGCCTGTTACATGGTGCAATTTTTCTTGCAACTTGCATTTCTACTTTTAATGTAGATGTAGATTAGTAAAGCGTCCTAACTCCAAAATGTGGAGTGTAATAAATACAAAAGTCTCGTAGTTGTCAAATTTACATCTCTCAAAAGTCGGATTGTATGCAAAGTTGCATGAAAAATGCACCGAGTAAAAGGACTTTTAGTTATTCCCACAGTACATGATATTTTATGGAATGATAGCAATTCAAAACGCAGACAAAGCGTTTGTTTACTTTACGGACTGTACCCCACCTCTAAAAATGATCGTTTGAAGTTATAGCGAACTATATTCTCGATCGTAACAGCAACAACAAAGGTTAGATCATCTATGCCTTAGTTTTTCAAGATTGATCTGTGACGTTATCATGCAGTTGTAAACAAACGCTGTGTTTACATTTTGAAGTGCCATATTTCATAAAATACCATGTACTCTCAGAATAATTAATACCATTTTTGTTTGCTATTCGTCTTAGTGAATATGTGCTAGAGTTGAGATCGAAAAAAAAATAGAGAACATGTGAGACTTGAGCAATTTTGAATATCCGATCTCATGTTATGAGCAGAACCTATGTGTACTCCCCCCTTTAATAGATCTCGTTAATAGATCAAGAATTGCACGTGTGTTCTACCGTTATTCGAGCATGTACCTTCATTTCAGTATAAGGAGCAATCGAGTTGCAAAATAAATGTGAAATGAAACTATTTTAGGCAATAAAACGAACAATGATCTTTCTTGTTAATGTTCGATCTATATAATTAATACATGGTCCAGCGCACACACTCATGCACAGAGGGTCAGATAGAAAAAGCAATATATTAAGGTAATATACAGGCACGAGGAGTGACGAGGTCACAATTCAAATCGCTCAGGCAATCAAATCGCTTAAACGCCTCACATACAGTGAGTAATTATATTTTACAAAATGAGCTATAAATGTTTAATTAGGGCTTGTTAGGGCACCTCTTAATATGCTATCAGAACTGATTCGCGCGTTTAAATCTGTTGAAGGAGTGATTCAAACGTGAAATTACCAATGAAAGTGCGTTTATGAAAAAAAAATCTAAATGAAGATACACTTCATTAAAATAAACAGAACAGCCGGTGTAATAGTTTCCGATGCAAGAGTGCCACAACTGAAGTTCAAGGTCTCCATATTAAGTACTTAATAATAGGAACACCGCAACATTATATAATTGCGAATTGATTGCTATGCTGTGTTCACACAGTAAATAATATAACAACACCAGGAGTCCCGTGCTAGAACCTTCGGAGTAATAATACTTCAAGGCATGAAGCTAAAGTTATTAGTTTTCAAATGCGAACTATAAGTCGGGATATAAACAAGAGTTTCATGAAGTAATTTATGCTTCAATGTGACATGCCATGCTGGGGTGCAGGAAATCGGATAACTGTTCACCATTCCTTATTTGAACGGTTTGTTCAATCAGCGATGATGCCGCGATAACTTTACTATATACCACGGGATAGCCCTATCACTCTCAAGCTATAGGTCTAGTAATATAATCTCTCTCTTTATTTATACTGGGTAGCTCTATCAGTTCTAAACTGTTCTCCCTAAAGGACAGTAAGTGTCATCTCTTATTGATCCAGTGTTACTACAGGAGCAAACGTGCACTAAACTAACTTTATTTATACTGGATAGCTCTATCAGTTCTAAACTGTTCTTCCTAGAGATCCAGTAAGGATCATCTCTTATTGATCCAGTGTAATTGCTACAGGAGAAACCCTAAACTAAACTAACTTCATTTATAGCCTAGAGGTTCAGTAAGGATCATCAAGGGCAGACAACTGTTCTTCCTAGATGTCCCTTATCATCACGTATTGTTTGTGCAGAACCAAATTTACACTTTTGAAACTGAATATAGCTCCTTCAGTTCCACGGTATTTTCCCAATCTAAAATTAATTGGTTCGTGCAAATAGAACGTGAGAGAATTTAGGAAAACTAAACCGTTCTAGCTCTGACGGTTGCTTTCTTAATTTCAGCGTGGATTGGTTCAATGGCAATGGGTCTAAACTTTTTCTTCGGTCCAATCGCAAGCGCGCTGTGCGAACGCATTGGCTGCCGATTAACGGCACTGACCGGTGCGGTATTGTCAGTAGCTGGACTACTACTCTCGTCGTTTATCACTCCGCAAGATGTGCCTAAGATGTACGCAACGTATGGCGTAATGTGGGGCGTTGGATCCAGCTTGTGCTATGTACCATCCATGGTGATACTTGGCCAGTATTTCGATAAACGAATGGCTTTGGCTAACGGTCTTGGGACGTCTGGTAGCGGAATTGGGACTCTAGTGATGGCGCCTTTAATTCAGTTCCTTTTGTCTACATTAGGTAAGCCATTAAAGAACACCCCGCCCCCAAAATGACTGCGACAAATGATAATATCGTCTCGAAATATTCACTTAACTCCCGCATTTACTCAACTCCAAATATAAACAATCGAAAATGTTTATATAGGTGCTGTGTATTTTAAATGTGATTGGTTTATTCGTAGTCACATGACTTTAAATAAATGCAATGTTTCCCCCCAGGGTAACAAGAGAAAAATTCTTGTCATAACAAAGTGAAGTGTTTTTTTTTTGAAATTAAATTGTTGTATAACATGTGTGTTTTTGTTCCTATATAACAAAGCACTTAATGTACATAATGTACATCATATGAGTTTTGTTTTCCCTCGAGTCTCGATGTTTCCCGAGACCAGATTCTTGGGAAAGCAAAACTCGCTATTTCCCTCGGGAGCATACATTAAGTGTATACTATTCAAAGTCAATTATTATACGGCAAACGGTTTGAGGTACAAAATTACTATAGCCGTAAGATCATGCATGTAGACTACACAACCGAATTATATTAGTCGGAACCTGGGAAAAAGGCTGAGAATGGATATAGGCTACAGAATGGATATAGGCTATATAGCTACGTTTTGTCGGAAAAACGTTTATAGATAAGAAATATAGATAGAAAGATTAATATATGGATAACTAAATGGAGGCACGCCTCCGGGGGGCATATATTCATACATTAGAGTTCTGCATTATTGGTTTCTTTTGAAATCGATTGTTTTTACGGTCTGTGAACTTGAATATATGAATATATGCTCCTCTCAATTATCGATCTTCCGGCGTCCTTGTCTAAATTAGGGGCTGTTTACATGAGCCCGGTTACCCGAGATTCAACGAAGCATGAGATGACTTTGAGGTATTGAAATAAGTCTTTATGACACCAAACAAGCACATGCTATTGTTGTGGTGATTATACGACTGCCAGGGTTATGTTATCTACTCATTTCAATACCTCAAAATCATCTCACGCGTCGTTGAATTTCGGGTAACCGGGCTCATGTAAACAGCCCCTTAGACTCGTTACAAAATGGTCTAAGAAAACAGGGAGCAGTAAAGAATACAGTAAACCCTACTTGCTTCTATTCTACTGCCTAAAGCTCTGTTCACATTAACCAATTTTGTGGGATCCAACCTACTTTCGATTGATGCTTTATAGTCCGTTGACTTGCGATGCATATATAGGTGGCAAATCAACTAAGCCACGCAGTACATCTTTATCAATAAAAGACCACATTTGATATGACAGAGGTGGAATGGGTCCCACAAAATTGGATCGCGTGAACACTGAGCACAGTAGCCTGCTATTGTATTGCTTCACATGAAGTATCCTAATCCTTAATTGAACTGCTGACATATCGCAGGCGCCGCCATTTTTTTCATTGCACTTCACTTGAATTATGTATTTTGTATATATTCACATACTGAAAAAAATGGCGGCGCCTGCGATGATATGTCAGCAGTTGAATTAAGGATGAGGATTCTTCATGTGAAGCAACAAAATAGCGGGCTGCCTGTGCACTGAGCAGACCTTATGGAAAATCATAGCAAAATCTCTAACCTTTCAGGTTGGCGAACCACCTTCCGTTTTCTGGGTGGTACAGCGTCATCGCTTTTTATAGCGGTATGGTTGTTTCGGCCTCTGGCTGGCAGAAAAGCAAAGAACGAGGGGACGGCGCATCCTTGCGTGGACCTAAATATATGGAGAAATAAAGCTTTTATTGTCTGGGTTCTCGCCATTTCATTCTTTCTCTTTGGCTATTTCATTCCCTTTGTCCACTTGGTAAGAACCACAATGTTACTGCAAAACTCACGTATAGTATTTTGCACAATAGACCTCATACATAATGACAACACTTCTCGACGTTTCGACCTGAGGGCCTTCGTCAAGAGAGTTAGTATGAAGCTAATATAGTTAGTTTAGTTTAGGTTTTCCCTGTAGTAACACTGGATCAATAAGAGATGATGCTGGACCTGTGCCGCATGAGCGAATAACAGTTAGGAGCTAATTATTAAATTAAGCAATGTATAAATCATATTAATTCAGAGCTTAGATGAATCCAAATATTAATGTTATTTAAATTATACTATTTGTATCTCCAATCTAACATAGGTGAGACTTGCAAATCTTAATGGTGTGTCTGGGGACAAAGCAGCTTGGCTGATAGGGTACCTATCAATAGCCTCGACCGTTGGTCGGTTGTTTTTCGGGAAGATTGGTGATATGAAACGAGTGAATCGCCTGATCATGTTTCAGACTGCGATTCTAATTATTGGGGCCTCGACTGCTCTACTCTCACTGGCTACGAACTACACAGGCCTGGTGTTATACGCTGTCACATTTGGATTCTTCGATGGGTGTTTCGTCGGTCAAGTGGCTGTTGTTACCTCGAGCATAGTGGGGATGAAGCACCTGGGTGTTGCCTTGGGCTATCTGTTCGGTTCTATAGCCATACCCATGACACTTGGCCCACCTGTAGCAGGTATGTAGGGCGTCAACTCCGCGAATGGTGTTATGGTGCAGCTAAGCTAGCGGTTCATTTTGGCTGCGGAAAATTCTCTTGGGCTACAACCGAATGTCTTAATGAAAATTTTGGAAATCTTTCATCCAACCTTTAATCACAATTGCTTTTAGCTTTATTTCCAGCCTCTAGTTCAAAAATATATAACGTTGCGCTCAGCTATTATACAGAGGTCAGCTGAGAAAAATCGAACGCGCGGGGGTGCTAACCCGGTAAACAAAACCACCCCAAACACCCCCGCGCGTTCGTTTTTTTCAGCTGACCTCTATACAATACCCGAATCCAACGTTATAAATTTTATTACTAAAGCGCATGGGTACGAAGCTGCTTTATTTCATGCAAATCTAGACACCCTAGGCTAAGAATAGAGTCATCTCGGCTCATATTCACAGCCCTCAAGTTCAACATGTTCATGGTCTTCACACCAGCTTTCTCAACTTCGAGTGTGTAACAACGAATCCATTTTTTTGCAGGTTGGATTTTCGACGCGTGGCGGTCGTACAACATCGCGTTCTACGCGGCAGGTGGCACGAGTTTCTTAGGTTTCCTCACGATGTTTTTTATACCGAGACTGATAAAAAAACATTCCGACAAGTGGGAGAAGCAGTTCGACTTCAAAAGGCGAGCGTCGATTGAAAGTCGCCGCAAGCTTTTATCGAGCGCGGACTCGGATCCCCTCGGACCAAGAAACAGTATTTTTGAACTTGAAGTGTTTGCGCCAAACGAGGGTAGCGATGCCTCGGCGGTGACGCAGATCGCGGTGGAGAGGCCGAACTATACCAGAGGCAGACGACGCTCGCTGCCTGCTCTGTACATAAGCAACACGCCCAGTCCGAGTTTGTCGTCCGAGAAGTCGCGACTCTCTCCCGCCGTGCAGAAAATTGCCCGAATGTCGACGGAAATGGGTTCGGCTGCACGGATCTCGGCTGAAATGAGCTCGAACGATGGAGTGAACGCATCAGACTCACCCATGCTCCATTTTCGACCAACCAGTGGCGGTAACATGGCAACCGATAAGCCACGCCCTAACCGAACGAGAGCGAGACGCGGCTCGCTTCCCGTGATAACGCACAAGTCAAGTAGCTACGGCAACCAAGGGGATGCTAAACCGCCACCACGGCTCTTGCTGGTCGACGCAAGCCTTCTTGCGCAACAAGGAATACCGATTGTGAGTGTTACCGCACCACCGAAATTCAATCGTAACAAGAGACGGGGCTCCCTACCGGCCGTGAACTATCCAAACACCCCAAACGCCATGAGTGTACCAAAACCAGTTCAGCCCAAGACATATAACCTTAATAGAAGACGTGGTTCTCTACCGGCTGTATCTCTCACTATTCCGGAAGAAACTCACGGCAATGGTTTAATCGCAACAAAAAATCTTTTGCGAATGTCACCCGGGTTGGGTGTCCGTACCCACAGCTCTCAGAAAGACTCCATTGACGAGCTCGAGGAGGAGGAGGATCATCAAGAACATCACGCGAGAGATAGGGATAATGCGGGATCGGGGCATGTCAGATTATCCACTGCGTCGAGTGGTTATGATACAAACGGTTGTTCACCGGCAGAGAGTTCTGGGGTAGGTTTAATAGCTCAAACGAAAACAGGGGAATAGAAACAAATTACTGGCAATGGAATAATCACTAGTTTTGTTGAATAGAAGAGCGGATGGCTGCGAAAAGAATATCAAGTAATAAATAATACGATACGATAAAGTAATACCTGCAACTAAATCGCAAAAACTTGCAACAAAATCTGATTTCAACGCGTGCCAATTAAAAATGTTGCCAAATGTTGTCGAGAACACATGGTTAAATAATCCCTGTAAAATACATCGAAATCAGATTATTTGCATGTTTGTGTAGTTTCGTTGCTCGTATCATTTGCATTAGTGCTGATTATAATATTTAAACCCATAACGCACTTTCCTTATGCAATTAATCTATCTATACACATGAATAAACATGACTGCAAATTTTAACTGTTCAGAAGTTATACTTCACACCTAACCTACTTTTCAGACAATAAAAATTATCTGGCATAGGCCCAAGTAAAACTTGCTGGTGAGCAGTTACAGGGCACTGTGGCTGTCTAAATTATCAACAACTGAAACCAAAAAGCAGACTCGTCATTGTACAATGTCATGAAGTAATGATCCCGGGATCATTGCTTTATGATATTTTACAATGCTTTTATAAATGCTTTTACAAGATCAGGACGAATTTCACCAAAGAAGTCATGAGAACAGTCACAACACGTAAAATCGGAGACGGCGTTGCATTTAAAAATCGTACTACACCTTTTTGCCCGGTTTAAGCAAAAACGACTGAATCCAACATTTTCATGGCCAAAATGGTAGGTTGGAATCATACAACTATTCCTCACTTTTTCACTACGCAGTTTGTAAAACACCAGACCAGACAACACGCCAACCCATTCAATGAACTCACTGTGGATTAATTTACAAAACGTAACTGTCAAAAGTAGGGATTTATTATTCTCCACCATTTTTGTTAATTGAAGTATAAATTTTCTGTCAGGTAAAAAGATAATCATATTAAAAAAAATAGTCGGTGTCAAAACGTTTATCACCAGCTTTTACACCTGTACCATACTAAAAGATCATATTTTCTGAACGAGTCACTGAGGATCATAACAGGAGACAACGAAACGGTTAACATGAATATATATATAGTAAAGTCAATCAATATTGTATATACTGATCATCGCTAAAAAATAAATAAACAGTAATAAAAACCACCTCGATATCAGACTGAGACATACAACCATAGGCCTACGGGCGCAACTTCGTTCGGGGAGGGGGGGAATTGCCCGAATTTTTTAATTTTGCAATGTTCCCGAATTATAACTTTTACCAGGTTTGTAACAATAGACTTGACAAAATTTAAACTTAAAATTTTTTACTTAATAGAGTTAAAAATTTTGACAAATACACAACTAAATTTAAACTCTATATTTCAATTCAAATTTGAATCATCTTCATTCATTCAGCTAGGTTTGCATCTCTTTATATATGCAATGCTTCCTTAATCCTTATTGAGTAATACATTCCAGTTATTAGAGGAGTTGGAATAATCTATTGGGAACAACTTTTATTTTATACTAGCTAAAATGATGAAAAAATGTAATATTCAGTAGCAGTAATAAGCTTTAAATTACCTGCCTGTGGCTTGGATTATAATGATTATTATAGAGATAGATAATTAACACACATTCCAGGAAGGCCAGAAAATGCCAAACACTGTATGCTATTTAACTTATTTTAATTGCCATTCTTCTTGGTTGAAAATATGTGCAATCTTGTATCATTCTTTTGCTCCACAATGTGTGAAATATAATACAGGCAAAACACCAATTGATGACTGATAAAAATAATTAGTGAAACCTAGCTACCAAACATTTACATTATGCCCTTCCCAAACTTCACATAAAATCTGAAAAATCTAATAAAATCTAAAAAAGCTCTAAAAATCTGGTGCAATAGACTAATTAAGTCTTGCTGTAAAATGTGATTCAAAGTAAAATCCAAATTCCAAACAGACAAGACATTTTTGAGTCAATATATGATGCAAACAAGACCCAGGTTGAGACTGTAAATTTTAGACTTTATTTCAAAGTCCTGTTACAGTAAAATTGCTCTTGCAATTTTAAGGATTTCAATGCGAATTTCCTTTCATAAACTGATCTGAAATAACCGCTAATTTACTTGTAAAGACGGTTAAAAAATTAGAACAAACAATTGCGTTATACTATCCTTAATTTACAATTTACTTACGATTTCAATTCGCAAATGCAGGTCCACCGTGGAAAATTGGTACCATGTCACAGTATTCATTCCTCGCTTGAATGATTAAAATGATAAGAACGCTTTATTGGTTCAAAGGCATTAATGATTTCTGGTTTTAAAAACGTCGAAACGTTTATTAAAAATACGAAAGGTTTCTGAATTCTCCTCCGTTTCAACTTTCAACACAGTTTCAACATGGTTTCAATATTTTCCCGCTCTACAATAAATACAGCCTTTTGATTGGTTCCCGCGTCGGTCATCCTGGATTTTGATTGGTTGCGCTGCCATTGCCCTGTTAAGGTAGCTCTACTGCGTTAATACACTGACGATCTTGTAACAGCAATCAACAGCATGTCAGCAATCCTCATTCCTCAGAGCTCTGTGCAATCCTTTATTTTTCATCCAAAACGAACTTAATATCCACAGGGCAAGCGCGATAATCTGATGCCAACATGAAAACGTCGCTGATTCTTTGGTACCTTGAAATGGTACCTTTTGTCTGTTTTGTGATGTATACTCCTGCCTGTAATGGGTGTACGAGGTAGGGTAGCGTGCTGCCCCACAGACTGAGGAGAATTCGCGATTTTCGAGAGAATTCGAAATCATTTTTTATTCTAATTATTTATCTTCCCCAACTAAAAGGTATCTTTGGGCCCGTACCCCGTACATGTTTATATGACCCTTGATCTAGTGTTTTACAGTCTAATGTGTAGCCTGTAGGCAGGACATGGGACTTTTTGGACTATTCAGTCATGTTGACTACAAGTTCAATTGTTTTATTGATTGTGAAATTAATAAAATAATAAACTGTAAACGTAGACAGATAATAATTTATTTCTCATTCTCTCAAAAGAGTCAAATATCATTTCTTGTATTTTTCAACCATCCCGGTTTTCGTTGTGGAAACTTCTAGATAGTTCGACAGATCAATAAAATTAATAAACTATTAAGATCCTTTTCGCGAAGGCTCATCTATTGGCTCATTCAATCATGCCAATAATTAGAAAATATACTCTCCAAAACTACTCACGGGCAACACAAATCACAGTTCCTAAGTCCGTAAACCTTTCCTGCTGCCCATTTCACTTCTTAGGGGCAATGTACTCTCAGCCCATGTGTTGGGCTTTGACAACAAAAACTGCCAAAGGTTCACTTCCTCCCCAGTGCAATCGTCCCATGATGCATCACTAGTTCCCAAGCCTATCCGTACTCCTCCTAGAAAGTCGTTACTAGTTCCTATATCGTGATCCCAAACGGTCAACTCAAGGACACGATGTTGAAGTTCGTCCAACGTAAGATTGTCGTATGTAAATTTGTAATCCCATCGGGGATTTAAGTTTCGTTTTTTCACAGGAGTTTTTCTTTTGCTTTTTTTCTGAGGGTCAGGCAGGAGGTAGCTGTAAATTTGTAAGAGATAACACATCATAAAAAGCCCAATGAATGAAAGCTGCACTATTCTTTCCACAGAGAACCAAAAGGAAATATAAAAAGCCTCTACCTATATTGTCTTCGCTGTGTCTACATTTAGTAGACTCTATCAGTTCTAAACTTTTCTTCATCCTACTTATTCAGCATTTATACTACAGTAGAAAACCAAAACTAAACAAACTTTATTTATACTAGATAGCTCTCATCGTTCTCAACTGTTCATTCTAGAGATCCAGGGAGGATCTTCTCTTATCGATCCAGCGTTGCTGCAGGAGGAAACCTTAACTAAACTAACTTCTTTTAAATATGTCATGTAAAAATCATTTGTTAGTAATCACTTGTCAAGTGTCGCGACAGGGGAAAACCAAAATTGAACTAACGTCCTTTATACTGAATAGTTCTTTCAGTTTAAACTTGGACAAGGGGAATCAAACGTACCTCTTGCAAAATGGATCAGACAAGCCATCAGCATCCTTGCCAGGAAGGTTTCTTGCCTCAATCATTTTCACGTAAAGTTTACCAGCTCCCTGTCCAGATTTTCGTTTCTTGTCTGCAGGGGAGTACATTAAGGCAACCACAAGTTGACCTTGGTCATTATCGCTTGATTTGGACTGCTAAATGGGTGAATATTTTACTGTCAATTGAAAGTTATGGTTATAATTGCGTAAGGGTAGATAAGAAATAGTAAGACAAGTAACGCGCTATAAGGTCAGGTAAGGTGAGGTAGTTAAGGTAAGGTAAGGTAAGGTAAGGTGACTAGGTGAGCCTGGTGTGGTGAGCCTGGTGTGGTGAGGTGTGGTGAGGTGAGGTGTGGTGAAATTTGGTGAGGTGAGGTGAGGTGTGGTAAGGTGAGGTGAGATGTGGTGTGGTGAGGTGAGGTGTGGTGAGGTGAAATGTGGTGAGGTGAGGTGAGGTGAGGTGAGGTGAGGTGAGGTGAGGTGAGGTGAGGTGAGATGTGGTGTGGTGAGGTGAGGTGTGGTGAGGTGAAATGTGGTGAGGTGAGGTGAGGTGAGGTGTGGTGAAATTTGGTGAGGTGAGGTGAGGTGTGGTAAGGTGAGGTGAGATGTGGTGTGGTGTGGTGAGGTGAGGTGTGGTGAGGTGAAATGTGGTGAGGTGAGGTGAGGTGAGGTGAGGTGAGGTGAGGTGAGGTGAGGTGAGGTGAGGTGAGGTGAGGTGAGGTAAACTAAGGCAATGTAATGTGAGTTGAGGTAAGAAAAGGTAAAGCTTAGGTAAGACAAAATCACACGGTCTTCAGATTTTAACATGACCCACACATGTAACTTACATTAGGCAATAATGGGTACCAGTCCGGCGCTACTTCGCAACCTTGATAATCTCCCAAAGGAATTCTCGTTTCACCCAGAAACTCATTTCTTCCAAATCTATCATAGTGCCAGACACTGACCCAAATTGTACGTCTTATCAACTCGGACGTGCTTATTTTATACTAAACATTAAAAAATAGAGAAATGGGCGGTAAGCCTTTATAAAGTGAGGACAAGATCCGAACAGGTTTAGAGCATTTTTTAAACAGTTTTAAACAAATAGTAATCTTCTATACAGAATTACCAGCATTTCTTCATTGTACTCGGGATCAAGTGTTCCATATTTCATTTTTGTCTTCCGTTTTCCAGTCCGACTTTGATCTGGCAGCAGGTATACTTTGACGTATCTAGGTTTGAAAAACACCATCACGTGACATGAACAAGGCAGTATGATTGGCTACTTCTAACATGATTGAAGAAGTCATGACTTACGGATTTGATGTGTTTTGTGTTTTGTCGACGGCGGTCAGACCACGCGCTTCAAATATTTTAATTTTAAAATTCCCTTTGAAATACTGGTAACTAATCGATATCTCTCCGTTGACGTCATTGTTGCCATATACACCGTCGTTGCTGTAAATACTTTCACGGCTTCCCTTTATTAGGAAAAAAAAGGTGATAAATTCAATATAAAGCATCTGTAATCAAAAACATAGGTACTGATTACATTTTATGAATAACGAACTAGCCGATATAGATAAAGTTAGTTCAGTTTAGATTTCCTTCTATAGTAATACTGGATCAATAAGAGATGATCCTTACTGGACCTCTAGGAAGAACAGTTTAGAACTGATAGAGCTATCAAGTATAAATAAAGTTAGTTTAGTTTAGGTTTCCTCCTGTAGTAACACTGGATCAATAAAAGATTATCCTTACTGGACTTCTAGAAAGAACTACAAGTGCTATTATAAATATATTAGTTTAGGATCGACAAATTTATTTAAAATATCTTACCATCCATTCGTTGTCGACGCTCAGATTGCTTCCGAGAAGACTCTAAAGGATTTTTTAAAATACATATATTAGGAACTTTATGAAAGGATTTAAAGGATATACATCAACTCAGTTGATAACAATAACTATATGTAGTACAAATAAAGATGGTTAGATATGTAGTACAAATAAAGATGGTTAGATATGTAGTACAAATAAAGATGGTTAGATATGTAGTACAAATAAAGATGGTCCAGGTTTCCTTCAGTGGTAACACTAGACCAATACGAGATTATCCTTGCTGGACCTCTAGAAAGAACAGTTTAGAACTGATAAAGTTATTTTCCACATAAATGATCTTCGCTGGAAAAAATTAATGATATAATACAACTAGAAGTATAGTTTGTACGATGTGATGGAGCATTCCTTAAATATTTGTAAATATTTACATCATTATCGCGATCCTTTTGCTGTATTAAATCAGAGAGTGTAGAACCACCACGTTCACTGGGCTCTTGAGAGAAGAGTTGATTGTCTGAGGAGGGACGACGCATCACCGTAGTCGAACCTTTGTAGAACTCGCTATGACGGACCAGAGGGTCAGCAGCTGTGTCCGTATCTGTGGATATTTCTTCCACTTCTGGAGTGGTTATGATAGGCGCGGGGTTGGACGTAGCGGATGGGTGGGTGGAGGATCGCGGCGCTTCGGAATTAATTGTTGGTGATGATGTGGACCTTTCCTGGAGGAAATAAGAGGATTATCATGTAGTCAACAGCGATGAAGTTACTGAAAGCCCTTGAGATAAACCGAAACGCTAGTGGACATTTTTATCGAATCTATCACTGTTGGGATATTTAAAAAAAAAACGATGACTACAGGGCGCTTGCATACTGCATAAGCCATAGCACTAACTTCTGCCTCTTAAAAAAAACGATTGAATGTCTACCTTGTTCTTGGGGCCTAAACTTGCAAGTTCAGCCAAGGTCATTGTCCTGGCGCCAGAGGAGGGAGGCTCTGGCGTCTCTTTCTTTGATTTATCGTTCGACAATCTCATCGCCAACGCAATCTTGGATTCATGTGGACTGTGGTACTCGTGATGTCTTATCAGCTCCTGATCGGGAGACTGGGATAATTTTTCCGTGAGATATGGATCCAGAGGCTATTACGGGAAAAAGATGTATTATGCGGACAATTTAAAAGTAAAGCAAAAAACAAACTTCGAATAAGCACGACATCTTGTCTTGAGAATACAATTAATATGATTCTTACAAGACACAATTCAACATTTTTTAAATTTTTTTTTTGCATGAATCAAGCTTTCATGAATGAAACTATTTTTTCTAACTGAAATTTTGATCCTTCTGCCTGGATTAAAATACACAAGTTGACAATAGTAAATAGTTGACGATGATACGTATGCTAGAATGAAGGTGGATGACGGTGGATAATGGTTGATGATTGAGTATAGAACGTGATCATGGTCGTGAATGACAGTCGTTATATGATTGATAAAGGTGGATAATATTTAACCATATGAAGGGAAATGATGGTGGATGGCAATGATGATGAAGGATACTGTATTCTAGTTATAGTTTTTCTGTCTCACAGGGGATTTTCTCGTAATGACCTACCGGTCTGACTGGTTTAATCTCCACTAAGTTTGGATCCAGTCCAGTGTTCGAAAGAAATCCGGTTGACCTAAAAAAATGGTAACGTATATCAAAACAAGATACATACAGGAAAATTACCAAATATATTAAAATCTCCAACATATAATTTCAGTAAGATAAGTAAAAAATACAATAAATAGCTTCTATTGAGTTCTTTATTAGGATAAAAAAATTAATTTAAACGCGAGTTGTATATGGTCGATCAAGACAAGATCTGGAAACTCGTTCTAACTTTGGTTAACTGTGCTTTGTTTCATGTTCATGCAGGTTGAAAAAAAACGATTTTTTTAACAAGAAAGCAAATATACAAGATTTTCTTTGCCATCACCTCGATGAATTACTCATGCAGTAAGGTGAAGGAATTTTGATGCACAAAATATTTATTAAATACACAAAGTTATCTCAACATTCATGCAGTGTAGAACTAGTTTCAAACGTCGAAATTTTTATCTGCAAAATCGAAATTTGAGTTTCCAGACCATGCAACCACTTAACACACTGGGTAATTAAAATTTGGTTTAGGAAACCCATACCATATTATTCACAGTTTATTTATTTGTTTTACATGAATAGAAGATATAAATTAAGGATTCAAGAATAAAATAATTATTAAAAATTATTAGATTTACTAACAAACCTCATTTTAGGGATTTTAAGTTAGGTAATATTATCGATGGTATTATGGTAGTTCAATTAAATTAATTTCACAGTTATTTGTAATAAAGAAATTAAGTATTATATTCACGAGTTTTGATTGAGACGATAAATGCAAGTAATTCGTTGTGGACCATTGTGAATAGTGCAAGAGTTCCAGGCTATTCTTTTTAACCCCCTGAGGTCGGCTAAGTAGCTACCACAGAAAGGAGAAAAGCGATGGATTGGATTTTAGTAATACAAGAGAGATTGCTGCAATATAGCATTCAATCTAGAAGCAGCATGAAATTAATTGGCGATATATAGCTATATACATTCTAACTTAGTTGTAAGAGGCTCTAGAAAAGATATCCATGCTTTACATTAAAGTCTGCTTTCGTTAAGAACGCGTACAAGAAAGATTCTAGCGTGGACAGGCAAAGTTAAATTGGTTGCAGAGTTGTTAAATGTGTGTAAGAAAGTCCTGCAAAGTTCTCTAATAATGCGCCTATATTTACCGTACCATGCGAAAAAATTTTTTTTCTTACGGCGCATATTGAGCAAACCCACTAAGTACGATTCCCGTCATTTTGGATGGCAAATTAATTACAAAGTACAGTTACGTAAAAGGAAAGATGCAATGCAACTGCATGAGATGGTAGTATAGTCATGTATCTTGAAGTTTTGCTTGTTATTTTATTAGGGCCGTGAAGTCTTAGTATAGAATTTCTAGCAACTAATTGATAATCTCTTGCCACCCAAAATGGCAACGCAAACGAATTTTATTTTAAGTTTAATATCGGCCATCTTTCCAATTATTTACCATGGTGGTGAATAAACCACTACTCAAACCACGTCAAAAACGTGCACAACAAAATCACATTGATAACGTTCACCAAGAAATACCTTGGGATGGAAAAACGAACTTTACAGTTTAAGCATTACAAAGAACCATTATATAAGAACTATATGTAATTATTGATTCACGCTTCTTTTATATTATATTTTTACCATTTAAATTATATTCATTATCTATCTAATTATAGGTCTTTAATTGGTTTGCAATAGACATGTCATTTTTATATTTAAACATTTGATTCAAGTATATCTAACGCTACTCTCCGTCCTTTTATAATTTTACACCTTGGTCAATTGTTATTCGAATTTTCAATGCCGCATGTATATCTGATTAATGGGGGACTGTTTTTCCTCTCTTGACGCACTTCGTTGCGATTTAAATGACGTCTCGCCTTAAGTTTATTTTCGAGCCTGCATTCGTGGCTTGACCGGCCCTGAGTAGACGAGGAAGTTGAGTAGTAAGTACTGTGTCGTACCAGGGTATGATCGACGTCATCAACGCCGGGGGGTGGCGATGATTTGCTTTCATTTGATTCCTGAGCTGTTACTTGAACTGGACCAGGATTCTAAACAGATTAGGAAAGATACATTGAAACACGACCCAGTGAAGGAGAAGTAATAGAAACTAGGAAGTATTTTTATCGATACCATATGCTGAAGATAAATCTGAAAACTTAAAGAGGTTTGTAGTATGAATAAGGTATAATTCAGGTTAGGCTTCCTCTATGATGACAATGGATTTTTGGGAAGAGTTAAGAACTGACAGAGCTATCCAGTATATATGAAGTTAGTTTAGTTTAGGCTTCCTCCTGTAGAAACACTGGATCAATAAGAGATGATCCTTACTGGACCTCTAGGAAGAACAGTTTAGAACTGTTAGTGCTATCCAGTATAGACAAAGTTAGTTTAGTTTAGGTTCCTTCTGTAGTAACACTGGATCAATAAGAGATGATCCTTACTGGACCTCTAGGAAGAACAGTTTAGAACTGTTAGTGCTATCCAGTATAGACAAAGTTAGTTTAGTTTAGGTTCCTTCTGTAGTAACACTGGATCAATAAGAGATGATCCTTACTGGACCTCTAGGAAGAACAGTTTAGAATTTAAAATTAGTTTAGTTTACCTGGTTAGCATTCCATTCTTTTGCCAATTCTCCCAATGTTTTTTTCTTGCCCGAAACAGGAGGTGAATCACCCGTTAAAGAGGCCGAAGACGTTGAAGGTTGATGAGGTAGTTTAGAAGTTTCATTATCGATAGTTTTGGTAGGCAGGTTCTCGCCGATACGAGATGCAGGGTCCTCTAGGTTCTTTGGGGACAATTGTCGGTATTCCGGTACTTCAGGGGAATTCGACTCGTGTCTCACCGGTGAAGTCGGTTGGATTGGATAATTCTGTGAAATGGAAAGAGATTGTCAGCTTCATAACACTTTGCAGCATGGGATTGAAAATTTTGTGAAAATTTGCCAGAACTAAACCCACTGATCTGCATGTCTGAGCCTGGATGTAGCATTAAACTAAGCTAGGTTGCCAGAGTCATATCATGTAATATGTATAAAATACCCCAAAAATAAAAGTGTTTATTTGTGTTTTACTGCATTAGACAAGCTACAACTGCTCGAGTGTAGACAAAACAAAGACAGATGCGCGCAAATGATAGCCAGTCAACCGTGGGAAAAGTAAAATTTCTTTTGCATATTCAAATGATTGCACACAGATAAGTTACTTTGATAGTAAATCTTAATCTCTCCAGTCACAGCTGCATGCCATATATGGTCCAGCTGCAATTTAATTGTGGCAAATCCGAACCGGTCTGTGCTAGCCACTAGTAATTCTGAAATCTTTAAAAAAGCGATAAGTTTTTCAGAATCTATGGATGAAAACGCATTTGACAGTTTACATGTTAAAATAATGTAATAATCGGGTATTTTCAGAGTTGAAAAATGTCTTGAACTAAATAAAGTTATTCGTTCTTGTAGAAATAGTTTATTCTCATCGGATTTCATATTAAGTAATTTAGTCAGCGACAAAGCGATTTTCGCTATAGTACAGGAACTAATATATGGGAACCAATAGTCATGCTTCTGCCAGCAAATCTAGAAAATCACATACGTCAGGATGAGATGTTTAGAATCGCAAGTACTTGCCTTAGCTTGATTAGTGGGTTCGGCGAACTTCAACGTTATATTTGCAATGCAAGCAAGGGAATCGTGAATAAGGAATGCTTTCGAGTTAAGTGGTAGTTCATCCTTCTTTGAACCTCGTTTTAACATAGGCATCGTCTCCTCGCTACAACTCCGACCTGGAATAGTCCCAGTTTCAACACGAAATAAATCCATATTTATTTCCTAAAAAAAACAATATGAATTATACGAGAGAAAAGTTTACAGTGACCTGATATAGTTGTTTGTGAGTATAATGATATACATAATGGATAAAAAACCTCATATTACCGGTAAATATTTCAAGCATTCGCATATCTATGCAACTCGTCGCATACAGTTTTTAACAAAGGTAATACAAAATCTTGTACCCCAACAACAACAATCCCAAATTCCGCGTCACGGTGTGTCGAGAAAATCAAAAGCAAAGTTCCCGAACAAAATACTGAAAGAGGTTTTACAAAACACCCATGAACACAGACATTCTGAATCGAAGCAACAAACAGAGCCAAACAAAGCCAATCCCAAACAGATATATTGAGCTTTGTTTTTCAAAGCCTCAGGGTAAGTGGGCCTTGACTAATGACGAATTTACGAGGTATTTAATACTCCAACGTCAATTAAACGTCGAAGGAATGCGTTTGAATGAGGTTAGTGGTTTAACGAGCTTATATCGTTTCTAGCAGTTTCGTCCAGGAAAACCTTCCTCAGGACTTTGGACCGACAAGAATTACAACAATATATGGCTTCCGTCGCAAAACGCATGCGCTATAAAGAAAAAACTCTCCCTCCAGGGAACTTTATTCTAAGAAGATATCCACTTCGATAACAAAGGTTTATTAATAAACAAACAGTAAAGCCCTGTTGGGTACACAAGAATTCTTTATTTTAGTACAAAAAGGTTTTCTAAAGGCCGAGTTTAAAATTTGATGTTGCCCAATTGGCCAAAGGTTTGTTCACAAGACAATTTTTTTCGGATCCAATTTATTTCTGATGGATGTTTTATAGGCTATAGGCTTACAATGTATATACAGGCAGCAAATCAACTGAAGGCAATGCAATGCAGTAGTGCCTTATATAACAGGATAAATTCCATACGTCAAAAATTGACACAACAAAATTGGATCGGGGGCAGAGATTTTTAGATCGCGATGTGCAGTATGGAACTCGTATTTCATTGTAAATAAGATAACACTAACTAATCTCAAAGTACGATTCCAGCATGCAATCGATGAGAAATTCATCACAAACAATTGTATATTGGCTATTGCCAAATCCGATCCCAAATACAAAGAGCTTCCTCATTCAAAATGTAAAACGCCTGATGCCTAAAACTGATGATTAACTCTGTCGATAGAATCAATTTCGCATACCAAGCACAAAAAGCTACATAGGCTTACGTGAAGAGGAAATTTGTATAAATTGAAAAGGACCAGTTCATTGCTCAAATCTTTCCCAAAATACAGCGAAAGAATCTTGTTGTTGGATCGTGTTTTTAGGTGTTTCAGGTCAGTACGGTGATGACCACCACGCGAAAGACAAGAGATAGTAAGCGATGAAATCTAGCCACATCGTAGGCAGCGTTGAACGCCGTGGAACTCAAACAAACAAACTATATATGTAAATCACAAACAGCACGGAACTCGAAGTTGGCATCGTATATTAAATATAAAATTGGAAAACGCCTGGAAAATATAATTACCTTTGCTAAATACAACGCGATGATCTTGGATGGGCTCGAGTTCAAAATCTACAGCGAAAGAAGACATTTTGAAATCAACCACAGCATACAATACGTCCTCTCAAGAGCCAAATGACCGCAGGTATAATATGTATACATCATGCCATGAACGGCAAACACTTAGCGCTGTCATTGTGAAGCTCTTGAGAGGAGAAATATAACAAAAAGCAAGAGAAATATCTCAAGTGACTTGCCTGAATGTGGATGAGGTGTTTGCCGTCCTGTCTATAGAAAAAAACCCCTGCGTGCACTCGAAAATGGAATCTTCTGCGATGAAATCTGGCTGGCGCAGTTAAAGCGTGTCGTCCGTCATCGTCTGGCACGATGGATGATAAAACCTTTGCTTCGGCTGACCGCGCCTTCTTAATAAACCTTGCTGCTTTTCGAGTATCAATAGTATGAAGTCTCGCGGGAAATATCTGAATATTAGCACGTGGCACTCGTATATATGCGTTTTATCACGGTATGAATATGGAATAAATGATTGAATAATAACCGGATAAAGTGTGCAATATGCTAACTGGATCGATAAAGTCTCGCAGGAAATACAGGGTGTATCAAAAAAAAGGAGACCTTTAGAAATCAAGCTATTGTTAAGATTTGAATGCCTTTTCAATTGCATTTGCACATATGCTGAACCGTAGTGCGTGAAATATTGATGGCATGCATGCATTCATTAGCAAATGAATTGACGTTTGTACACAAGATTGTCTGCTCCTGGGAATTTGAAAATAACTTTCATAGCACAAGGAAAAACAACGACCAAAAAATATTCAAATGACTAAGCACACTACCAGTACAAAAATGGTTTAACTGACTTCGGAGAAAAGAGTTTTTGTAGTCTTAACTTATACCCAGCCTACCGTCATCAGAAAAGCAGTTCGCGATATGCACAAGCGTCCGGTAGTTTGTGTTGAGAGAAATGGAGGCCACGTTGGAGGTCATGGTCCATGACATTCAGTTCTATTGATGTTCAATTTATCAGTAATTTTCAATCCGGATCGAAATGTCAAGTGACTCTGTGTCAGATCAAGTTGTAATTCATTCCTGACTCATGTAAACATTTTAATAGCCAGGGTTTGTAAAATGGGATGCTGAGCCATTCCGGATTCAAAGTCAATTCTAACTCATGTGAACAGCCCCAATAATCGTACGCAGTGTTAAAAATTAATTTAAAAATATTTGTTCACGTTTTGAAGGAACAGCTAATGCAATTTACCACGCATACTGTTATCGCTCTCGTGCTTAGTCGTTTGTGCTTAGTCATTTGAATATTTTTGGGTCGTTATTTTGGGTCCTTATGCAATTAAAGTTATTTTCAAATTCCCAGGAGCAGACAAGCTTGTGTACCAACGTCAATTCATTTTCTAAAGGTCTCCTTTTTCTAATGTATGCATGCATGCCATCAATATTTCACGCACTACGGTTTAGCATATGTGCAAATGCAATTGAAAAGACATTCAAATTTTAACAATAGCTTGATTTCTAAAGGTCTCCTTTTTTTTGATACACCCTGTATATGAATCTTAGACGTGTTTCATGCGTAGTGTATTAAATGTGCCAAATACGTACATTGTAGACAAAAGATAATGAGATGGAATGCCTCATTATTTACTATTTCTATTGTGTTCGGCACATGCATGTAAAATACGGCGTATAAAGGCTAGTTTCCACTCAGGAAAAATCTCCTTTGGATCGGAACGGACAGGAAAATTTCCTTTGTCGGTGAGTTCCCAGGCGGCTTTTATACAAAGGACACTTTCCTGTCCTGTCCAAAACTAGCCTTAAAACGGATCTTGCATGCGGCACTGAAATAAGACAGTGTGAATAATGATGTTGTGATAAAACGCGATAGTGCAGAATATGATGGTTCCAGGTGCCCAAAAAACCAAAACTATCGAAAGCTCCTATTGTCAGAACTTACCCTAGGCACTGCTTTTATTTGCGAGTGTCGTGAACGAGTTTAGGGTGGCTGATGTGATAGAATATTTCAATGTATGTGCAGTCAACAATGACCGAGTTCAAGACAAATTTACATCCTCAGTATTTTCCATCGGTGAAAATGACTTGCTCATGAAAACTACGACTAAATGTGGCAATCAGTTCATGACAGTAAATCAGTAATGTATGCTCTTATGTAAAGCTCGTTTACACTTGCAATTTTTGCTGCAATTTTTGCTGCGATTTAATGTGCGATTTTCGTCTTTTGATAGATGTGAATGAGTAATTAGTTACGAATGCTTCGAATAATGAGAACTCTTATTTGAACATCAGTAACTATAATCTACTCGTTCACATCTGTCAAAAGAAGAAAATCGCACATAAAATCGCAGCAAAAGTTGCTAGTGTAAACGGGCCTTAACGGGAATAAAGATAGAAGCTGCTTGAGACTCCAAACGAGCTAAAACCTTTTTTTGCCTTTAAACCTTAATTTTGCATTTCAGGACACCCCTGCACTTGCACGAAAAACAGCTTGTCTCTCAATTTCTATTAGTTATTAGTCGTATTATCCGTTGATTCATATTTCACTTTATTAAACAATTCTACCATGACGCCAAGAATCGTTGGCACAACTACTCATGTCCCAAATATAGGCTACGTACAAAGAAAACTCATCAAAGTACATGTGTTCTCAACAAAAATATAAATGTGTTCTCACAAAATAATGTATCCTTCACAAAATAAATCTACTACAAACATTGAGTGAACATCGTATACGACAAATTAACTGAAAAATCGTGCAAAATGTGCGATGCTGTGTGCATGTATTTACGAAAATATATTTGGAAAAAAAAGTTACAAAAATTAATGCGTATGTAATTATTTCTAATAACGATCGCAAAGAACTCAAAACCCAATGTATGCGTAAATTGTTAGAAAAATTAGGAAAGCAAATTATTAAAGTGAGGCTGGTTGCCTGGAAGCAACCTCTATAGGTGTTTCCCGATAAATTTAGAAAAATTAAGCTAATACCATAATCGCCTCGTATTTTCTCCAATTTTCTCTTTCCCCTTTCAATATCGCCGGAAATTAAGTAAAATACAAAGGATTTTGTTTACGTTTAAATTTTTCCTGGATTTGCAAGGAAAATGGAAAATTCCGGATATAAAGTGTCACCTTTTATAGAATAGCTGTACTTTTTTCCGCGATAGATATACTTCTTACTAACATACGTAACGTACGCCATGATGAACAGAATTGCACGAAAGGAACACTGGAATTGTTTCTCAAAATACGAAGAAATTCTTTGTTGTTTACAAAATTTTCCGGGAACATTTAAAAGAAAAGGGTTAAGAGAGACTGTAAAGACACGTTTCCTCAACTATGTAACAACCAATCTTACCATAGTTCTCTAAATTATCTTCAGAGACAAGGTAACAATACTACAAACTATTAACATGACTTGTCGGGAAATAGATATTAAATTAAATCGCTCGGCGCCGCGGAAGATATTATGTCCTCGAGCTCTTCCTCAACTAGATTGGACCTAGTTCCTCTTCGCAAGTATCGACAGGGTATAACCCCCCTTTCCCACCCGGGTTCTCACAAACCTCCCCCCCCCCGACAAAGGTAATTTAATCGCTAATTCCTTTCAAGTTTTGCCATTATCGATAAACTCAACAAATGTTTCACCGCACATGATATGGATTGTGTACAAACAAAACTCCACAAAGAAAAGATTATACATAAACAAAACGAACACAACAACTATTGGTAAACAAAACAACAACGCGAATGACATTGAACAAACAGAAATCGCTTACTTATGGCTTCCCATGTGCTCACGTAGGATCAAAGTGACCTGATTCCAATCATTCTGATGATTCAACATCTTATTCCAAGCGGCTTGCTCCTCGGACGTAGAGTCGTCCCATTCCTTAAGACCAGTCCCCAGTCCTAAACGTACACCGCCGAGAAACTCGTTACTAGACCCCCGATCGAAATCCCAAATCGTCAGCTCGAGAACTCTGTCCATGAGTTCTTCATGCGTCACGTTTTCGTAGACAAAGTGGTGGTTCCACTTTGGATTTAGACTTTTCTTCACAACAGGCGTTTTCTGTTTGGTTTTCTTACTTTTGTCTGGCAGCAGATAACTGAAATTATCAGAGAAGGTAATTAATAATTACAAAACTTGAATTATATGGTTGGCAGCTTCTCCGCGCTATCTTGCTCTGGTGTGACTACAGTAGTCGGTTCTGACAAAAGATAATATACAAAACAATTTTTCCAGTAAAGAGAACATGAACAAAGATCACTTTTGTTTGAAAAACCAAATACAAAACGCCTTTACTGGTTTGCTTTATCAGTTCTAAACTGTTCTTCCAAGTGGTCCAGTAAGGATCATCTCTTATTGATTTAGTGTTACTACAGGAGGAAACCTAAACTAAACTAACTTTATTTATACTGGATGGCTCTATCAATTCTAAACTGTTCTTGCTAGAGGTCTAGTAACGATAATCTCTTATAGATCCAGTGTTTCTACACGAGGAAACCTAGTTACAACTATTAGATATATATTGATCGTAGCATATAGAGATCGCTATTCTTTCTAGCTAAATTAGTAAGACGCTCAGCTAGGTATACCAATACAATATATCACCCTTCACCTTTTGCAAAATGGATCAGAAAAACCGTTAGAATCTTTAGCTAGGAGGTTGCTTGCTTCGATGATATTTACATGAAGTTCTCCCTTCTCGTCTTCGGACTTTTTCTTCTTCTTCTTCTTCTTAGAGCTCTCCACGAGCGCCGAGGGCGGGACAAACTTCAAAGCAAACACAATCTCTCCATTGTAACATAACTGTGGGTCATCTGCTTGCTGCAAGAGAATTAAATAAAAACTTATTAGCTCAAGATCGAAACAAAGAGTACAGAGGTGTCCGTTTATATTTCCTCCGGTTAAATCCTCCTCAAAATAAATAACATCAATTTGTATTCTGGACACCGTCTCGCGTATTCATTCATTGTTATTCCTAAGGAATCTACACTACTTAAGCTTCATTATTGCTGTGATGAAATTTACTCTCTTATTTATCCCCAGTTATAAGAGGTAAAAAACTGAACTAAACTAGTTTATTGTACTGCATGGTTAGATGTAGCAATACCAGCCCTAAACTGTTCTTCCTAGAAATCAAGCAAGGATTGTCTCTTATTGATGCAGTGTTACTACCGGAAAAAACCTAAACTAAACTAACTTTATTTAAACTGGATAGCCCTATCAGTTCTAAACTGTTCTTCCTAGAGGTCCAGTAAGAATCATATCTTATTGATCCAGTGTTACTACAGGAGGAAACCTGAACTAAACTATCTTTATTTATACTGGATAGTTCTATCAGTTCTAAACTGTTCTTCTAGAGGTCCAGTAAAGATCATCTCTTATTGATCCAGAGTTACTACAGGAGGAAACCTAAACCAAACTAATATTATATATACTGAATCAGGTCTATCATTTCTAAATTGTTTTCCTATAAAGATCCAATTAGGCTTATATAGAAGTCCCTGACTGATCTAGTGTTACTATAATGGGGGGATTTCTAAAATAACTCTTTTATGTTAACCATGCTGCAAGGAAGTTCCGTCTACATGCAGAGACCCAAGACTATTATAAACTAAACTCAAATTAACTACAGCAAAACAATCTTTATTGTTTTATAAATTGATGACTTCTACTTACTCGTTCACAAAGGTCGTACCACTGAGGCTCGGGGTCTTCAAGACTAAATCCTGACTGATGGTATTGGTCGATGGGAACCAGAACTTCACCCAAGAAATCATTATGACCAAATGTATCGTGGTTCCAAACGGCAAGCCAAAGTGTTCGCTGCAGGATTTCATCGTAAGAGATTTTGTACTACAAAACAAAATGAAATTTTTGTGTTATGTTTTAAGATTGAAATCCTTGACCAACAGCATATTCGTACCAGTCGACGACACAAAAGCAGAGCCAAACACCAAAATACCCATCAAAAACATCACTAAATACAAAGATAACATATAATAGCAACCAAATAAACAAAAACAATAACAGGAGAAGAATGATCAACAATGGCAGCAACAACAACAACAACAACAATGACGACGACAACAACAAAAGTAACAACAACAACAAAAGTAACAACAACAACAACAACAACAACAAAAAATAGCGACAACGGCAATAACAATAACGATAACGATAACAGCACTAAAAGCAACAATAACAACAAAGACAGCAACAACAACAACAACAACAACAACAACAACATAAGCAACAACAATAAAAGCAACAATATTAACATCAACAAAGAAAACACATACACGAAAAAACAATAATATCAAGATCAACAAAGACAGCAATTAACTACAACAACAAAAGCCAGCGAATTTAAAATCTTAACTTTACTTGGCTTATAAACAACAATGCTATACCTGGAGATACTTACACTGAGTATTTCATCAAACACAGGATTGATAGTATGCTTTTTCACTTTCGATTTTCTTTTTCCAGTTCTACTTCTGTCAGGCAATAAGTAAGTCTTGACATAACTGTAAAAATCAAAATCAAATATACAATGGTTACTGCATATTCAAGTGTTTTGGAGACCCTATACTAAACAGTTTTACTGATAGAGCAATAAAATGCACTCACGGATCTGATGTCTCAGATTTCTTATCCACGGGAGTGATATTCCTGGCTTGATGAATCTGAATCTGAAACTCTTTAATCTTTGGATCGTATTTTATTCCAAACATGATCTCGCCACTCACAGCATATTTACCATAGACCTCACCACCAGCGTTGCTGTAGTAACTAACAATACTTTCTCGACTGCCCTGGAAAGAAAAACGGAATAAATTGCAAGTTTGCCTTGCCATGATGCAGCAATGGATAATATGCTGAATAAACACAGGATCAATGATATTTGCTGGATCTCTAGAAAGAACAGTTTAGAACTGATAGAGCTATCCAGTATACATAAGGTTAGCTTAGTTTAGGTTTCCTCCTGTAGTAACACTGGATCAATAAGAGATGATCTTTACTGGACCTCTAGGAAGAACAGTTTAGAACTGATAGAGCTATCCAGTATAAATAAAGTTAGTTTACTTTAGGTTTCCTTCTGTAGTAACACTGGATCAATAAGAGATGATCCTTACTAGACCTCTAGGAAAAACAGTTTAGAACTGATAAATATATCCACTATAAATAAAGATAGTTTAGCTTAGGATTCCTCGCGATAAGAGGTGATTTTTTTAACTTTGATGTAGAGAACAAACGGTGTTACACTTACCATACTCAATTGATCCTTCAACATTCTGTTTCCCAGTCCCCCTCCATACTTCGAGAAGGAGACGTCGATATCCTCTTCATAATCGGTGATGGATGAATTGCGGTTGTTATTGTCCTTATTGCCCTTCCGAAAGTCATCGGAAGCACCAGTAGTCACGATTATTGGTGCACTTTCCTAAACAATATTAGAGCTGATGATTAACTCTTGGGTACAGCAATGTACTAATGGATCAGGCATTCATTAATTTATCTTTTCTAGTCATTCATCGGTCAATGCATTCCTCAACACACCACAAAGTTACTTGTCTTCAACACAAATAAATTACAAAATTCCTATTATCCGAATTCATATTCGGGACGGGAAACTCATCTTAGAAGAAAGTTGATAGTAAAGAATAGATTTATAAGGTATGATGGGTCGGGTAATGCATAATCATTACGATAATAATTTTAGTGTTGTTCCATCCTTGACCGTGTTGATATTTCAGAAACTCGTCTGATATATCCGTCTAAATGCGAATTAAAGACGAGTCTCTCGTCCAGACAGGACTCCTGCCCAACGTACCCGTCTGTTTAGACGAGAAAGTTAGACGGGAAAGTTAGACGGAAAAATTGGGACGAGAAACCCGTGTGTGACCGGATTTTCATCTGACGAATTTCCCGTCTTCGATGAGTTTCCCGTCTCTAATATGAATTTGGCTATTGTAGAAAATTCCCAATTCAAAATTCACGATTTACCCATGATATATACGTGGTAATTTGATGGATTAGCTCTAGTATATACAGAGATGCGAAAACGAAAACAATTTTGTAGCAGCAGATAAGTCGATATCTCACGAATTTACCTAAAAGTAATGTCTACAATATCGCGACCCAGGCAATTACACTTGGTAAAATTATAAGAGAAATCTAACTTTTAGAAATATCGCTATTAGAGTTGTGTGCCCCAAATAGGCGATTTTACCACTCAATTTCACATATAATTTAGAACAAGTATGAGTACTGTAAAAACTATGTGTTTTACTAAGTACTAAGTGTACTAAATACTAACTAATATATATATATTCTATTTTGTTAGTTTAATTTATGTTCAGTTGAATATGCCCTAAAATTATAGTTTAAACACAGGCCGTCCAAGTACGCGTGATAATTTTAAGGCGAAAATTTTTTCAGCAATTTGTAAACATGGTGTAATAATAACACCTACTGATAACACCATGTTGACAAATTGCCGAAAAATTTCTCGCGTTCAAATTATCACGCATACTTGGGCTGCCTATGGTTTAAACGTAATAAACTGGAATTCAGGTCATTTTTTTATACATCCTATGCCTTCAATTCCCTATTCAAAGTATTTCGTATCTTCCCTGTCCTAATTTTGAGATGTTCTTTGTCTTGAAGAGGTCGTGATAATGGCAGTCTAAACTAGACTAAAGTCTATGATTTCAAGTCGGTATGTCGTGAAATGTCTGAACGTTTAAAGAAGAACATTGTAAAATATCTTAAAACAATATTGTAAAATAGGCCAGGCTTATTTCTTATGTAAAATATATAAACAAGCGATGTTAAAAAACAAAAACAACAATAATAAAACGACTTGTGAAGTATTCAAAATTTTTCACATATTTTTTCACAAAACATTCTTTAATTTCGTTGTCATGGAAACAACGGCAATTTATCATAACAAGAGACTCATTTCCTCAGAAGTAATTGAACGGCAATTCCCTTTGAACCGAATGTTACAGAGGGAAGAAGGGACTTTTAATGTTTTTTTCCCAAAGTTCTTTGTTTCATAGCTTTTCTAAGCACCTCCGTCCATGGTAAAAAAAGCACTTCATTTCATTTCATTGTAAAAGAAATGCCGGAGGCCGAAGTATAACAATGCAAAAATTCACTATTGTGCATTTCTGTATCGCTATCAAAGAGAAACTTATTGAACAACCTTAAAATGTTCAATTTTTCTTCCGAATATACGCATTCTGCAATCGTTTGACAGCTCATTATACACATCTGACAGCTGCATATGTGAAATGGCCATTTTGAGGCTTAAAGTTATTGATTCAACAAGGTTATTGATTCAAATCTTTTGTGCAAGATATATTTTGTTTGATTAATTGAGTTTTTATAAATCTTTTTATAAGTCTTCCAATTTCCGCGGTGTCGCACAGTATGGCAGTGTTTACGCTGACATGTCTGCCCAGGCTTATGTGCTGGACCCAGATCTCTCGGCCGAAGCAAAAGTAAGGGAGGTCAAGTGCTTTACACAACGAAAATCAAGGCCATGGCTTGGCCTAGGCCAGAATCTTTTGTGCATGTTTAAACATCGCTTATGCAATCGGTTCTTGCTTACAAACTTTGAATATTCAAATCAACTCTGATCGCGTTGACGCGTAACGACAAACTGCTCAATCTCTCATGTAAATAAATATTTCGTGAATATTATCTAACAGTAACTACAAAGGTTTCAATATTGAGGTAATATTTGCGATAAACCACATGACTAAATTTAGCGTTGCTTTCTCCATGTAGAGCCTATATTGCGTAGCATATAATAGTTACTGCAAAACCTAGGTAACTGAGAAATTCGTGAGTAATATACTGTGGCAATAAAATTTTCGTTCCATGTAAATTTCGTAAATTTCGTTCCATGCAAATTTCGAGTATAGAATTTACAGTACTTTTACACAAACTTAAAGCCTTCGAAACCTTTCAGAACTAATATATGGTGCCAAAAAATTGTAATTAGCATTGAACTACGTAATTAGTACGATTAATGTTCAGCTATAACTGTCACATTTGAGGACTACAGTGTTACAAAACCGTAACTATCGACAATCGGACAGTCTTCATGAAAATGCTTCTGGATTCTCGATAGTAAAATATATTATTGATTTCACCCTCAGGAAATGCCCAAGAATATCCGGCGTCAGCATATTACTATTAGGGTTGCACTTATTTTAAGGGTATCGAATTGGTTTGAGATATATTTCAGCCAGCGCGTTAAGTAAATAAAGAATCATATTTTGGCCAGGGAAATTCTTCCCTCAAGCTTGTAATGCCCGATGAATTAAGTAAGGATAACGATGAAACTGGTATAGAGTTAAGAGTTTTAAAGTATCCCATATTAATAAATTAGCATATAATATACTACGCGAATATTAGTTCACCACATGATAATAGGTTGCATGAAGTTGGTGGTGACGATTTACACTATATACCGGTTTGCTCACGAGTGGGTTAAATCTTGCAACTATTAAAAGGCAGTAAAACATTTCATTGTCAGAGAACGAAATAAATATACCAAATCTACCAAGCTAATAAGCATTTGGTACGAACCATTGCTCTCTTTAAAGGCAAACGAAGATATCGTGACGAGCGAATCCGGTTTAAAGTATAAACGGGGCCTTGGGTATGTCGTATGTTTATGTATTTAGACGAATGTTTGTGTATTAGCTATAAGTTGATTAAAGATTTCGCGCGATGGAAGATGGCATACCTCGTCGTCAACATATCTGTCACAACAAAAACAACAGAACGATCTCAAGCAAGATTTCTTCCTTCGCGGGGGTTTAACCACGAGTGGAAAGGTTCTATAATCCATAGAGGCGGGTGCTTGCACCGGTACGAACTATGTTCCCTCATGTTGGGTGAAAACTATCAGTTAGAACGGTAAGTTCTCGCGAGCGAACCTTACACGGCCACATCATACATAAAACAACTGAGCTACACCACTCGACGTGATAATAAGGTTAATAATGACATGTGTGTATTAATGACCTCACAGCACTAAAGCCTTAGTTTTTGCATAACAATGCGAAATTAATATAACCACTTGATATATCATAATCGACTCAGCTGCATGGACAATGCTTTTGTGCCCAACAGAATAGCGGCGGTTTAGTTTTTTATCGTAATTAGGTTTCAGTTATGAGTATAGCCTGGTACACACTGGTGCACTCAACACGCACGCACGTCAAGGGGCGCAGGACCACATTTAAGTTGGGGGGGGACGGCATTAACTTCCTGGGCATTTGCCTGGTAAAACCTTTTCACCCCGTTGAATTTTATAACGTTGGCACGTAACGTTAAAGCGAGTATCATAAGAGTTTCAAACCAAATTGAGATAATAAATGGAGACCTTTAGCTTAACCAATTAACCTTTCTTACGACGTCGGAAGAATGTGCCGCCATTTTGGGCACTCTCTTTTTGAATCGTGAGCGCGAAACTTTGCGACAGCGACTGTCTTTAGGCTGAATTGAATTGAATTGTTATGATTGTTCAAACCCATATATGAAAAATAGCGGATATCGATAGTCCAAAAATGGCGGATATTGATATTTGTCATCGTAAAAAAGAGAAAACTGCCAACGGCAAAGTGATGCTTGAGGGTAGAGTTTTAGCACTTTCTTGTCCATAACTTGCCTCAGTTATTAGTTAATGTTTCAAAATATAGTTCGCCAATATTATAGACTTCAAACCTAGCCATTTTTTTTTACTGAAAATGAATTAAACCGTCTGCGGTTTGAGGTTTGTCGTAACTAGTAAACGTCAGGTAACTAAGTAATCGTAAAGGTCTGTATTCTGTCATTCGTGTCAATTTTATGACACGAATGACAAAATATCTCAATTTGGTTCTCGCAGAATACGTGCAGAATACGTGCAGGTCAAAGTACGGTTAAAAGTGTCATGTCTGCATGTTAAGTGCCACAAGTGTGGGCTTAAGGTTAACATATCATTGATGAGAAGAAGGTTAGGATTAAGATTAGGATCAAGATTAAGGTCAGCATATCATTTGATGAGAAGGTTAGGATTAAGATTAAGATCAAGATTAAGGTCAACATATCATTGTTGAGAAGAAGGTTAGGATTAAGATTAAGATCAAGATTAAGGTCAACATATCATTGTTGAGAAGAAGGTTAGGATTAAGATTAAGATCAAGATTAAGGCCAACGTATCATTGTTGAGAAGGTTAGGGTTAGGTTTAATATTAAGATCACGATTAAGGCTAGAATTTGGATTATAGGCTAACTGAAAGTGAAAATTTTCAAAGAATGGTCACAATATGAGTGAGAAAAATGCTTGAATTTTTTTTATCTAATGATATGCAGCACAATTTTAAGTATAACGATGCTGTTGGATCTCAATTTCTAAACAACATTTAGAATTCAAATCAACCGATGGAAAATGGAAACATTTTTAACGTTTTTAAAATGTTAGGCCTGTTTCGGACGTCAAAGAGGTTCAAGTTAATTAAAACTACATTGTTTACTAAATCGAATCCCCCAAAAAGAGAAATTTTGTCGAGCAACATGTCTGCTACACAATGTTCTCTACCTAGGGCCGTTTCTTACTTGGCGGAACTCTTCGATCGAACAAAATATTGAACAAAATATTTCGCTCTGTTTTTTATTCAATCTTGGGAAGTCGACTGAAGTGGATCAGTTGACAGAGCGAAATTGAAAAGAAAGTCAAGTGAAAAATTTCGTTCAATTGAGGATTTTTCGATCGAATTTTCATAACTGAAAAGAAAATCAGGCGAAAATTTAATGGAAAACCGCTTTAAGACAGTTTTCCACTAGAAAAATTTCGTTCGATCTAAAATTTCAGCCTAGCGGAACTTTTACAGAAAGGAAATTTTGTACTCACCGAAGGCGGTCTTCTTGCGTCGTCTGCACCCGCTCCGTCGTCACCTGAAATTGAAGGTGTTCGTTTAGAAGCTGTGTCTTCACTAGCGTAAGGAGTGCCGTAATAACCAGACGTGTCGGAGATCATCGATTCACTGTCGCCATGAGATCCTTCGTAATGAAGGTCGGAGGATCTTCGCGAGTCCTGACCCTCGCTACCCTCGTGAGATGCACGATCCGCGCGTGCCCCAGAGTGATCTTTATTCGGGGAATATTCATGCGTGAGTTCGCGGTCAGAATCTTCGCGATATTCAGTTTCCCCTCCAGCGCCTTGACCCGCTTGATATTCGCGTTCCTCGTCATCCACATCATGCCCACGATCCTCGAGAGAGACTTGACTTGACTGATCACGGTCTTCGCTAGCATCTTGAACTGCGTGGTACCCACGATCATCGCGAGGGGTGCTCGCGTGGTACCCACGTTCCTCTTCCTCGAGGCTTCCGGGATATTCGAGAGTTTCTTCACCGGCGCGAATATCGTCGCTCAGTGTCTTATCGAGATCATCAATTTCATCTTCACGCGACTCATCTCTTCTCATACTGACGTCAACGCTAGCGAAGGTTTCCGAGAACGCCTGCATCGCATCCATTCGGCTATCGGGCGACGGCGGTGCCTTATCGCTAGCTGGAAGGACGCTTTTTTCCTCGGCGAGATCACGTGGCTCGGAGCGGTTGCTTTGATTTGTCATTGATATTTCTGGGCGAACATCAACATCGCCAAAAGCTTCTTTTTCGCTCCCAGGCCCTTCCGCATCGTCCTCATCGGACTCAAAGGGATTGGGCCCGTTATCGTCTTTCGCCGGGAACTGCGTCGCTTCGTTGTCTACAAATGTATCAGATTTCAAAGGTGAGCTGGCAGTAAAACTACCGCCGGACATAAAACTACTATGAGTATTTGAAGAGTTTATGTCAATGTTAGATTTAGTCTCTGAGCTAAGTTCATGGTCTATGCCTTTCTCGTTTAGTTCCCGCTGAATGGCATTGCCTGCTAGAGGTACGTCTAAATCTTCTTCGTTTTTGAACTGGGTATCATCGCTAAAACTCTCGTATTCGGGCGCTGTCAATGCGATGTCTTCAGACGGAAGTTTAGATTTAACATCCGAGCTCAAGTCTTCAGCGTCTATTTCATTCTCGTCAGAAGACTCCTGTTGCAATTCCACGCCACTTTTCTCCAAATTCAGAGATGTTTCCACTGTTATGGACTCATTCTCCGAGTCACTTTGACTTGGCTCACGAGGGCCCAGGTTACCAACACTTGTACCACTAATCTCAGACGATTGCTCCAGTAATTCCACTTTATTATTTTCATCCAAATTCAGAGACGTAGGTTCCTCAGAAGGAAATTCATATGGATCGGTTAGATCGGGGCGGACGTCACTATTCTCTGCCTCCATGTCAGTGACTCCAGGTGCCTCCAAATTCAGAGTTGCTTCGACCTCAGTATGATCAGTTGTAAAGTCACTTTGAGAGGCATCAGCTCGGCTGATATCACCGATACTTGTGTCATTCTGAGGCAATTCCTCTTGTAATATGACTTCAGTTTTTTCCAAACTCAGAGTTGCTTCAGTCTTAACCTCCTCGGGTTGGTAACCATGTTTCATCCCGGCATCGCCAACTCCCAAGTGTCCCTCATAAGCGTCGTCTATCCCCGAAAGATCCTTACTTTGTTTTCCCACGTCTGTACTCTCTTTATTAGACACAAAAGCCTCTTCATTCCCGCTCGACTTGATTGAAATTTCATACCTCTTACTGGGACTGATTTTTTCATCTTTGCCGAAACTGATGTCCAAGGTTTTCGGAGCCTTCTCGGGGCTTCTCCCAAAACGATCTTCTTTTGATTTCGTTTCCCAGTTTTTAATCCGCGATAATACGGAGAGAACATCTGTATTTTTATCGTCATCATCATCTTTGTCATGATTTCCGGGAATATCTCTTGTAGGAACCTCTACGATAAATCCTTTACGAGCACCATCATTCGTAGAGCGCGAAACGGTATTCATGTCCCCTCGGACTTCACTTGCGGTCGAAAAGCCATTCCCCTTTGTGGAAAAGTCATCACTCCCGATATCAAATTGTTCGGTGTTAAAACTCTCAGAGGCACCTTGATGTGTTAAACTCCCGTTATCACTTTCATTATCATCTCCAAATGCAACATTGGGAGAAACTGGTTCAGTGTACATTTGGCTGGATTCCTCGCGATCAATTTCAGGCGAGCTTTCGATAACAGCCTCATTTTGCTCACGTTCCAAAACTTCATGTAAGCCGACATCAAGTTCCACACCGTCTTGAGATACTTCATCAATCTCTAATTCAACTTTGGAAGCGGGCTGGCAAACATCAGCCTCTGTGGAACTAACATCCTCGTAATCACGTTGCATCTTAGCTGGTAAGTCTGAACCGAGATCATAAGCTTTTTTGCCCGACCCAAACACCTCAGCCATATTTTCACCCTCTAAACCACTTCCAGAATCCCTCGGAGTAGAATCTTCGGAAATAACAGTCACGTTTTGACCTTTCCAATCAGTCCGAAAATTATCCTTTTCCATTTCAAATGTATTGTCGAAAACATAATCTAAATCTTCATTTTTTCGTTTGCTCCTTAAATCTTCACTTTCAACCGTAACATCGCTTAAAAGTTGATGATCCAAGTTTTCTTTATACCTTCCTACTTGTCCTTCGTATCTTGAGCGATGGCTTTCACTATCGGCTTTTTCAGAGGATGCTTGAGGCTTTACTTTTAAATCCTCGCTGCTGGAAAAGTGTCTTCGTTTAGAAGGAATATCAAACCTTGGAGCGGATACGTAAGACATATCTTCATCCGTAATTAAGCTTGTGGGACGACTGCGAACCTTCTCCTTGTCCCTAGGTAGCCCTTCATCACTCTTAGTGTACCTTAGCAGCTTTTTCCCCGCCACACTACCGTCACTTTTTTGTTCCATAGATGCACCCTTATCGAGGCTTAGGGGATCATCTTTCGTGTCCTTAGATATTCCCAGTCCATGCCCAACATCCCCAAATGACCCTTGCTGCACATCACCTGCCCTTCCTTGATGTGTTAGGCTAAGAGGTTTCTCCTCCAATCGCGGTTCGACAGCACGTGACGTGACCATTGGACTCCAATGATCGTCATCGGTTTCGAAGGGCTCATCGTGATCATTATCCAAACTCTCACTACTCTCTGACTCACCTACCATAAAAGGGAAAGGGAAGCTCATAATTTTGAGGTCTGAAATTATGTCTTGAAACTGCTAAATTTAACGTTGTGTTTTCATTAAATTTACCAATGTAATGTCGACAACTAACTCGTTTAATTTTAACTGGTTTTAATTTATTTTCAAGTTATAATTTTGGTAACAATTTCCCCGGGTAATACGCGTAAACTTTGCGAAATACGAAGGGAATTTTTTTTATTTACACAATATTTTGTAAGGAAACTTCGAAATTCACAGTATGAAACAAATTTTAGTATGATCTTTCTGGTAATACACTTGTCCTGGAGGCCTAATTGATTTTTGCAGAATTTGATATGGTTTGAAGATGGTTATTAGGTAGGTCAAGTCAGAGTTGTAGCGAGAGTTTATTGCATTGAGTAGAAAATTCAGCGTAAAAATCGCGCATTTAGAAATCTCCACCAGAAGAATATCCAATGCTCTTGACTGTGTAACAGCAAATTATTCATGCATTTACTAAAAAGTTAAGTTACATTTTACTAAATATTGGAATATTATTTAATTAAATATTATCATTTTTATAATTTAAATCATTTTATAGCAAGCTAGCTATTAAAGCTTTTACAATGTGGATATTGTGTATCAGATTCGCATATTCAAAGGGGATTAGCTGAAACGGTGAATAAGCCAAAGTTTAAAAAATACTCTCATGCATCTTGTGAATGACTAAGCCTACATCTTATGCATTAAATATGTTCTTCCATTGAAAATTACTCTATTTTAATCGAAATTTTCAGCTCAGTTGTTCGATAAATAGATAATTTTGTTTTCCATTTTGAACTTATCCACCGTTTAAGCTAAGCGCCTGAAGGGACGACCAGCTGTAGGTTGTTTAGCGTAGGCCCGATTAGCTTTAACAGTGGATAGGCTCAAAAAAGAGACAAAGAGAGTTATGCATGAACATTTAGCAAAAAATAAAGGTCATTAGAAATGAATACAACAACAGAGTTTATGCATGACTACACAATTTTGGCTTATCCCACCGTTTAAGCTAAACGGGCTTCGCATAAGGTTGTTTGAAAGATGGATAAAGTTAACTGGATGGTTTGATTATTTCGAATATTTAAAAAATTCTTCATCCTTGATTGATCCAAACTAGTTTTTAATCATTTTAAATTTGATACATGTACCTATGCTTGATAGCTTTTTTAAAGCACTTCATGATCACTATCCATTGCCAGTGGATAACTTTATCCACCTTCGAACAACCAGTCACAGGTATAGCCATAAGTAAATAAACAATGAACACACCTTTAGAGGAAGTTTTATCCGATGCAGTGTTATGACTTCCTTGTTCACTATCAACGTCTGAGTCATCTGAATATGGAAAACCCATCGTTCCACCTCCATTACTTTGTGCACTGAAAATAATGCCAGATTGTAGGGTTACTGGGTTAGGTTAGCACTGATATGTCGCCGACTGCAATAGACCTTTTTCATAATGACGTCAAACGCGGAAAGCCCGATGTTACACGAAGTTTGATTGGCTCGATAGTTTTGTGGAGCTAATCAAATTTCGTTGTAACATCCGACTTTCTGCGTTTGAGGTCATTATAAGAAAGGTCTATTACTAATTGATTTCGAGATATAACATTTGACGATTAGTCTCCATAGTCCGAGAGTCCATAAAATGTCTACTTTAATAACGCAGCAGAATAACGAGCAATGTTTAGACCACTTTACTATTTTCGTACCGAATTATAGAAATATCTTCTATCCCACTATCGACTCATTCGAGTCATTTCGTAATAATAAAACTTTGCTTTTGAATTAGCTTGCTCAGGATTTTATTTGGTTTGAAATGCATGTATTTCTAGTATGGATGTACGAGTGCACAGATTAGTTGCATCACAAACACTGCCATACTTTTGTTTAAAAGGAAAGCAAAAAGACGATTTAATCTGAGAGTCTGATAGGTGGTTTCTGAGTCAAGCCAAGTCGATTGACAAGTTTTTTTTTATACATATGTCGCGTGTTTTGGCGGGAATAACATCTTTTCGGGGTACCACACAAAAGTTAGCTTTATTCCTTAAATTATGTAATGGACTAAGTTTTGAACAGTATTTGGTGGTTGCAAAACACCAAGACTATCACAAACACAGAAAATAAAATAAATACAAAAGCAGTTTCGACGCCTTCGGCTTCGTCTTCGATTCAAGTGTCACTTTCTTCTCGGCGTACCCTGACAAATCTTTTTGACAAGAAATACTTACTGGTTGTGATTAAAGACAGCATTTCCGGACAGTCTATCAGAGCTTTGTCGTCGATTGCCCCCTGGGCTGTCAGCAGTACCTTCATCTGCATGGAAAGGATTACTGGCTTCATCATACTCTTCTTTAGGTGGAGGGTATCTTGAATGGATATCTTAATTTCAAAGGAAAATATATGGAAAGTTAAAACCAAGAGTATATTAAGTGAAATACATGTTAACTATTACTTAGGATGATGTTCAATGCCCTTTAAATAACAATGTTGAGAAGTTTCACTAACATCTGATTCTAAACGTGGAAATGATACAAACCGTTTTGAGGTTTCGATTGACTACCAGGATGTCTTCGTAATGATTGCCTCACCAACATGCTGCCAAAGAGTTGGCCATTTCTTTGCTTATGGCCTTGAAAAAACCATGCACCAGATTGTGCTTTCACCTCCCTGCAATATGACAAGAGATTTGAAATGAACCTAATTGATTTAATAAATAATTGATGTACATAATACAACTTTTGGATAAAAGGCTGTGAATTTTGACAGGGAGCCTTGTTATAAAATCCCTCAGATTTTATAGTTGCTGGTTCTCTTTCGTTGGGACTGTATACTATCACGACACCACAATTTGTTTTCAACTTTCATTAACAATAGCTCATTACAAGTCTGATCACAACGTTCGGTAAACACTCTGTCACTTTGTTCAAAACCCTCCCTCGCTCTCTCACTTTTCTCTCTTATTTATACTGTTTGCTGTTTCAACCATGAGAAGTTTGTTTCTCAAAGGAAGGTCAGTGCTGATGCATTTGACTGCCCATAATTTCCCCCTAATCTACATTAGTTCCTTGCTTGGTTGACCACAGCCTACCTAACTACCATTTCCTTTAAGTATCTATGCATTGTTGACCATATCTGTGGTTTCACTGTGTTCCTCATATCTTTGTGCAAGGGCGAAACCAATTCCCTCGATTGTTAGTTGTGTTTTTTTTCTCTAGTGACTATTTTTATAACCGGATAATTATATACTTTTACTTAACTATATACTTAAAGGAAATAACTAATTTATAACAAGCCTCACTCACGAAAGTCAATAATGCAAGTTGATTGTTTCATTCATGAGAGTGAGGATCCCTGGATGAAAAGTACATGCATGCAACAAAGAAAAAGTGCAACATTCAAAAGGGTGTTAATTAAAAGAAGTAGGTGTTAATTAGGATTAGTGCTAAACAGTTATCTTATTGTAATCAGTATATATTTTCTCTTCAGCAGATCTGAAGGTGTTGCATCAAAGACTAGTTGTATAAAAGACTAGTTAACTTTAATTGCATAGTTAAGGACAGAACCGCCCAATCACAGTCATGTATTTCAGAGTTAGCTAGGATTTAATTATGCAATGTGTAGTTTAATAGTTTTATACAACCAGCCCCAGGGGTTTAACTAACTAACACTCTCAGTTGGGAAATTTCAATTGCATATACTGCTTTTTCAAATTGCATGCCAATCATTCATTAGGAAAATTTTGTCCAACAGATCGAATCATTGATGTAAGTATATTTTGACACTTAATTTTTTTACTTCAACAATGCAATGACAATTGGAAAGACTGGACTGGAGACAACTGTTATATAGTTTGTAAGAACCTGTTATAACCTGCTGCTTAAATTGCATGGTGATATAGCTAAGCAACCAATCTGCAGTTTCAAAAACTCAAAAGAATACTGCAAAGGTTTTTGTTGGCGAAAGCACAAATGCACTTCAAGTTAATTTAATCAATGCTCCATTACCTTTTATGGAATTAAATAAATAGATAATGAGGTTTCGACATTTGAGTACTTCAAGAATAGGAAAACATTATACTTAAGAAGCCAACACAGGGTTTTAAACAACTCTGAGGGAAAAGACAACACTTCAGTTTTGTACAACAAAGCTCTTTGTTGTTTATTTTCGTAGCTTACAATAAAAGGTATTAATCCAACCGCAAGAAATCTGTATTCTAAATGCTGAATTTATGTGTATTTTTTTTTATGAAAACTACGGCATTGTTAGCATAACGAAAGTTATTTAATATTGAATAAGACTACAGTACGATATTCAAAATCGTACTCGCGATTAAGGTGTTAAAATTGACTAAAAGTTGCAATTAAAAGTTGTGATAATATTTTTACAGTCATTTTCTCATTAAACCACACAGCGCAGATTACACAGGCCTAAAACAATTACGAATCATGCCGTGTGTTTATCCTAGATCTCATATTACGTTCAAAAAAACACTGGGTGTTATTGGCAACGCCTTCGCTAGAGAAATATTTATTCATCAAACTAAAATAGCATTCACAAATATGCAACTCGACGAAACAAGTGCTGGATAAACGTTTGAGTTTGTCTTGTCCGTGTAAAAGGAGACGCGTTTGAATATATTCAGTAAAAGAATCAATATTGCCTACAAAACGACCCGACCGCAAAGATATGAGGACAAACAGCTTGATAATAAAACGTGGATGTGAGGTTAACAAGGCATACATTTTTAATGATTTGAATGCGTTCAAAACCATTCAAAACAGATCAAAAGATTGTCGATTCTTAAACTTACCTCACTTTACTACATAACGTGCAAATCCAGCCGTCGTCTATGTCATTCACACGGCAAACTTTGCAGACTTTTAACTCGCATCTCGGGCAGTAAGCTCCCCTGTTGAAAAGGATACCGAAGTAAGTCTGGCACCTGGCACAATAGCTCTCATTCTTTGATTCAATGTCCGCTTCTAGAAGTCCGTTTTCTTTGAGATCGTCTAAATCTTTCCTCAGAGAGCTAAAAGCAGAAGAGACACGTATATTGCCTTTTATTTGTGTATTGCCTTAAAACAATTCCGGTCAACATTACCACTTAACGATAATATGTGTATATTTTGACGTAAAAATAGAGCCGTTCCCATAGGCATTAACAACATAAAAGTTGAAAATTTGTTAGAAGCTTGTTATAAATCGCTCAGGTTTTATTATACTCACCCAATTCTATTCTGTTCCTGCTTTCTGATATCAGCATCTTTAGCAATTACGTTGCTGATTAGATCCCGTTCAGCTTCGGTAAGAAAGCTTAAATCCAAAAGCACTTCTTTGGACATAATGCCAGACTAGTTTACACTAGTGACTACACTGTCTTTAAACCCAGCATTTAAGCCTCGATTAAAGCGAAACTTCGGTATTATTTCCACAATTTTAAAGCCTTTCCGGTGCAGTTCGTCCTACTGTCGAGCTGTGTAAATACACTCGTTGCATTCTTGAGTCATCATTATGCAAAAGTAATTTGCTTTTATAATGTTTTGAATACATTACAAAAACTAAAAGCTTTAGTTTTAATAAAAATTTTCTCAAAGTTTGTACACAGGTCAAAAGAGCAAACGGGACACTTGTCCGACAGGCTAAAAGACATACCCGGATATATCATATGAAATCAATTAACATCCTTCGTTGCCCAAAGATATCTATAAACACTGTTAGATGGTCCTAAATACCCATACACATCCGCAAACAACAAACGAAATCCACATATATTCGTGCACATCCCTGCAAAACCACTAATATCCCCAATCATACCTAACCATCAAAAGATATCCCTACATTTCAAAACTAAACCAAATTATCCAAAATCATCCATAGACATATCTATGTATATCCATGAACATCAAGAGATGTCAATATTCATCATAAGAACATCAGTAATCATATGAGAAAATCAAATGATCAATCAATAGATTCGATTGACTATCGACCTAAGTTATATTTATTTTAAAGTAGATATATTTTGTAAATTTACTTTATAAATTTTGAAACTACATACACTGGAATAATGTCTTTTCGTTTATGTGACTTCGATGCCATTGGCTTTGATGTTGATCATGCTTTTGTTCAGTATAAGCTGGAGAATCTCTTTCCTGTAAGTTTCATTCCATTACTAGACTAGTAATTAGCTTACTACATATTTGTATGCAGTATTTGCTACTTGCCGAGTGCTCTTGACCTGCTCTGGATTTCAGCAAATGTAGAATGAATCCAAGTTATCCAACGAGCAGAATAACGTATGCTGTAGTTTTCCAGCTAGTCCACTACACCCAGAGTCTACACTCTTTACCTCTGAACACAATGCAATTTAATTTTAAAATCCAAAAATTTTAGATGGTGCATGTCACACATTCAAAGAAGCCCCAGGCAGAATCTGGGTGGATTAGAGCATTTTGCAGATTTTTTTTCTATTAACAAACAATTCAACTTTTGAATCTCCACAAAATTACATTCAGACTCTGACTGACTTGTGGGGCCAAAATTTCCAATCAACTACGAATAATTTGCATGCAATATGTTGTAATTATTAATGTAAACAACATAAAATTGAATTGTGTTGGCATGCCTGCATTATATTTCATTATATTTATCAGTTGGTATATGAGAGCCTGGCAAAAGTTTTAGTTGAAACAAGAGACTATCCCAAAGAGTTGTTAGAAGACAAGTTTGAGAAATATTCGGATTTCTGGTTGGTATATATTTTAATGTCATCTTAATTCTTGAATACAGTGCCATATGCAGATAACGTACTAAACCTGATCGGATTAAGGCATTACTCAATCACTGCATGCCTTTCACATGGATTCATGCAAAGGATTTCGTTAGCTAAGTAAGCACTATATTTTATCCTATAATAGGTTAAAACGTTGAGCATATTGTCTATATAGCATTTTTCATATAGAACCTAATTGTTTTTCAAATATATATATATATGACTGACCAGATCTCTTTTTTTTCATAGCACAAGAGGTCTCATCTTAGATGCTGATAAAGGTGATTTTGTGAAAGTTGGCAATGATGGCAAAGTAATTAGGTACATCACCCACACCTACTCAGAAATCAACCATAAGAATTTATAGTTACTTAAAGCATATATGAGAAGTTTTGGACCCCTGGGCAAAGTTATAATGCAGTACCCCAATCCCCAGTAAAAAATTTCTTACTATTGCATATATATTCAGAGTTAGTGATAGGGTTATTTTGGAAGGATGTTTGAAGTACTTTTAGGGAGATTTGAAGGCATATTTCCTGAAAAATATCAAAAGTAGAATATGGAGTACAGCAGATGCAATTTCCTTCATTTTGGAAATGACATTTTATGACAATATATATTGATTATAAAACTAAAACCATAGAGCATCTCATGGGACAAGCATAATGGATGATGCAAAAATGACTGAAGAATATGGAGAAAAAAGACAATGGTCTCCTTTTGAGAGTTTCCTGGGTGGCATGAAAAAGAAAGGTATGTACGTAAGCTGTATTGTATTGTCATGGCAATTAATGCAAATGTATGCAAGTTTATAGAAGAAGTATGTGTGTCCAGTTTCATATATTTCAGTCAGTGATGCATGCTTGCAAGACAGATACAAGTTTGTAAGCTTTTGTGTGTGTGTTACTGACTCAGTCTGACTGCAAAAAATTATAATATTTTAAACACACATGCTTCTGAACTATGTACCTTTGGAATATATGACCTCACTCAATCCATCAAGTGTTAAGGCCATGTTACACGATGCAATTTTTCTTGCAACTTGAATGCAATTCTACGGAATTCAAAGGGAAGTAAATTTGGCACCTAGGAAACGTTTATGTTCATTACACGTACTTCATGACGTTTCTTACACTTACATTTTGAAGACTCTGCACTAATTTACATGTCTTAAAAGTAGAACTACATTGAAAGTTGCAAGAAAAGTTGCACCGTGTAGATGAAATTGATATTTACTTTTAATCCTAATGATATAATCCCTAGGGAATTTCCTCCGCAGTGCAACATTCAGGATGTTTGAAAATTTCTTTGACATGCCTGCAATGTTGCTATGTGCAAGACTAATTGATATAATGGACACTCAAGTATGTATAACTCTTACTCACATGCCCTATTTAAAGGCTCTTAAATTTTCCATCTAGTACAGTTCAGATGATTGTATCATAGGTACTGTAGCCCAACACTCGTGGTCCGCGCGCGTACACGCTACTCAGTGATTACGAGTGTTGGGCTACCTATGATTGTATTGATTGGTATTTCGTTCATCAGTGATTGTAATTCTCACAACTGAATTAACAGGACACTGGCAAAGAGAAATACAAGCTGATATGGCCTGATGTATTGTCATCATTGATTGTAAATTTTGACTATAGTTCTTTTGGAGGTACAACAGATTTTGACTTGTTCCCCAAGCTGGCTTGAAATTATTGTGAAACAATGTATGTTTGGTTTCTGTTTCAGACAACAAAGGCTACTTTTACCCAGCTCTGAAAGCTGATATCGCTAAATACATCAAACCAACTTCGAAAAAACTAAAAGAATGGCTAAAAAAGTTACGAAATAATGGGAAGAAAGTATTTTTGATAACGAATTCACAGGCTGACTTCTCGATGTTTGTTTTGGAAAATGCTTTCGGGTAAGAAGATGTGAGGTTATGTATTTAGGATCTATGATTTAATTTATTTATGCTGCAAATAATTAATATGTTGACTGTTGTCGTTTATCTCAGTCAATTTATTGCTTTGCTTTTGTAGCGCTGACTGGAGGTCATATTTCGATGTTGCTATCAGTCGTGCAGAAAAACCAGGTGAGCGAGTCTCGGCATAATTCTCGTCATTATTCAATAGTTTGTCTTAAAATCCATTTGTTTTCCATATTTTAGGGTTTTTCCGAGATAAAAATCCATTTGTTGAAGTTGGTAAGTGACACGTTCGGAAATGGCGGGAAAAGAATGGGACTAGTTGTGAATTAAAGATCTATTTACATCGAAAAATTTTAGCTCATTTGTCCAAAATGTATTACCATTAGAATACATTTTCTGAAACCTGAAACAGCGGGAATCGTGCAGAGTGGTGACCGGACATTTTGACGATCGGACATTTTGCCGATCGGACATTTTGCATATCGGACATTTTGCCGAACATAACGATACTCTTATAAGCTTTGAGTTTGACATGCACATAGCAAAAATTGCCGCATTAGAATAATACAATTCAATTACTGAACATAAAGGTTTAGTTTACACATTTTTTTATTAATGTCGAGCACATACATACACATTTTATGAAAAGCATTCCTGTTTTCGTTTAACTTATTTAGTGAATAGAGTGAATGGAAAAGATCCAATTCAAAGTCTAGAAGCTGATAAATATTATGCCCTGGGAAATTCGTCTGAGCTCGAGGAATACTTGTGTAAACTAACTGGAAAAACAGAGATGAAGGTATGTTCTGTATGGAATAGCGACGCTAGACTTACGCGTTCATTTTGGCGCCAAATTTTGCGGCACGACAAGATCTTCCCGCCACATGACGTCATTGTCAGATTGTAGGTACTTTTCCCGCCATAAGAAAGTTTAGAACATGTAAAGCACGTGTTCTAAAATTGCTTGCGCTTGCTCCAAGTTACAGTAACAAGTTTAGGACAAGCTGTTTACAACTCCTAGCAAGTCTGCATAATGGCATTATCAAAATCAGACTTTTGACAAGACTGTTCTGACATGATACGGCTGTGATGATATAACAAACTTGCTACAAAGTTGCAACACATGTTTATTCCGCGCCACTTTATATATAAAGTTTACTTGCCTTAGGTGGTGAGACAAATGTAGTTTTAACCTGATTCTAGAGAATGACTGGAGCCAGAGACAAATTGGAGGCCAATCAGGCCTCATGAATCAATCCCGTGCCTCGATCCTTTAGCGAGAATAACCTAAACTGGGAGCCAAAAATCCTCGCCAATATTAAATGCGCATGTGTAGTAATCATTTGATACTTCTAAAAATTGACACGTTAGTGTTACGTGCAATTTTTGTATTGTATTAAACGGTCACCATTCCATACGGCGTCAACGGCCAATCAGAATAATTTCTGCTTTCGATCATCCCAGAGCTAGCCTTCGTTAGAGGAAATCGCGGGCTCGGGGAACGAGATTGCACGCAGTCCCAATCTCAAAAATCGAGGCAGGGCTGAGTAACTTCCACAGACACGAGCTTTCCCAAGTTTGTGGGAATCGTGTGCGAGCATTGATGCGCTAAATATGCTCAGAAATTCGATTTTAATCGATTATTGTAAGCGATTAAAATGAACGTAGTGATTCCATGTCCAGATTCCACGAATATAATCCTAAACCTGACCCTAACTGCTTGCTAACCCTAAAGGATAAGGATAAAAACCCATAAGGATTAAATTCGCAGATTCAGTACTCGGAATTATTACCAAAATGAATGACTGGTTTAAAGCAAATTTATTAAATCAGGCGGCACGTCAAAAATCGTTTTAACGTTTGTTTACATTCGGACTTGACTTCCACTTTAAAATAAAAAATTTTGATTGGGAACTCGTTTGGATAAGGAAAGTCTCTCGTTTACGAATTCATGTATTGTGGATATTTTACTGACCAATTGGTTGGCACCAGCACAGTACTAATATCACCGTCGCCCCTCTTAAAGAGATCAAGTAAAGCCGGTTACATACGAGAAGAGCAAGGTTTCTACTACAATCTTTTGTAGAATCAGCCTATCTGGCTTCTGATTGGTTAATTTTTGCACTAAATCATCCGGCTGCTTTCTTTGTAAAATCGATGGAGTTTTCATTCAAACGGAGGAGAAACAGAATTTTGAATTGTAAAAGCAGACATGTTGCCGTCCATCGTACAAAGACAAGTTCTGAGAAAATATTTATACATTTTAGGATTACTTCTACGAAAGCTATTGCCCTTGCTATCATGTGAGGTATTATCAAACCATAGTTTCCAAATGTTTGAAAATTTTTATTAATAAAATGCTTATTTGAACATTTCAATGCAATGACCATGTAAAATTTAAAACTGTTCACTACAATCAACACAAATTAATTTACGTAAAATTTCTCGTGCAAGCTAATCAGAATGACAAAATGTGGGGGAAAACAATCCAATCTTCACCAATCTTTCATTATCGAGTTACACAAAAAACATTGCAAAGATGAATCCAAGCAAGAATCCCATTTTTTTAGCCATGACTCTGCCAGCACCGCCAGTGGAAGTCACGGCGACGTTACAGCGGTCGGTTTTGCAACACTTCCCATTGCAAGACTTCAGGTTATCTCTCTTGATCGCGTTTTTACAAGCCTTCGTTACGTCTGGACAGTAATTCGTGGCTTTGCTGTCGCACCCCCTCAGAACATTGTACAGTTTATCAGCTCGTTGAACCAAGGCTGAGTAACAGTAATTTGTGTCACCGCTGCAAATAGTTGTTTCGTTGCATTGTTCCTTTTGTGCTTCCTTGTCGGGAAGAGTGTCAGCTATGTAATTGCACTGATAACATTTCAGAGCGTTTCCTAAAGTTACGTGAAAACAAAAATACATTTAGGCAAGTATATTTGAAACATATTTTACACTAAGATACTGTACGAAACAATTTTTTTTGTAAGTTTGCATTTTATTGCTGCAAAGCTTTCGGTCCGTTAACCTGGACCTTCATCAGTGCACTGATAACAGACCGAAAGCTTTGCAGTATTAAATACTTACGTCGTGTACCTACAAACTAATTTATTTATACTATATGCAGTTTCTGCTCCCCCCCCCCTTGGCTTAACAGTATCAAAATTTTAGATTCATGAGGTAATGGGGCCTGAACACGGACCTTCGTAGGCTTCGTTAGAGGTGATGTAAATTTTGAAGACAATGTGCCTTGTAACAAATGAAAAGCCTAACTTTTAAAGATATTCAAAAACTGCATATCTTTTTATTTTATGCACCATTATATAAGTGTTTATAATTCCGATCGATGCTCAGTCTCAGATATCTATATTTCCTTACCTGAGATTGAGTAGGCCAGCACCATTGTCAAAGTGAGTAAAATTTTGTGAAACATTTTGTAGTTTTGCTTTAAGAACAAACTATAAACAGAACCAAAAGCACGTCAATGTACGATGGCGTTGGAATCAGGAGGTGCATGGCAAAAATATCCCCGTGCGTATCCAATTTACTTTTGATGGATGTTTTATAGTCTGTTGACTTGCAATATATATGGGCAGGAAATCAACCAAAGCCAATGCACTATCGCTTTATCAATAACAGAGTACATTCCATCCGTCGACTGACCTTCACGCGCGTGACATCTGATGCATCTCATAGGTCACGTGTGCGCCGGGCTTTAGAAACGGCTTGTGATTACAATTAAAAGTTATACAACTGGGCTCGGTTGTTCGAAAGGCGTATAGCTTAAACGGTGGATAAGTTGAAAATGGAAAACAAAATTATCTATTTATTGAACAACTGAGCCGAAATATTTCGATGTAAATAGTTTAATTGTCAATGGAAGAACATATTTAATGCATAAGATGTAGTTTCAGTCATTCACAAGACCTATAAGAGTATTTTTAAACTTTGCCTTTGACTTATCCACCGTTTAAGCTAAACGCCTTTCGAACAACCGGCCCCTGGTGATTATACTATACGTCGAATAATTAGCTCGAAATTGCTAGTAATTCAACAGGTAAATAGTCAATATCCATGAGTGCGATTACAAACTAAGGGTCCGGCTGTATTAACTATTTAGCAAAACAAAGTAATTTCTTGTAAAATTTTCATGTGTAATATAAACGCCAATAAACTTGCTCGAAACGCCAATAAATTTGCTCAAAACGCTAATAAATTTGCTCGAAACGCTAATAAATTTGCTCGAAACGCTAATAAATTTGCTCGAAACGCTAATAAATTTGCTCGAAACGCTAATAAATTTGCTCGAAACGCTAATAAATCGCTAGTGTTTTCTTAAGCCTCGTGAGATGAATATCGTGTTTCACTTTCGCAACTAAAAAATGAATGTCAAACAAAAACATCTGCTATTTTGATTATAAGTCTTGTAATGCAGATGTTTCAAACATATACGACAAAACCAGTTTGTTTGCTTAACTACGTGCTTGTCTTTCGTCAATCCTCGTTTGAAAAATAACTTCGTGAAATACAAGCATTCAAAACAAACAATTTTAGTGTTGAATAATAGTAATTTGTACTCGACAGCCAACGATTAAAATTTTAGATAACACATAGACAGTATAATATAGTCCAGCTGTGTAGTGCATCGTAATTTACCTGGCTATTGAGCAGTCGTTTAAGGCTTTAAGATAGCTATAAGCTGGAAGTAACATTACTCCTGCCATGAACGTTGATTCCAAATTGTTAGTAAAAAAATAATGAACCTTTATGTAAAATCTATATCATATACCCTGGCTACTTCATGAAATATATCCTACGGCTACGAAATGACCATCTTTATGTGAATTGTGCTTGTAAAGCAACAAATTTCTATGTCTTTTAGGTAGTCAATTTACCTATTTCTAGACCTGCGTGAACACTGCGGTAAATATACATGTTTCATTGCGACCTTTTGTTTAGAAAACTATGAATTGTTCAACTTTTCACGATCAGAACTTATTCAAATAATAGTAATATAGCGAGTCACATGATGCAGTATTACCATAGCCTTCGTGATAGATGCATGATATGCGTCGATAGTGCCTTCCTCCAAAACTACATATTCGTCATGAAGCAAGATTTATCAACGAATTTTTGTAACGATAGAAATGAATTAAATATAACAAACCTTTGATGCGATTTTTGAAAACAACTGATCAGAAGATACTGAATATGAGAATTGAAAGAGGCGTTGGTGTGGTCGTGCGGATCTTATGTAACTAATTCTCAGTGGTGATATTTTCAAGAATTTGATTGGCTGTGCGAAGACAAAATTAGATACGCCATAAGCAATTTGAGACTTCATAACTCTCGTGACTATCCTTCATGGGACCAACCACAAACAGCGTTTTATACACCACTGTGAAGTTAGCCGCGGATTCGGCCTCAGATTCGGCCTCAGATTGGGCCTCAGATTGGGCCTCACATTCAACTGTGTTCAATCATTCAAAAGTAGAATTTGGTCATTTAATAATAACAGGTTTTTTAGCCATTTTTTCGTTTAAACTTTATAAATACGAAGATGTATAGCTTATTTATGCATTGCTAGACTGTAATTAGAACAAAGCAGTCGATTTTATACAGATTTACAGAGTAAATTGATTATTATTTTTGGGCACTGTGTGAGAAGTGATTGACCCGCATAGATATGGCATACACTATAATGTTTTATTTCAATTCCTGTGTATACGTCTATATTTTACAGAAAAATACGGCCTTACAAATGGCGTGCATCGTTGGGCTGCACAGTCACAACATACTCGGGATTATTTGCTTCCTTTCTCAAATTAAAAATGTCCTTATGATATAAATACAAAAGACTTAACTAGTATATGATCCTCTCACCGACGCTATCAATGTTACAATTTGCCAAAGTCATTTGCTACAACAAGAATTAGCGTAGATGTGCATACAAATCAAACGTACTATTGCCATATGACAAACAATGGTCCAACGAGGTTAGGATTACAAGTTAAACTCGGCGCAACTTTCACACGCATATATAGATCGTTTCAAACGTTATTTAGAACAGTATTTTCCCATCTATCCAAAAGTACACATCAGTTGAAGACGCAGACGTTACACGCTGAATGTTTCAGGGCAACAGCAACGACTCATTGCAAAAACATCTTACAATATTACATGGTGTTGACATATATACCCACGTTATCATCCTAATTGTGCAATTTAAATTTATGCATTTCATACAAAATGCATGCCTATTCCATCCACTGCATTGAAGTTAAAACTTCTGTTTATATGAAGGTATGATTTCATTGTTCTACAAAATAATACAATGTGCTGTGCCGTGTTTTGATGCAGTTTGTAGCGCAGACGATGGAACCTGCGCTTAGGCATTAAGGGATTACTCAGAAGACAGAAGGTTGACGTGCTATTAAAATAAAGCAATTAAAACAGTGATGACATGTAAAATAGACGCACTTAAGCGAACAAAATGCGAAAGAAAGATGATCTCATTATGCCTGCTTAATTAAAAGACACATTTATTCAAGAGGATTAGACACATTAGAGATTAGACAATTATAATATTAGTTATGGTATCAAACTGAATATATAGCCAAAGATGCTCAAAATTTAACTGAAAGGTTTAATGAAGCAAAAAATCTACGTAAAAGATATATAAGATGCCATTATGCTAATCAAGAACAAGTTACAATCATAGAGGATGGTTTCTTATTAACTGTCCATACAAATGTTCTCAAATTTTAGTATTCAGTACATTACTGTATGATCTTTCTCATGACACCAACGTTTTTGCGGTAAAAAGAAAAAAAACGGGCGTTTTTGCGATACATTCCACTTCGATTTCTGACGTATTATTGCGTAATAACCAGATGACAGAAAAACTCAATTATTGTAATTCTGAAACATAAGTTGTAAAATGAAATATAATTTCCGATGGATAAATGAATGTCAAGACAGAATGAAGCAAAAAATCTATGTAAGAGATATATAAGGGGCTATTATACGAAAATCAAGATCAGGTTACAATTGAGAAAAGTACTTAATATTTAGAGGATGGTTTCTTATTAACTGTCCATACAAATGTTCTCAAATTTTAGTATTCAGTACATTACTGTACGATCTTCTAATGACACCAACGTTTTTGCGGTAAAGAAAAAAAACGGGCGTTTTTGCGATACATTCGACTTCCATTTTTGACGTATTATTGCGTAATAATAAGAGCGCAGAAAAGTAAACTATTGTAATTCTGAAACATAAGTTGTAAAATGAAATATAATTTCCATGGATAATGAATTCAAGACAGAATGAAGCGAAAAATCCATGTAAGACATATATAAGGTGATATTATACGAATCAAGATCAGGTTACAATTGAGAAAAGTACTTAATATTTAGAGGATGATTTCTTATTAACTGTGCATACAAATGTTCTCAAATTTTAGCATTCAGTACATTACTGTACGATCTTTCTAATGACACCAACGTTTTTGCGGTAAAAAGAAAAAAACGAGCGTTTTTGCGATACATTCGGCTTCCATTTTTGACGTATATTGCGTAATAATAAGAGCGCAGAAAAGTAAACTATTGTAATTCTGAAACATAAGTTGTAAAATGAAATATAATTTCCGATGGATAAATGAATTTCAAGACAGAATGAAGCGAAAAAATCCATGTAAGACATATATAAGGTGATATTATACGAATCAAGATCAGGTTACAATTGAGAAAAGTACTTAATATTTAGAGGATGATTTCTTATTAACTGTGCATACAAATGTTCTCAAATTTTAGCATTCAGTACATTGCTGTACGATCTTTCTAATGACACCAACGTTTTTGCGGGAAAAAGAAAAAAAACGAGCGTTTTTGCGATACATTCGGCTTCCATTTTTGACGTAATATTGCGTAATAATAAGAGCGCAGAAAAGTAAACTATTGTAATTCTGAAACATAAGTTGTAAAATGAAATATAATTTCCGATGGATAAATGAATTCAAGACAGAATGAAGCGAAAAAATCCATGTAAGACATATATAAGGTGATATTATACGAATCAAGATCAGGTTACAATTGAGAAAAGTACTTAATATTTAGAGGATGATTTCTTATTAACTGTGCATACAAATGTTCTCAAATTTTAGCATTCAGTACATTACTGTACGATCTTTCTAATGACACCTACGTTTTTGCGGTAAAAAGAAAAAAAACGAGCGTTTTTGCGATACATTCATTCGGCTTCCATTTTTGACGTATTATTGCGTAATAATAAGAGCGCAGAAAAACTAAACTATTGTAATTCTGAAACATAAGTTGTAAATTAAATATACTTTCCATGGGTAAATGAATGTCAAGACAGAATGAAGCGAAAAAATCCATGTAAGACATATATAAGGGTATTATACGAATCAAGATCAGGTTACAATTGAGAAAAGTACTTAATATTTAGAGGATGGTTTCTTATTAACTGTCCATACAAATGTTCTCAAATTTTAGCATTCAGTACATTACTGTACGATCTTTCTAATGACACCTACGTTTTTGCGGTAAAAAGAAAAAAAACGAGCGTTTTTGCGATACATTCGGCTTCCATTTTTGACGTATTATTGCGTAATAATAAGAGCGCAGAAAAACTAAACTATTGTAATTCTGAAACATAAGTTGTAATATTAAATATAATTTCCGATGGATAAATGAATGTCAAGACAGAATGAAGCAAAAAATCCATGTAAGAGATATATAAGGGCTATTATATGAAAATCAAGATCAGGTTACAATTGAGAAAAGTACTTAATATTTAGAGGATGGTTTCTTATTAACTGTGCATACAAATGTTCTCAAATTTTAGCATTCAGTACATTACTGTACGATCTTTCTAATGACACCTACGTTTTTGCGGTAAAAAGAAAAAAAACGAGCGTTTTTGCGATACATTCGGCTTCCATTTTTGACGTATTATTGCGTAATAATAAGAGCGCAAAAAAACTCAATAATTGTAATTCTGAAACATAAGTTGTAAAATGAAATATAATATCCAATGGATAAATGAATGTCAAGACAGAATGAAGCAAAAAAATCTATGTAAGAGACATAAAAGGGGCTATTATACGAATCAAGATCAGGTTACCATTGAGAAAAGTACTTAATATTTAGAGGATGGTTTCTTATTAACTGTCCATACAAATGTTCTCAAATTTTAGTATTCAGTACATTACTGTATGATCTTTCTGATGACACATACGTTTTTGCGGTAAAAAGAAAAAAACTCGGTTTTTTTTCGATAACTTGGACCCAAGTTTTTGACGTATTATTGCGTAATAATCAGTTCACGGAAGAACTAAACTATAGGGATTCTGAAGAAAAAGAAAATGTACTCTTTAATATAAATATAATATAATATATATAATATAATATATAATGTAATAGGTATATATTTATTCTTATACATAAATATATCGATTTATATTGATTCAATTATTATATATATAATTATATATATTATAAGAGATTAAAAACATGAACTTGAAATTAATAAAAAAATAGGCACGATACCTCATTTGATTTATTATTTGCACTCGATGCTTTTTTGCTTTCATAGTACTTGTCCTTAAAATTATTTGCGTTTCTTCTCCAATCACTATATAACTGTCTTCTTCCTGAAGACGTATTACTAACTCCACATTTTGTTAGAACAATACCCCAATATCCCTCAGCTCTTCGCCAGCCCTCGTGAAGCCGTTCGTCACACTTGAGCATCACTGCGATCACATTATCTAACGACATTATTTTCTTCGTAAAAACCTTAAAATATATACCTATGTAAGATTAACAGCAAATAGTTTAAAACCAATTGAACGCTGGTCACTTACCATATTCGATTGATTCTTTTAAATCTTATTTTCGATAAATGGAAAAGTTGAATTTTATAAGAAGGAAATGACAGAAATTCTGTAAATGAGCCTGTATAGCTTGCGATATATTTATCAAAATTTAATTTTGGAGTGCGCGAGCTATTAAAGCTTGATTTTGCACATGATGAATGCGAACATTGACAGTGGTGATTGAGTGCTGCCGAATTATGAAATATAGGCCATTAAGTTGGCGCCTCCGTCAAATTAGTCAATTACCACGTCCATCATAAATGTTTGAAAAGCAGTAAATTAACACGAGTAGGCACTATACCGTCGTATCTCTACAACAAAGTAGCTACCTTCGTGATCATGAGCGAAACATCTGATGTCAGAAGTAAGTTAAAAACTATAATCTGTACCTGCAGCAAGCTACTTTTCATTCGCTCGTTCTCATTTCATATTTGTGATAAATCATTTAACTTTCAGTGAGCGATGCGCCTGCAACAGAAAATAGCACAGGCGCAGATGGTATGGAACAAAAACTCGCCGGTTAGTAGACATGCACTTCTACACATTTTTTTTCCATGATTATGTATACGCATGATATAATCATTGATTATCATTTCATACAGTTAAATCAAACCCAAACTTTTATATTAATTTTATATTTATTCATTTCTTGTTTAGAATTGGAACGAAGGGTTCTGGAATTAACTGGTATGCAGAAGGTTTAGATGCCACAAATCAGGCAAAGTTCCTTAGGCTTAGCTGTATAGACACTTATCGTCTTATCTTAATTATTTTTATTATGTAATGTTTTTAATCCTATTAACCTTCGCATATGCATGCTACATTTTAAAATTAATATAGGGTTGATACGAAGTAATGGAGGTCATTCAACGACCGAAAGCGGTCAAAACCACAATAGAGGTATTATCAAATACTCTATAAACACGACAGTAGAATGACGAATGTGATATTTATTTAATTTCTTAATTATAGACATCATTTGTTGGAGATGCAACAAAAGAGGGCACCCAAGACGATTGTGCCCGAGAAATGAAACAGACCAAAGAGAGACTAGGAGTGGGAGTAAGGGGAATGAAAGCGGAAGCGAGAGAGGAAGAGGACGAGGGAGAGGACGTGGGAGAGGGAGAGGGAGAGGGAGGGGAGGAGGAAGAGGGACGAGACGAGCTGACAGAGCACAGAAGTACACAGTGTATTTTAATTAAAAATTCATTTAGAACTTGAATATGGTATTTTTTAAAAATCTACATTGCGCAATGAGTTTTAAAGTAATAATAATTATATTCCCTTATTCATGCAGATTGCAGGAAAAGGAGCTTTAAGTAGCCCTTAATATGCGCGTGGCCATTTACATCAGAATTGTATAAGATTTGGTCGATGTATCGCAAAACGCCCGTTTTTTTCTTGTTACCGCAAAACGTTGGTGTTCATTAGAGAGATCGTACAGTAATGTACTGAACTAAAATTGAGAACATTTGTATGGACAGTTAATAAGAAACCATCCTCTAAATATTAAGTACTTTTCTCAATTGTAACCTGATCTTGATTCGTATAATATCACCTTATATATGTCTTACATGGATTTTTTCGCTTCATTCTGTCTTGAAATTCATTTATCCATCGGAAATTATATTTCATTTTACAACTTATGTTTCAGAATTACAATAGTTTAGTTTTTCTGCGCTCTTATTATTACGCAATAATACGTCAAAAATGGAAGCCGAATGTATCGCAAAAACGCTCATTTTTTTTCTTTTTACCGCAAAAACGTAGGTGTCATTAGAAAGATCGTACAGTAATGTACTGAATGCTAAAATTTGAACATTTGTATGCACAGTTAATAAGAAATCATCCTCTAAATATTAAGTACTTTTCTCAATTGTAACCTGATCTTGATTTTCGTATAATAGCGCCTTATATATGTCTTACATGGATTTTTTCGCTTCATTCTGTCTTGACATTCATTTACCCATTGGAAAGTATATTTAATTTTACAACTTATGTTTCAGAATTACAATAGTTTAGTTTTTCTGTGCTCTCATTATTACGCAATAATACGTCAAAAATGGAAGTCGAATGTATCGCAAAAACGCCCGTTTTTTTCTTGTTACCGCAAAAACGTTGGTGTTATTAGAGAGATCGTACAGTAATGTACTGAATACTAAGATTTGAGAACATTTGTATGGACAGTTAATAAGAAACCATCCTCTAAATATTAAGTACTTTTCTCAATTGTAACCTGATCTTGATTCGTATAATATCACCTTATATATGTCTTACATGGATTTTTCGCTTCATTCTGTCTTGACATTCATTTACCCATTGGAAAGTATATTTAATTTTACAACTTATGTTTCAGAATTACAATAGTTTAGTTATTCTGTGCTCTCATTATTACGCAATAATACGTCAAAAATGGAAGCCGAATGTATCGCAAAAACGCTCGTTTTTTTTCTTTTTACCGCAAAAACGTAGGTGTCATTAGAAAGATCGTACAGTAATGTACTGAATGCTAAAATTTGAGAACATTTGTATGCACAGTTAATAAGAAATCATCCTCTAAATATTAAGCACTTTTCTCAATTGTAACCTGATCTTGATTTTCGTATAATAGCGCCTTATATATGTCTTACATGGATTTTTTCGCTTCATTCTGTCTTGACATTCATTTACCCATTGGAAAGTATATTTAATTTTACAACTTATGTTTCAGAATTACAATAGTTTACTTTTCTGCGCTCTTATTATTACGCAATAATACGTCAAAAATGGAAGCCGAATGTATCGCAAAAACGCTCGTTTTTTTTCTTTTTACCGCAAAAACGTTGGTGTCATTAGAAAGATCGTACAGTAATGTACTGAATGCTAAAATTTGAGAACATTTGTATGCACAGTTAATAAGAAATCATCCTCTAAATATTAAGCACTTTTCTCAATTGTAACCTGATCTTGATTTTCGTATAATAGCGCCTTATATATGTCTTACATGGATTTTTTCGCTTCATTCTGTCTTGACATTCATTTACCCATTGGAAAGTATATTTAATTTTACAACTTATGTTTCAGAATTACAATAGTTTAGTTTTTCTGTGCTCTCATTATTACGCAATAATACGTCAAAAATGGAAGTCGAATGTATCGCAAAAACGCCCGTTTTTTTCTTGTTACCGCAAAAACGTTGGTGTTATTAGAAAGATCGTACAGTAATGTACTGAATGCTAAAATTTGAGAACATTTGTATGCACAGTTAATAAGAAATCATCCTCTAAATATTAAGTACTTTTCTCAATTGTAACCTGATCTTGATTCGTATAATATCACCTTATATATGTCTTACATGGATTTTTTCGCTTCATTCTGTCTTGAAATTCATTTATCCATCGGAAATTATATTTCATTTTACAACTTATGTTTCAGAATTACAATAGTTTAGTTTTCTGCGCTCTTATTATTACGCAATAATACGTCAAAAATGGAAGCCGAATGTATCGCAAAAACGCTCGTTTTTTTTCTTTTTACCGCAAAAACGTTGGTGTCATTAGAAAGATCGTACAGTAATGTACTGAATACTAAAATTTGAGAACATTTGTATGGACAGTTAATAAGAAACCATCCTCTAAATATTAAGTACTTTTCTCAATTGTAACCTGATCTTGATTTTCGTATAATAGCCCCTTATATATCTCTTACATAGATTTTTTGCTTCATTCTGTCTTGACATTCATTTATCCATCGGAAATTATATTTCATTTTACAACTTATGTTTCAGTATTACAATAATTGAGTTTTTCTGTCATCTGGTTATTACGCAATAATACGTCAGAAATCGAAGTGGAATGTATCGCAAAAACGCCCGTTTTTTTCTTTTTACCGCAAAAACGTTGGTGTCATGAGAAATATCATACAGTAATGTACTGAATACTAAAATTTGAGAACATTTGTATGGACAGTTAATAAGAAACCATCCTCTATGATTGTAACTTGTTCTTGATTAGCATAATGGCATCTTATATATCTTTTACGTAGATTTTTTGCTTCATTAAACCTTTCAGTTAAATTTTGAGCATCTTTGGCTATATATTCAGTTTGATACCATAACTAATATTATAATTGTCTAATCTCTAATGTGTCTAATCCTCTTGAATAAATGTGTCTTTTAATTAAGCAGGCATAATGAGATCATCTTTCTTTCGCATTTTGTTCGCTTAAGTGCGTCTATTTTACATGTCATCACTGTTTTAATTGCTTTATTTTAATAGCACGTCAACCTTCTGTCTTCTGAGTAATCCCTTAATGCCTAAGCGCAGGTTCCATCGTCTGCGCTACAAACTGCATCAAAACACGGCACAGCACATTGTATTATTTTGTAGAACAATGAAATCATACCTTCATATAAACAGAAGTTTTAACTTCAATGCAGTGGATGGAATAGGCATGCATTTTGTATGAAATGCATAAATTTAAATTGCACAATTAGGATGATAACGTGGGTATATATGTCAACACCATGTAATATTGTAAGATGTTTTTGCAATGAGTCGTTGCTGTTGCCCTGAAACATTCAGCGTGTAACGTCTGCGTCTTCAACTGATGTGTACTTTTGGATAGATGGGAAAATACTGTTCTAAATAACGTTTGAAACGATCTATATATGCGTGTGAAAGTTGTGCCAAGTTTAACTTGTAATCCTAACCTCGTTGGACCATTGTTTGTCATATGGCAATAGTACGTTTGATTTGTATGCACATCTACGCTAATTCTTGTTGTAGCAAATGACTTTGGCAAATTGTAACATTGATAGCGTCGGTGAGAGGATCATATACTAGTTACGTCTTTTGTATTTATATCATAAGGACATTTTTAATTTGAGAAAGGAAGCAAATAATCCCGAGTATGTTGTGACTGTGCAGCCCAACGATGCACGCCATTTGTAAGGCCGTATTATTCTGTAAAATATAGACGTATACACAGGAATTGAAATAAACATTATAGTGTATGCCATATCTATGCGGGTCAATCACTTCTCACACAGTGCCCAAAAATAATAATCAATTTACTCTGTAAATCTGTATAAAATCGACTGCTTTGTTCTAATTACAGTCTAGCAATGCATAAATAAGCTATACATCTTCGTATTTATAAAGTTTAAACGAAAAAATGGCTAAAAAACCTGTTATTATTAAATGACCAAATTCTACTTTTGAATGATTGAACACAGTTGAATGTGAGGCCCAATCTAAGGCTCAATCTGAGGCCGAATCTGAGGCCGAATCCGCGGCTAACTTCACAGTGGTGTTTTATACTGCTGTTATGAATACGGCTAATCCAATAAAGGCTGCCCTTTCGAAACATTAAACCTCGAACTCTGAACTCGTAACGATGATGGATCTATTGATGATATAAGATGATATAAGATAAGATGGTTATTCCTACAATATATATATAGAGGTTTTACAAGAGAAAACCTATCTTTTCAAGAATTCCAGATGCAATTCAGTGAATTTTAGGCTGCGTTCACATGCATGTTACCGGATGCGCTTGTCATGACATCTGTTCGTCGTTATGAAGCAACCCTGATTAGCAAGTGCTTATTTGGTGTATTTATTCATCACAAAATCTTCACTGTCTTTAATTAGCTTCAAATTGACCTGTTGCGATTTGACCTGTTCAATTTGACCTGTTCAATTTGAACTGTTCCTGTGAACTGGGTCTATGTTATTGTGAAACTTCATTTTTTCGACTCCATGAAAAACTGTTGCCTCTATTCAGTGACATTACCAAAATATTGCAACCTGTTATTTTCCTGGAGCTCCATCGTGTCGTATTTTTGTTTCGTAATTAAAGCCTTTTTACAATCACAAGAAGTGCATTAATTTATATATATATATATATATATATATATATATATATATATATATATATATATATATATATATATATATATATATATATATATATATCGCACTATCGTTTGTTTTTTTATTCATAACTTCAAATTTAAAACTTTGCTAGTAATTGCCTATTTAAAAACCCACTGTAATGACTCATGAATTTATATATGAAATGTATTTGTGACGTATGTCGCCAACCGTTGAGAGGACTGGCACTGGGTCTCGAATTTCCTTTTGACGTATGCAACCTGTCCAGCCAATTAAGTGCCTGGAAATATCAGCAGTGATGCCGATGGGAATCATGCAGGTACATATAATGATCCGTAACGCCAACGCCTCAATCGTGTCTCAAATCCTCCGAGCTGTTGTACTTCAAGAAAATTTTATATCGTAAGGTAAGTTTATTAAATTCTGCATGCCTTTCCTTTTTCCCTTAGCTTTGTAAAATGAATTGCTCATAACGCGTATCCTGAGATTGTGTAAAGTGACATTATTGTCGTATTTTTCACAGCAATTCAAACAAGTCTATACTGTATCTGATGCATTTCGTAATCAAAACAAATGTGATAAATTAATTGTAGATTGTGGAAGATTTTATGTAACCCAATCAATAATCCAACAATGCATATACAATATATGTTTCATTGCTTTTGTGTAGCTAATACAGTTACGAATGATTTTTCATCACGCATTGTTTCATCGCATATAGTAAACTTCAAGAAACGCATAGAAACGTGAGGTTTACTCAAATTATTGATTATATAAGTGCAAATTGTTCTCTTATAGTGTCAAATGGTTAGTCCATAAAAGTGCTTTTTTATTTATAGCTTGTCTGTAAAAGAATTCGTTGCAATATGTTCAACAAAATGTTACTCACTTTGGCAACTGTGCTTGCCTTCTCATCGTTCGGTAAGGAAACACGGATAAATATCGTTTATTGCAACAAAATTCTTCAACAAAGGCGTAGCCAGCCTAACGATTTAGTCATGCTGTGCAAATTTTATGTTATAGAAATTCATTGTTTTCACATGCAGTCAATGAACACCAAAATATTAGCATAGCATGCATGACTAAATTGTCGGGCTGGCTACGCCACTGACTTTAAATGAGCAGAATAATGGCATGCAACAATACTATAAAAATCTTGAAAAAAGACGATTCAGGCAATTGCTGATGCTATGTATATACTTGGGAGCAATTTCTTGCATTTTAAGTATTCGACTGAGTGTTTAGGATTCTATAATAAACTTAATTTACCCTACAATATTATAACTATAGAAGATAATCTTCTCGAAACCTTCCCTTGACCGGTCACAATTGAAAAGAATATCAAACGAAAAATTTCGTTTGATCGAAAAACTCAGCCTAGTGAATGGAACACAGCCCTGAGATGATTTACGACTATTACAGTGCTACTTGCCTAATACTTATACGAATGTGTTTTTACGTACCTTCAGGAAGCGCTCTGAAATGCCATCAGTGCGATTACTTATCGAAAACTAGGCCTGACGATCAAGCTCAAAAGTGCAAAGATACTCGCAATTGTCCCTCTGACATAAAGTATTGTTATTCGGCTTTGGTTAAACAAAGAAATGGATGGTATCGCGTTCAGAGAGGATGCAATAGCAAAGCCACGAATTACTGTCCTGATGTGACCCTGGCATGCAAAACTGCTACCGATTTTTACGCCCTGCAGTCGTGCACTGGAAATTGTTGTAACACCGACCTGTGTAATAGCGGCATTTCTGTTAACATCATTACTGCAAAATTTCCGGTTTTTTTAGTGTTCATCTTTGCGTTGTTTTTTGCCTAACCTGATGAACGATTGATCGAGGTTTCTTTTAGATTTATCGCCTTTTTGCACATACTCTATACTCATACTCATTTGGGAATTTTTGCACATACTCAGCGTGTATCTTAATGGTGTACTGTCAGTTTATATTTTTTTCTAAAACTTTCACCTCTGTTCATAGTTATGATTGTAAGTTGTAGCTTGAAGATGGACAGTTAAACTGTTCGAAACGTTGTTGAAATAAAAGTAAAAACCTCTTGTGGAATCCTGTTTGAAACTCAATTCAATTATGTAATTGTATTCTGATTGTTTAATTTTGATAATTCTATCTAGTCATTTGTTTAAATGGTATGTAAATGACATTAAAAATAAAGGCATTCTGATTGGCTTCAGTACCTCAAGAATGTAAACAAATATGTCGATTAGTTTAAAACAAAATTCCACCTTGTTCATCTGCGCATCACCAGACTTTAAATGCATTAGTTCCTTTATTCCTTATATAACTATAATTACAAAAAATTAACTTAATAATTCAAAATATTAATGTGGGAATTTTCCTTGCATAATGAGGTTAATTAGCGTCGCGTAGCAACAAGAATCTTAAAGCAAGCAAAATGGCAACAGTGTCTGCATTTGTTAAGTAGCAAAAAGTGTTGAAAAGTCTAAAAACAGTTTAAAAAATGTGGATGGGGAAAAATTAAAAACTCGGTCATTATGAAATGCATTAAGTTAATGCAAATAATTCACCAGACGTGAAAAGAAATGTTGCGAAATGTTGTAAACTGCGGAAAATACAGTTTTGAAAAGTTTGCAAATTTAATACCTTTGTACTACGCCCGAAAATTGTAACACATTTAGGCCAAAAACGGTAACTATTTTCATACGAAATACAAAAGTATGCAATTTTGCAAGGCGCATTTGATAAAAACAAAAACCAAATATTGAATTATTTAGTTTACCTAAACTATCTGCATGTACACGTCTTATTAATTTCTAAAGCAATTAAATTTTCTCTTGAGCATTATTTTATTTGTGCCTTTTTCATTCAGAATTTCTCTGTTTTTCATCTTGTAATAGATCTGAAAATTCTTCCCAGCCAATCACTGAGCTCCATTTCACCGAAAGTGACGCTTGCCATATAATGATAGTCCTTTATCATAAAGCTCATGTGCATATTTTATCGTGTTTAGATTTTGTTCTTTGGTGATAGTTTGTTATCAGATGTCTATCCTCCGAAATGTTTTGCCAACTGGCAAACTGTCGCTCTTCTTGAAGAGCTGGAGTTGGAAATAGACAATGAAGTTGATGGTCAAAATGACAATGTTAATAATGGGGTAAGTGTACTATAGCCACGTTTACACTACACTCGAGTTTATTTGCACAGCACGTCTAAAACGGGTACCCGTACCCAATTCATCCGTGCCCGGCCTTTGTTTTGGTAGCCTGAACACTAATGGGCACGGGTACCCACTTTAGCCGTACCGTGCTAATAAATTGAATGTAGTGTAAACGGGGCTTAAATTACACTGCACTCAATTTATCGACACGGCACGGCTAAAATGGTTTCATTTGTGCTCGGCCTTTGTTTTGGCAGCCTGAACACTAATAAAACTGGAAACGAGTACCCATTTTAGCCGTGCCGTGTCGATAAATTTTGTGTAGTATAAACAGGGATATACCAGGGACCGTGCATGTTGATCCTTGATTGTGGGGCTAATATTCATATATTTGTGATATTCGTGTTAACAGTCCGTAAAATTAATAAAACAATCTATTTAAAAAAAATCTCACGTTTCTCCGCGTTTCTTGAAGTTTCCCGAATTCAGCATTTCCGTTAAATTTCGATCTATAAATAAGTGAGCTATAAAACCTTTGCACAGTACTGATTGAACATCTTTTTTTCATTAGGAAGATTGCGCCGACGACGAACCAGATACCAAGAAACAGAAATTAAATGTAAAATTATGTTTTTGAAACTTGGTGATCTTAGAATAATGTAATATACGCGAATTAATGACGGGACATCGGTGGGGATAGAATTATTTGATGAAATGTGGGCAGTTTGAAGACTATACTCGACTCTTAATTATTTTTAATCATAGTTAATATGTTTTAATCTAGGGAAGCCTGGCGGTTACTTTTGCATCCATGCACCTATAGTGACCACGACAATCAACTTAACATGTTCACGACAATGAGACAAAATGAAAAGTAGTTCATAGCAATGATAGCATAGCATTGGATCTTTTGTCTAAATGCATTTGACAAATATCCCATTCATACGGGAAGAATATATATTGGCAAATAACATTTTATTTAATTAAATTTATTCCTTCTACGTAGCCTGAAAATGGTTGGAAATGGTTAGTGTTTTCACAAATATATCCAGTACTGACCAACTGCTATATTTATTTTGCGCTCTCTTCCAGGAAGACACGAATGGCAGACAAAAAGATGACCATATCACATCCAAAGATATCTTAACATCTGCAACTTGGGGTTCCATATTTGGCGTTGATGGAAAGCTAATGAATACGCTTTATAGTTCCCTAATTGACGAGTACAGCTCACTCGTGATAGCTGGACTGGACTCTATAACAGGTGAAATTGTACCAGTGGCCTAATCTCCAGTAGACCTTATGCATAATGACGTAACAAGCCGTGACATCAGATCTGCAGGGAATTCTGGTCTTAATAGTCATGGCGGGAAATTTTGAACTTTGAATTTTTCGCCGTTACTACTAAACCAGAATTCCCTGCCGGCGTGATGGCTTGATACGTCATTAAGCATAAGGTCTAGTTCAAATACCTTACCCTGGATCCACCATTGGGCTGTACTGCGAAATCGGCAGCACTTTTAGGGGCTGTTTACATGAGCCCGGTTACCCGAAATTCAACGTAGAGTAAGATGACTTTGAACTATTGAAATAAGTTTTTAAGAAAAATAATAATAATTTTTCTCTCGTAGTATACTGCATCAGTTGATTATGACCCTGTCCGGTAAAAGCAATACTCGATGGCACTTAGTGACTTAAAAAAAGGCAATGCCATGAGATCCGACAAGTGGAACTTCGAAAACTTGCTTAATACTTTCTGTTTATATATTTGTGTTTATAGAATTGCCATTGGATCATACATTTGAGAAAAGTCGACATAATGGACGGACACATTTTTTTCCACGGGAACCAACCACCTCGTGATACATTAACTATAAATCATATGAATGCTGATTTTTTAAATACCACTGAATGCAACTCTCCATACATTCAAGCAACGAAATTTGTATGAATATAATAGTTATATAATTATAATAATTAGTATAATATATTTTTTGATACATACACCCTGTAGAAAGCGACGTGCGCTAAAGCGTATATTCATGAATATTAGGCCATGTAATGTGCACACGGTAACGTTTTTGAGCGTTTTCACATTTGTCTTCATTGCAAAACAGTTACAAACACCGTCAAGTTACAAATTGACGCTAATTTGACATATTAAGCATGTATTTTCCCTTGGAACGTGTGGACTTTGTGTGTGAACGTGTAAACCCTGTGAACGTCTGAACAATAAAACAGAAAAAACCTCGAAAACGACACTCGTGTGCTCATAGCCTAAGTGTTGCGTTTTTATATACACCCTGTTCTACTCAATCCAATATCTCAAAATCATCTCACGCTTTGTTGAGTGACTCAAGTCTCGGCTAAGCGGGGCCATGTAAACAGTCCCTAAGTATACTCATATTGCCCGTAGGTTTTGAATGTAAATTGAAAATATGTTGTAATTCTGACGAATTTTTCATTAGTCTGACTTTAAGCTAGCTGTCTGGAGCAATTAACATCAACGGTTTTCGAGTACTCTTCAGCCGCCCACACAATTTTATTACCTTCCACTGTTTCTATTGACTATATCTTATTGGTTCAATTGCAGCTATTCAAATTAACTAGCGGTGTTCCTTTGGGACGAATTCGAGCACCTGCCAAAGCATATCGAAGTGTCTTTGTAATAGGACCGTTTAAAGCTCCATTTCAGAAAGTAATATTCGATTAAAACTGGATGTACAAAAGGCAAAGAATGTAGAACAGTAGAAATGCGAATCGCGATAGTTTCGTGGAGTCCACGGGCTGGTCCATTGGACGAAAAATATTGGGTGTCTATGCAGAATGCAGTAAAATAAACAAAACAAATGGCCTTACGGTGAAGCTCTGTTGTTTTGCTTTACGCCAACACATTTGGGGATAATTTGTAAATATTTTGGTTGTTTTTTGATCGAATTTTCCGAAGCAAAGCTGGGTTGCTCAATTTCACGAATCGGTTCATCGACCCGCGGTGATCCCGCAGTCAGTGACAACAATATGGCGGCTTCGTTTCCTTCGGCTGGATCTCCCCAAAGGATCGGAAGCCCGAGAAACAAGGTTGCCCTGAAGCCGGGACGGAGTTTAATGGACTGGATTAGATTAGGGAACAGCGGGAAAGATTTGCAAGGTTTTGGAGGCGAATATCGGAAGATTACTCCGGCAGAATTGGCCAAGCATAATCGCGTTGACGATGCGTGGATATGTCTGAGAGGTGGGCTTTCTTTGAAATATTGATGGGAGGGTATTTAAATATGCAAAAATCTCTTGTCGTGTATGCTATATTAAATGTTTTGTTCTGAATATTTCGGTTTCCATGTAAACTATTTGTACACAACAAATACATAATTATCATTGAACACACTCCCCCCCCTGTTGTGCTGCTTCATTCGTTTAATATATGAACGTTCATGTATTAAATGACACATATGGCTGGCAATTGATGGAATCTGGTCCATCTTGTGTGTGTTTGATGAAGAATATGTGATAAAAAAAACATTTCCATCGCAGGGATATGAAACTTTGACTATTTTGAAATTGATTGTATGACTCCCATTGCCAACAATCTGTATTCAAATCAGGCTTTAGGGATCAAGCACATCAATTTTACATAAGACAATGGATTTCTATTATAAGGAGTGATTATGAGCCATTCGTTTTTCCAACATGCTAGAATTTTTGGCAATTTGGCCCTTAAATCAATGGCTTATGTATACTTAAATTGTAGAGGGATTGCACCGCCACCCCCCTCTGGTGCTACCCCTAAAAAACACCCTTTACCTAAAAACGTATCTTAATGTTCCATTTTGTATTAGGCTGTGTCTATAATATCACACCATATTTGGAATACCATCCTGGGGGTATACCAGAGATCATGAAGGGTGCTGGGATAGATGCAACACAGCTGTTTAATGAGGTAATGCAAAGGAAATTAGTAGTTGGGATGATTGACTTATCATTGTGACATCCATTTAATATGATGAATTATGAAAAGTACACAACAACTTGTTGTCTCCATCATCATGACTTAACACAGTTAATTCTTCATTGTCCCCACTTAAATTAATCATGATAAATTAAATTAGCCAGCTAGTGGACTGTGGACATTTCAACTTCATTGTGTAGAATAGGTGTTACTGGCAAATAAAAATTTCACTTGCATGAAGTCTGGCTAGAATATCAGTGAACAATTTGAAATTAGAGAAATCACTAACAATTAGTGCAGTTGAGGCTAAAATTTATATACAATGTTTCATGAAAATATGTGTAGAGGAACCAGGTATACTGTAGATTATTGCATGTTTGACTATTGGAAGTCAGGAATTTCTGAAATAATTATTTTTGGGATAATAATAAATATATTTTATGCATAATTTCAGCAATTGATTCCTTACAGGGGTAGGGGTAATTGCAGTAATAAGTACCTTTATATAACTACGGCAAATGTAAATTTTTCATTGATGTAAATCAATAACACATTTTATATTCATGTAACACAAGACACAGTCACTCTTTCATTCCTCAGATCCACCAGTGGGTGAACGCAGAGTCCATGTTGCAAAAATGTTTAATTGGTCCTCTTGTGCAAACTCCGAAAGAGAAAAAAAAAAGCGGTGGGTATAATTGAGTACAATTTAAAATAACCTATATCACTGGGATAGAAACAGTATTAAATAACAGGAAACTTGAAATCTCTGAGAACTCTGAACTCTGGAACATTACTGAAATGAAAATTGCAACATGGCAATGTTTCCAAATCAACTGAACACCTGCATTGTCATTGCACTCTATTGAACACTGCCTTTACCAGAGATTACCCTGTTGTACTAGCTGGTACTTGGCATATAGCCCCCCCCCCGTGGATTCTATTTTGCTTATTGAGTTTCCTCGTGGCCCAAAAAAGTAAAAAAATCTACACCTGCATCTACTCTGGTCATAAATTTCATGATATTTATTTTAGGTACAGGTAGTAACAAGCCATCCGTAACATTTCTTGCCCCTCCTACGCCCGTCTTCAAACCGAAAGATACTGTCGATGATAGTGAAGGTATTGTACCTCAAACATACGGTATTGTATGAACCTAAACTAAACGCAACAATTGTTTTTAGTAGCAGGTGCCGGTATGCATCATTATTAGACCATTTGTTTCAAACATGTCTTCTAGATGGTTTATACTGGAAGTGCGAAGTTAAATCAATAGTGGAGGTCACTCACAATGTTAAAATGTTTTGCTTTAACCTGCCAGAAGGTTTGGTCATGGAGTGTCCCATTGGACATCATGTTCATTTACAGAGAACAATCTCAGGTAGAAATCTTAAACTCTTTCATGCCTGTGTAGTGGAGTTAACTCACTGTCAATTACACTGTACCAGTGATGGTATTTCATAAGGCGTTTAGCCTTAAGTGGTAAATCAGTTCAAAATGGAAAACAAAATCTATTCATTGAACAGCTGAGCTGAAATATTTCGATGTAAATAGTTTAATTTTCAATGGAAGTATATATTTAATGCATAAGATTTTGATTGAGTCATTCAAAAGGTGTGTAAGAGTATTTTAAACTTTGGCTTATCCACTCTTTAAGCTAAATGCCTTTCAATCAACCGGCCAGGTGGCCCTTGATCTCAAAAAAAATCTCTTATAACTATATTGCTGGTGCTGCTAAGGAAAGGGGCCAAGGGGGGTCAATCCCCCCCCCCAAGAACCGGCTTTCAAATTTGTCCAAACGAGGGTCAACAATTTTGAAATTTACTAATTCATTCTGGACCTTCCCGAGAATTTGCCCCCTCAAAAAAATTGCTGGCGGCGCCACTGACAACGTCATCTTCTCTTTGTTCATTTAGGAATCGATGTTTCAAGACCATACACGGTCACTCATCCATCCTTTGATTGGAAGAGTTCAGAGGAAAATAAAAGACATTTATACTTGATAATAAAAATATATTCGTTAGGGACACTGACGCCGAGTTTGTTGGACGTAAATGTTGGTAGGCAAAAATTCTCTTTAGGTTTCACAATTAAAACTTTTCACTTCAAATCAGTTTCATTTGAAAACTACATGCGGTTTATCCTGAGTTAACTATCCCCTGAAAAACGTTTTTCTCAATTGTAGGAGACCATTGTCTGCTGACGGGGTATAGTGGAAACTTTAAGTCTTCCCGTCTGACTGAAGCAAAAGATATTTGTATGATTGCTGGAGGGACAGGTAGTGTAGTAGGTGAAGTTGTATATACACAAACACTAAAACCAATGGACAATTTAAAAAGTACTAATAGTTCCATTTTATTGGCAAAACTATTAGCAGACTAAAGCCCCTTTTCCACTTATTGCAAAAGCCCACTCCCAAGCTTGCTGCGAGTGCTTGCGTTTAATTAAAATGAACTTTAAAGCATTTTTATTGCACGAAAACTCTCGCAGCGAGTTTGCGAGTTCGCTATTACGAGGACTGAAAATCCGTCCAAAGAGACGCTGACAAAAATTTGACATAAAAAATATTTTGCGAACAAGGCGTGTTCCTGATTGGCCAACCGTCCGCATAAGAGTTCAGGGGTCGTCTAGTACCTGTCTCGGACCGTTTACAGCACTCGTACACCTATGTGTTTTTGTGCAGGTTTAACACCAATGATAAGAATGATTCACTCGTTTGTACACAAGCAATTACCGGCACTGAGGTAAGGTGTGAAAAGCGGGTGAAGATTTTATCCGGGGGTAGAGGGAGGCTGATAATTTTGAATGGTTACAATTTCGTTAAGGTACCGCTGACAAACGCTTCTAACAATGCGGGCTCACTTCACGCCCGGGTAAAATCGTCACCCGTGCATTATTGCATTATTCTTTTGTATAAACACAATGTGTTTGATAATTATTTATGATCTTACGTTCAACAGAACTGTTACTTTGTTATACGCCAACCGAGAGGAGAAAGATATAATCTGGAAAGACAATCTGGACAAACTACAGAAGGAAATGCCTAGAAAGTTAGTAAAAGAATTTCGTTTACACCGTAACTTACAGCCTTGTTAGCACCTGGACGTTTTATTGAAAACGCTCAATGGAATATTCAATGGCAATAGTTGCATTCAGCTAATGTATAGAGATCAGGGACTGAAAATATCGAGCGGGCGGGGTTGCTTGGGATAGTTTTGCCCATTCTTGTCACGTGCTTTCCAAATGCGCCCACGCGCTCGGTGTTCATAGAAAACTATAACATAATCTGTGCACATTAGCTAAATGCAACCTTCATATAGCTACGTGCTAGTTTATAGAGATATTGTGAATGCTGTGACTTAATAAGTTCACATCATAATATGCAAATGTTTGCATACTATTGTGAAATCCCTTTGAAATTGAATTTGAAATCGAGTTTATTCGTCATTCCTTGGCTTCCTGAGTCAAGCCCAAACCGCCCTCCCCCCCTGTTCGAGTGGGAATGCGAACATTCCCCAGTCAAACGTCAGAACTTGCTTTCGAAAAGTGACCTGGGACATCAATACCACTCTTTCTAGGTTTCGGGTTTCATATTTCTTATCAAACCCCCCAGAATCCTGGTCAGGCTACTCAGGCCGCATCGCGGAGGACTCACTAAAGGAGTTACTACCTGCCTGCCCGAAGGCAGGCCGCGAGCAAGATTTGCTCGTTTGTCTCTGCGGTCCTGATCCTTTCATGTTGCAACAACTTAGGTAAGTGCTGTGTTGTGATACTGTAAAGTCAACCTTATTGTAGTGAAATACATGACGTACTGGGGCCCGGTTGTATAAAACTCTTAACTACACTTTGCATAGTTAAATCCTAGTTATCTCAGAAATACACAACTCCGATTGGCGAATTCTGTCCTTAACTACAGTTAAAAAGTTAACTAATTGTTTATACAACTCACACCTGTTGTCTGAAAACTCTCAAGTTGTTCCAACGGACGTGGTTGCTATGAAGTTGTAGTCACTAGTTGTAGCAACGTATTATATAAGCTTCAACCTTGTCTTCATTTCTTTCGTTTCAGAAAAAAAGTTATCAGTCGCCATCTCGCTAGTCCCAGTTTCTGACTTTAATGTTATTTCCGTTCGAATTTTCCAAACAGTTTCGTGTTTTTCTTTGAACAGGTTTTTAAAGAAACTTGGTTACAACAGCAAGTCAACGCACGCGTTCTTTAACTAAAGAAGGAATCGTGTTAATTCCCCAAAGACATTCGAAAGGTCATCTCCTGTACCACTGAGCTACGCGAGGTTTTATTTTATCCAGTAACTGATGCACTGAGACCCGAAAGGCCCAATATCAAAAATCATGTCATGTGACATCACATGACGTCACATAGTTTCTAAGGATGTTCTTACCTTTTATCTTCTGACTCGTGAAACCTGGCTTTCGTGTAGTTGTAAATATCGTGAACAAGTCATTAGCGAGGTTCAGATTTCACTACCGCTGCCTTTCCGGAGACATAAACCAACCAGATTCGATAACTATATCAGATTAACCAATAGCGAGCCCATTAGGTCAACCTAAGGTTTTAGAAGTGGGAGCCAATCTGAACCTCGCCGCTTTCACCGATGTGAAATAGTCCGCATGAATATTTGCCTTTGTTTTTATATATTTCGTTATTTTTTACTGCATATACATGCAGCAATATTCTAATACATCAACCACCTTGACATGTTCACGAGAATTACGACTAAATGAATCAGTCCTTTGTTCATCCATTTTTACTTCAATCCATTTTACTTCAATTTTAAAAAATGAGGACATTGTATATAAACAAACTTTAGTCAGCTATCTTTCAAAGAAAGTCCGTTATCTTTCAAGGAAAGTCCGTCATCTTTCAAGGAAAGTCAGTAAAAGGTTATTCTACCATCAGACGGTTGTCTAAAACCGTGAACACAATTTGGGTCACAATGATACTGGTCAGTGGGTTGGATCGTAGACGCTTTGGGTGTTGGAGCAAAATCAAAATCTTCGTCACAATCTTCTGAGAATGCTGCTGTTTTAAAATTAGAAATTCGGGGTTGTGTATTCATAAAGTCATAGAGAATGTTAGGAACTTATTTATTTGCATGAAATGTCAGATGTAATTTAAAGAATGAAAATGAATATTATTTTAAAATCCTACCGTTCTCATTGCCACGTACTTGCGTCTCTCTAGGTCTATTTAATGAAAGCACTTTAAAATGTGTCCTGCCCGCTGATTTGAAAAATTTCCCGAAATTTTGCATGTTTCTGATTTTACTGGACGCAAACTCAGGTTCACATTCATTTACAACCATAGTGAACCAGTTTTGTGTTGGGGATATGCAGACAGTTTGTCACATTTTGATGAAATATAGCAGTTCAAAATGTAAACAAAGCTTTTATTAATATCACCGTCTAGACATCATCCTTAGAAAACAAGTGTTTCTAGTGTCTACGTATTGAAATATAGGTGCTGTTCACATAAGCCCGCTTACCAGATTTTGAGGTATGGAAATAAGTCAGTTATAAAACAAAACAAGTTCATGCTATTGTCGGGTCAGTATGTCGGGATGAGTATACACCACTGCTATAATCATCTTGTATACTCATTCCAATACTTCAAAGTGATTTTGGAATGATCACACAATTGCCAAGATTATACTCATTCCAATATTATATTTCATCTCACGCTTTGTTGAATCCCGACTAATTAGGCCCGCTAAGCGGGACCATGTAAACCCTGTGGCCCTTGGCCACAGCAGGGCTCGCCGAGCGTTAATACAATATAACTTTCAGCGTTTACTGAAAACTAGGTTATATTTTGCACTCGGGGTGGCCAAACAAGGATCAAAGACTTGAAAAAGATTTGGAGAGCGGCCGAGAGCCACCTTAATTGGAAAGGTCAATAAGAATCGGGTGTTGAAATTGAAATTAATATCCAATATGGCGTCCAAAACAATGATCTTTTTGCCTTGATCTTTCACGAAAATGTCCGCATTTCAGGGCCAGAAATTGGTTCACTTTGATCTCAAAGGCGCTCCACCGAAGCTTGAGTACATGCTGCGTTTAATCCCTTTGCTTCGCGAATGGGGAGCGACTGGAATTCTGATGGAGTATGAAGATTTCTTCCCGTATAAAGATCAATTTCAGGTCGTTCGTAAGCCTCGTGCATACACGTTAAACGACATCCACAGGCTGCAACAAGCTGCCGAAAACGAGAACTTGACTTTCATTCCGCTTGTTCAAACGTTCGGTCACATGGAGTTCGTTTTAAAGCATGCAAAATTTGCGGATGTGTTGGAGACAGCTAATAATCCTATTTCGGTCTGTCCACTGCACAAAGCTGCGCTGAATTTGGTTAAAAGTCTTGTGGATCAAGTTGTCGAAGCACACGAAGATCTCAAGTACCTGCATATTGGAGGGGATGAGGTGAGATGTTAATATTAAACCATTTCAGATTCCACCACACCAATTGCATCAAAAGTAATAGCCAGGGGGGGCAACCCACAGAATAAAAACAAACCTCCAATCTTGCCCAAACCTCGGCATTAGAGAACCCCTATTTTTCAGAATTTTAGAAGCCCTAGAATTTGTCGAGGGGTGTCCCCTGACACCTTAAATGCACTTGCCCTCCCCTACTTAGAACCCTGGCTACGCCCATGCTTATTTATTGAAATTGAGCAATTGAATAGGGAACCCTCACTGAAATTGTTACCTTAATCCATAGCTCAGGCTGTACGAAGGCTGGATAGCTATATTGCCACCGGATAGTGATTTTGTCAACTGTCTCTGTAAATGCTGGAAAAGCAATAAAATTTCATCTTTGGAACCAATATTAATAAAGAAGATCCTCAATTTAGGAATATTAGGGCGTAATCAAAGTTATACCCAACAATAGGCGATTTTAGAGCGATTGAAAAAACACTATCCAGTGGATAGCACTATCCAGCTTTCATACAACTGACCCCAGTACTTTGAAGAAAAAAATTAAGCACATAAAGATTTTATCACATTTACCCATCCAGGTGTTCAATTTGGGCACGTGCGCTGCCTGTCAGGCGTCAAGCATGAGTAAGCAACAGCTGTATAGCACTCACATGATACCACTGCTTCAGTATGTCAAAACAAAATGGCCGAGCATCTCACTGCTCATATGGCACGATATGTTGGCCGACTACAGCGTCGAGGAGCTTCAGCCGTTTGGCAGCCTCGTAGAGCCGATGGCCTGGGGATACCTGGATGATATCGGGAATTACTTTCCCCAGGAAATGTTCTCTCGTTTCAGTCAGGTCTTTGATAATATCTGGGTTGCAAGCTCTTACAAAGGATCATCAGGTACCGTAAATACTAGATGAGAATTCTCGATATTTAAGTGAAAAGAAGGCAAGAGACTAGCTAGTAAATGAAGTCCTATAGTAGTGAAACCTTTTTTTATACATAATTGCTCGTCAAAATTATTCTTCAAATTTTTTTTTCGCGCGGACGATTTTCTTCGCAGAATTCATAACCACAGCTCGAAAGAGCATCCTAAAAATAATGGATTGGAAAGGTTGGTTGGAAGTGCAAGTGCAAAAATTGTGAAAATATCATCTTGTGAAGTTGGGCAAGTTTTGTACTACGCGCGAAAAGTAGAAAATTTTAGAAAGACTTGACGCGTAATACTGATTTCAGTTTTTCACATTTTTCATATTTCGTCACCAAACTTTCCTATTTCACTAATTTTTCTTTTCAAAATCCAAACGCTCTTTGAAATGCTCTTTTCAACTACAATGTCCAGTACCGGTAATATTTCCACTTTTGAATTTAGTTTAAAAAGGGAAATCATCTATCGTCGATTGCCGGCCGTTGCTGTTCTAGATAGTATAGTTCCGCTTTGCCAATGGCCTCGATATAAATTTTCGTTCGTCATTTCAGGGCCAACGGCCGATTTTGTCCCGCTAGAGCACCACGTTGCCAACCATCTCTCTTGGCTTCAGCTCATCTCGAATCTGCCCGAAACCACCCGTTGCAAGATATCGGGTATAGCCCTGACGGGCTGGTCGAGATACGACCATTTTGCGACGCTCTGCGAACTATTTGCACCCGCGGTCCCGTCTCTCGTCCTGTGCTTGGCAATTCTCGAAAACGGCCATCTTACCAACGAAGTCGAAGAACTTGTCGCTCAACAACTCGGTTTCACATCAACCCGCTCCTTGAAGCCTCTCGTGAGCGACCCGAACGCGGAATTCGAAAAGGGTTGTTTCCCCGGGTCGGAGCTTTTCTCGTATGTTGCGTACTTAGAGAAAGCGAAGTTTTTCTTAAAACGGACGAGATTTCAAATGAACGGTTGGATTACGAATTGGCATTGGAAGAATAAGCTCGTGAACGCTGCACATCTCGAGCATGCGCGTTGGTTGTGCGATGTCGCCCTTAAGGATTTGAGCTTCATTCGGGTGCACGTGGGGCAGTGCCTCAGGGCGATTTACCACGAGGAAACCGTCGAGGAATGGCTGGAAGTTAAAGTGGAAGAACGAATACGAAAAGGAAATGGATATTTGGAAATATTGAATAATTTTAATCGGAAGAGAACGTAATAGGAGAATTGCACACTACAGACGATGGAGATGAGGATGTATAAGGAAATGAGGAAAATATTTGAAACGTAGGAAAATAACAGCCTATAAAAACGAAAAGACCTCTCCTTTGTTACCATTCAAGCACGCTGCTAGGTTCTTTCCCATCCAAATGCTTTTATATTTTTGTTTTCAGTGTTAAATTTTTAAATTTAAAGTAGGTGCGGACCACCCGTAGCGTCTTTATAGAAGTCGTGAAATTTCTGTTTTTTATATATATATAAAACAAAAAAAATCATCTTGGAAACTCAAGATTTGATTTATTAAACACACAAGACTGATAAAGTCATTGTCAAACCAATTAGCTTTGAAATTGACTCTGAAATGTCGAAGTATCGTTATAATTCAGCGTCTAAAATCTTGAGTTCACACGATGTTATTTGCAGTTTGTTTCGTCTTATATTTCAAAATATAGTCTGCTGGTAAAGGCTTTTTTGATATACAGCCCTACGCATAGGCAGCGCAAATATGCGTGACAATTTGAACGCGAGAAAGTTTTCGGCAATTTGTCAACATTCAGTTTCAAAGTATCACGCACATTTGGGCCGCCTATTATGCCCAATGTCGGGTTAAGAATTTCAACTAAAGGCAAATATGATCATGCTCATTTAGTGACCAGCGATTATTTTGTTGTTATTTCAGTTCCCATAAGAGTCAAACTGTACACGGACAAGCATTTGTAAAATATTTAAAAAAAAAGTAAATAGTTTATGTTTTAACAAAGTTTTAACAACGTTTTAACATTGTCCACCGTGTTTTCATGAAACTAACTGATGTCCTAATCTTCTGAGGTGTGGTTACTACCCCCCAGGGGATTACTCTCCCTCTTGTGAAGAGTTTCCCCTTTCATTCGTCGCTTCCCCCTGCGACGTCTCCGATCTTGCAAGACGGGTACGCCCACGTATCTGTGTAGCAGTGTCGTCTCATTTGTACCGCCAAAGCCTTGCGCAACTTATTCTTGGCCACCTTATCGAAGTTCTGCTGTTGCGTTTCTGAGGGCAGGGTTATGGGGACTGGTGACTGGGATTTTCTCCCCTTATCTGGTCCTCTGTACCCCCGGCCCAATCCCAAGTCCCTGCGCGATTTGCATACAGCCAGAGTGTCCGATTTCGATCTGTTTCCGTTCGTCGTGCCACGAATGCCTTCGTTGGCTGCCGAAGTCTTCACGGAGCATGCCGAACAGCTTTTCCTTGGGGGTTTAGCGGATGATTTTATATCTTCGTCAGAACGCATCGCTGACTGTAGCTTGGACGAACATTTCTTGATTTCGTTCTTGGAAACAGCTGCTTTTCTCGCAAATCCATCCTTTGTCTTTGATGTACTTCAGTAGTTAAATTCATCGCGAAAATTCCCGTTCCCTTCACGTTGGTTGAATTAACAAATGTCGACACATTTTTTCCCAAAGTGCTCTTAGTTGAAGAAATATTACCCGCCTCTTCAGAGATTTTATTCTCCTCAGCATTCTCTCCTACAATCGGCGTTTTCCGCTTGCTTCCGATGTTGTGTTGGCGCTTCCGAACGACCGTCCGACCGCTTCCGACACTTTTCAATCTATTCCCACCAGTTGACCGAGCACTGCAAGTATTTGACCGATCCTCTTTGATGTTCTCACGATCTTTTCCGACACTCTTCCGACCTTTATCGGGGTTTGACCGAACACTGTTAGACCTATCCCAGTTGACCTTCTCACGATCCTTTCCGACATGTTTCCGACCAATTCCGACCCTTCGGCGAGAGTGTCCGATCCTTTGCCTGATATTTTCAACATTGGATAGTTCACGAGCATATCTGTTTCTGGATCGATTACTGCCCACGATTTTCCTAGACCGCACAATTCCACACCGGTCGTTTCCAAACACCTGACGATCTGTTTTCGCATCGTTTTCGCTCTCTGCGTAGGAGGTGGTGGCTTTCTCCCGACTTTTTAGCACGGCATCATCGGGTTTTGAACGAAGATGGACATTTTTCTCGGATACCTCGTTCGCTTTTTCTTCCACCTTTTTACTTGCCGAGAAACCGCGGCGCATCTGGTTTGGACAAATTTTTAAGCCCTTTACCGTTGGGGAGAGCTGTCCTTTGGATACTTCAGTATCCATACATGAACCTGTGCCCTGTATTATGCCTTGCTTAAGACTCCGCGCAATGTCTATATCCAAGGATTCTACGCCTACAGTGTTCTGAAGTGAATCTCGTATCCCTGTCATCGAATAATATTTGTTTTCAGTTCTCGTGTCATTAGAAGCCCCGTTGTCATTTGTTTGAGGTACTCTGACCTCGATTACAGGAACAGCTGGATTGTTCTTCTTTCCGGGAAGCATTTCATTGATGTTTTTATCGCTTCTTAGAAAGCCATCAATTTCCATCTCACCGGAGCTGTTGCGCACGCGCACCCAGATGATGTTCGTCTTCGATGGGCTCCGCGATGGCGGGGGTCCCTGTGGCGTGTCGTAGGTCCGTTTCCAGGGCAACGAATTTGTCACGCGATTTCGTTCGGCCATTTTCTTCAGCAAGCAAACTTTCTTGACTTCCAACTGCTTCATGCAATATTCGCCACTCGGGTAAAATACGCCGTTCGTTGTTGAACTCCAGGATTTTCTCAGACGTTCCCTATCTTTGAACAAGATTTACAAAAATTTTGCATGTAATAATCCGTGTCAGTAATAAACGCGTAGAACGAATGTCAATATGGACTTGTTCCGAGCGTTCCAGAAAGGATCATCTTTTATTGATCCAGTGTTACTCCAGGAGAAAATCTAGACAAACTAACTTTATTTATACTAGACATCTCTATAAGTTAACTGTTCTTCTTAGAGTTCCAATAAGGAACATCTCTTATTGACTCAGTGTTACTCCGGGAGAAAATCTAAACTAAACTAGGCTTTATTTATACAAGATAGCTCTATACGTTTTAAACTGTTCATCCGAGAGGTCCAGTAAGGATAATTTGTTATTGGAGGAAACGTGAACTAACTGTATTTTTGCTCGATAGCTCTATTAGATTTAAACTGTTCTTCCTTTAGGTCCAGTAAGGATACTGAATCTCTTATTGATCCAGTGTTACTACAGGTGTAAACCTAAACTAAACTAACTTTATTTATACTGGATAGCTCTATCAGTTCTAAACTGTTCTTCCTAGAGATCCAGTAAGGATCATCTCTTATTGATCCAGTGTTACTACAGGAGGAAACCTAAAATAAACTAACTTTATTTATACTGGATAGCTCTATCAGTTCTAAACTGTTCTTCCTAGAGGACCAGTAAGGATCATCTCTTATTGATCCAGTGTTACTACAGGAGGAAATCTAAACTAAACTAACTTTATTTATACTATAAAGCTTTATCAGTCCAAACTGTTCTGTCTGGAGATCCTACTGATCATCTCTTTCACCGTCTCATTACAGGATTAAATTTTAATGATATCCACACCAAACTGTTACCTTTATTTAGGCGCCAATGTTGCCACGCTGGTGAGGGACATCTCTTGTCACTCGTCACCAAATACTGTCCGCTATTTCGTCTGCTGTCTAAAGCCTTGGCATTCCGTGCGGACAGCTGAAGCAAATGTTTTTCGCTGCTGTTCTTGTGTAAAAACTGTTTCCGTTCTTTCTCGATTTGATCGAGCCGCATGTTCAGTTTGTGTTCTTCTAGAAGCAACTTCCTTGAAATATGGCAGGGAAACGAGCTTCCGGCCGAATGTACGACTTCCCGCCGACTTTTCCTACTCGGTTTCCGCCAAAGAAGCTTAAACAAGAGATCCTTATCTCCCGAGCGTTGAATTGACGAATCGCTGGCGGACTTTCCACGCACAGTCATATCGTCGTAAGCTGCTCGTTTCTTTCTACCAATTAGTGACGTCATAATACTTGGCTGGTTCGTGGTGGTCGCCACGCGTGGAAGGTTCCACGCGCGCATGTGTTTTAAAGAATTCATAACTTAGGATTATAAGATATGGTTATCCGTGCAGGACATGCACTAGTTGTGCTGCGGAAAATTCACTGGAAAGCGGGAAAATACCCCAGCCGAGTATATTTGTATGCTTTCCAAAAGTCGAACAACATTCCTACATGGGGGAACCATTTGGCGATTGTTTTATGTTCTATATAATTACTACAGTTAAGGAACGGTTTAAAACTTTTTAACCGGTTTCATTTATGCATTAAATAGGTACTCATAAAAATTAAACTATTTACATTGAAATATTTTAGCTTAGTTGTTCAATAATTAAGCAGCCCGGTCAATGCAGTTAGGCCACCTACGTCATGATTACGACATGGCCACTTACGATTGGGTCTTCTTATCTGGCAATTCCATGTTAATTCTATGGTAATTAAGCCAGGTTAGATCACAGTTTAGATCTATCATCTTATTCGTCATTCATTTACTACTTTCTAGTCAAACTAATACAAATGGACATGTATTACATAAAGTTTTTCACTGGTAACACACGCCTGCATTCATTCGGTACACACACGTGGAAGATGATCTCAAATTCAAAACAAACCAGATTTTTCAACTTTTTACCTTGTTTTTTGTCCATGTCAGTGTTTACAAGGCTCTAATGTGGTCATAAATAACTGACTGGAATGTCAAAAAGGGTAGTTCTACCACCGCTTCCAAAGGTCTCAGATCTATTACGAATTTATGGTGTCCGTGCTAAGAAACAGCTCAGTCAGAATTTCATACTGGATCAAAACATCACTGGTATGTTTTTAAAGACTTCGGTATTCTCTGAAAATAGTTTGTACCGTTTGGTGGATCTCCGGCTTAGATAAATAATCGCCCTACCCCAGAAAAGCCCAGCCTAGATGACGATATTGACTGCGTGATAATTGATGTCTTTAAAAGTCATAGTCATTTTTGACTTCAGATAAAATCGCTGGCGAAGCAGATGTTTTTGACTGTTTTGTATGTGAAGTTGGTTCTGGACCTGGTTCTTTGACGCGGTCTGTGCTCCACGCTGGCGCGAGGCATGTTGCAGCTGTTGAGATTGACCGCAGATTCATTCCAGCGCTTGAGGTACGGCATGTTTATTGTTTGTTTATTAACTGTAATTTAGAGGGGGTTACAATGCTTCTGCGCATCCGTTCGCGCATACCATTGGTTAGGCTATTTCAGTTAAAGTTGCTGAAATTTAGCAGTTTTTTCTGAACATGCAATGCAGTCCATATGTATTCATTTAGTGAACCAAAATAGTGTCAAATATCCTCTGTATATTTTGAGAACTATGTACAGTGATTCAAAATGTAAACAACGCGTTTGTTTACTTTATGGACTGACTACCCCACCTTTAACCATTTGTATGATGATCAAATAATTCATACGTTTTTTTATATGGGAAAATCGGTCTTTAAAATGCTATATGTAGCTAGCTATGGTTGTGAGTTGTGACAATGAAAGAAAGGGGCTGTGATAGTCTTCTACCTGCTCTTGTGGATCCTTGTGTTGTGTCATAGCAGATTTCTTGCAGACGTTTTTTTTGCTATATTGTCTGTGTCACAGGTTGAACTGGCGATGAATTGAATCTAGATTTCTATATCTTTCTTGGATGAGTTAACTTGAATAAAAACCTATGGACTTACCTAGTTTACAAAGTTCTTGAATTTTGCAGATATATCTAAAATTCTTCATGAAATATTTTGACAGGAAGCAATGGAATGTCCCACATCTCCATTAACTAATAACCAACATCTTCAGTGACTATTAACTAACCTCTGCATGCATGCAACCGTAGTACAACCAGTCCAGAATGTTAACTGAGGTGATAGACATGCACATATACTCAAAAAAACTAACTCGGGTGACTATCTTCAATAAATTTTAGTATGCCTGTTTATATTATTTGCTGGGCTTTAATCTTTTCAATTAGAATTTGTTTTCTGCCTGGTGTTTCTTGGTCTCAAAATAGTGATATCAATCCATTGTAAAGGAGTTCAGTAGCTTATCATTCCAGTTATTTTAGAGTTCAGTGAGTAGTTATTCCAGTTAAGGCAGTTTTATGAGAGTTCAGTGAACCACAGTAGCCCACACAGAATCACAGGGGGTGATGGCTTCCATTAATGGTACTTGCCGAGTGATGAATCATGGGAAGAAACCACCCCCCTGCCAGCAGCCCCATTTTCAGTAATATGCAGGGGGGTGATTGATTCCATTTACGGTACTTGCTGAGTCACTCTGCAAAAAAAACGGAGTTGTTCTTCTGATAGCTAGGTATTCTGTGGTTTTAATGATGTCACCTTCTAGCTTCTAAAAGCAAAATAGAAGCTTGATGCATGAAATAAATATTGGTCCATGTGATTTTTTTTCAAGTTTAAATAAAGCATTAATATGAAGGCAGGTATTGGTGTCATGATATTAGCCTCTTGTGAAATGACGTAATACATAAGTAGCCCTTCATGAAAAAATTGATAGTCACATTGTTAAAATCTCAGTTACTTTCTATGTTCGTCTGTTTCTCTGGAGATGGTGCACAATGTGTATGTACAAACGCTTTTTGTTTGCATTTTATTTGTCGAATGTTCTGGAAAGTATCATGTATTGTCAGGATATTCAATGCAGTAGACTTTATGTTCAGAAAAATAGGAAAGATGCTCGAAGACTTTGAGCAATTTAAAATCAAGTATTTTTCCCATTGTTATGAGCAGAACTGATGCGCAGATCCGCAAACGTTGGTGTAACTTTTTGTAATTGTAAAAAGGGAGCAAATGTGATATTCTTAAGATTTCTCCGAGTTTATTCATGACGTTTGAGATACTGACGCTTAAAGATTGCCCAAAAAGTGAAATTAACAGCAAGGGTTTTTTACTGGCTTATTGCATCACACTTAATTCAGGCATATCAAATCGGGTGCCAATATTCGGCATCTTAAAAATGCATCAATATTTCGACAATGAAAATTAAACGTTTAGTCATTTCACGATATTTCATTAAGAACTTTGCTATTAATAAGTATTCATTAATGACAATACTTTTGTGTCATATTCTTCTCATATTTGTGCAAGTTGTTCATTTTAGTTGAACTGAAATGAATTTATTTCAGGCATTCGACATCGATGTTCGTTAAGACTTAAGTGCTAAGTTATTGCGCCTGTCATATATATTTGACAGAACTCCGCGACCTTAGCAAAGATCAACCGCATTTGGGCTCAGATTGTAAAAGAAATATCTGAAAAAAGTTGGAGGTTTTTAACTTAAATTTGAGTGAAGTGTAAAATGTGTAAAACTCGATGCGAAATGTAAAAATGAGCACTTCTCGATTGCTATTACAATGCGGAATACACGACTGTTTAATATCTTAAAGGAAGCATGTGTCAATATTTAAATAATTGCTTTCCGACTCTTAGTTTTAACAATAAACAGCGGCAAAACTCTGTGTTAGAAAAAGACGTATAGATAGATTTCAACGTTTTTCGGATGGAACTGCGTTGAACTCCAAGCCAAGTGTTGTCGTGTAAAAGAGTCTTTGCACAATAGCGTGAATTAACCTCTGAACTGAGTACTTAAAACAATATTGTATATTTGAATCAATATATTAATCGCAAAGTCAATGTCAATGACAACCATGTTTAACAAAACGTTGAATTTTAATTATGCACAGACGTTCAGCAAATATACTTGTGTTTTAACATATTCGTAAACATACCGCCTCTAAAAAACGGTGTAAAATAACCACAAACGGGCAGTTCAATTGCTTTCGCAAACTCGAAGTGATATTGTCGAATGTGTAAGCCTATAAGGATATAATGAAAAATATCGTGCTTTTTGCGTTGCTGAAGTTATTGGTAGTCAGTGCTGTTGAAAGATCGACTCACGATGCATTTAAAACGGATAACTCAGGTGGCTATGGAAAATTGACCGTAAATAATACAAGATTATCTGGGGAATATGAAAGAGTTAAAGATGTGAAGGGGGTTTTTGCAAAGCGTAAGCTGCTAAGAGCTGGCCATCAAAAGTTGTCTGATCTGACCGGAATAAATTTCAGAATCGGGAAGTTCGCGGATCATTACTCGAGCAATACTTTTGGCAAAGTATTCGTCCGGAGTGTGGGAAGCAAAAGCGTGCTTTCTTTGGCGAGGCAACCCGAAGCGAGGACGGTTTTAAAGAGATTTCGAAAGGATACCGCAGAATGCGATGAAGCCTCGCTTTCCTGTCGAGATTGTTGCGCTCAAAACCCAGTTAACTGCACGAAAGACGCAATGCTTTGTCGTTGCGATCCGAACTGTGCATTCTACAACGATTGTTGTTCGGACTACGAGTCGTTTTGCGGAGAAAAACGGAAGATTTCATTTCAAATTAGTCGCAAAGCGATGTCCTGTGTTAAACTCCGCCACGTTAGCATGAGAAGCAAGTACATGAAGTTCTGGATGGTTGACAAGTGCCCGACAGACCGACGAAGCGACGAAGCATCGCGAAAATGTGCGATTGCTGACGAATCGACGACGGACGTGGAAAATCTACGTATCCTGGTTCCCGTTGTCGGCGAAAATAACCTCACTTTTCGCAACGAATTTTGTGCGAAGTGCAACGATATTGAAATTCGCGATTCATTTGGCTTCGATGTGAAGTGCTTCGTCAATCCACCTTCATCAATCAACTCGCTTGCGGAACTGTTGAAATTCGCTTCGAAATATTGCACTCTCGGGGGCATCTTTAGAAAAGTTGTTCATCAATCCGTACGCGAATGCTATCTAGAATCAAAGATCCATCGATGTGATGGAAGTTCACCCAAATGGGACGATAAAAGCGATGAAGAAGGATCAATATCGTCCGGACCACCTGCTGGAAGCATGGCTTCGCATGTACCGCCGTTCACTCTCCTGCTTCGTTTGTCAAAAGGTGCTTTTGTGTCCGAAGTTCAAACACCAGAATGCCCTATTCATAAAGGGCAATTTTACGATCCCTATCTTGATATTTGCCGTACTGGTGAGGCTATAAGACCTCCTGTTAAGCGAAACATTGACAAATACGACGTCGTCGTTTGGTTTGCTGTGACCGAAGTGGCGTTCCCTTCTCTGAAGGAAGTCGCATCCTCCCTGGCTCAAACATTCAACCTCGAGCGCTCTCAAATGACAACAATGAAGATTATACCGCTTGAATCGCCTCGTGTGCAGGTTGTACGTTTCACCCTTCAGCTGTCAAACGAACAGACTTTAAACTTGGGGAAACAAACAACGAGCCTGGCCATTTCGCCTTTCCAAAATCAATCGAAAATTGTGACAAATGTTCTTCCGCTACGAAGGCTTCTTTTCTTCTCGGGGGAATTCAACCTGACGCTTTCTAAAAAGAACCACAGTTCCTCGAATTCCACGTCCTATGTCTACGCAACAATCACCGTTTTCAAAACAGCATCCCGTTCGCTCGCTTGCATCCGAAAACAAACTTATTCACCTGGTAGATATACTTCAGTCGAGAACGGTAAATATTATTACATCAACTCAACCGGCAAGACATTTGCCAAAAACAAAGTGTTTTTCGAAAATGAAAGTATTTCGATTTGCGAACAGGTCGTATTCTCGAACTGTGTTGGAATTAGAGTGAATCTTACTTCGGAGGAATACGTGAAGTTTGATAATTTGAGCATCTTTTACAACAGAACAAACACCGTGTATGATTTTGGAGAATACGATATAGAAAATGGGCAGATTTTCATGTGTGTTCCTCAGGTTTTAAGAAAGTTAATCTTTTGGACTCCCAAAGATGGTTTCGTTGTGGAGACGTATTTGACTATTATTTGTCTTTCTTTGTCTTTGGCGGGTTTATATTTGGTCATTCAAACCTACCTCGTGTTTCCAGAGCTCCGAAATCTCCCCGGTAAAAATCTTGTGAGCTTATCAATTTTGCTATTCCTGGCGCAATTGTTTTGGTTGCTTCCCGACCGTTATTACCCGTCGCTGCTTTGCCACATCATCGCGGTCGTTAAGCATTACCTATTTCTAGCAACATTCGTTGCTATGGCAATAATTGCGTGGCACACGCATACGGTGTTCATTTGCAAACATGTCGGAGAGAAGCCGTCCGCGAAAGAAAGCGATAGAAGAAAATTTCTCAAATATTCGGCGATCGTTTGGGGTCTTCCCGCCATTTTTGTGGTCACGTGTGCGGTGCTCGAGAAAGAAGACATCTACGCAGTTTATGTTAATGAAGCGTGGTGTTGGTTTGATAATGAACAAGCGCAAACCTATCTATTCATTCTTCCTATTGGCCTTCTTCAATTCTTCAACATCATTTTCTTCTGCTTAACTGTGTTTCGTATTTACCGTGTTCGTTCGAATACAAGGTCCGCGTGTGGGTTAACTCAAAGCCATAAGACGCTGCTCTGGATCTACCTCAAGCTGTCGTCTTTGATGGGCTTTAGTTGGTTGTTTGGTTTCATATATCTGCTCGTCGAGCACCCAGTCTTCTCATATTTGTTCGTGATTTTCGCCTCACTCCAGGGCGTCTACATCGCCTTTGCATTCGTGATGAAGAAAAGAATTTGGAAGAAATACATGAAATTACTAGGAAGGAATGTTTACATTCCTGATTATCGATGTACTCTGGTCGAAAACTTAAATAACAGCAAAGAGACTAGAGTTTGAACAATGATAGATGTGAGATAGAAGTTGTAAGAAAGCAGCTTGATAGGTCGGGGGGGGGGACATATTAGGCACTGGAGACGCGGTTACACGCCAGGGGAGTATTTGAAGCTTATAACATATATGGCTTATAACTTGTTCATGCACAATGATGAATAATGACAGAAAAAATATCTTGTCATCTTAATATTTGTGAATAGCAGCAACCGAAAATCTATCGTACCCCAAATTCCCTCATTTTTCCCAAATACCCCTGATTTTTACAGTCAAACTGAATATTGTAATATTGAGATCAATATTAGAAAGTTCATTGGCTAATTGCTCCATAACTATGAAACTTGCAATCGAAGCACGCATGTTCTCTTGTAAGTTCCAACTGTGAATTACTGAATTAGTGCTAAGTTCCGATTATAAGAAGCTATCGATTCTTTAAACTGTACAAACTTGCTTATTTTGGCTTATATTAATTTTTTATATTCTTGCTTTTCCCTAAAATTTCGCCTTTGCTATATGACAATTAGAATTTCATAGCGACTGCCGGTCGAAACTTATATTCGTATATATGAATTTTGCAACATTCAAAGGAACCCAACATTCGGTTTCATTTAATATTTTATTTTAAAAAACATGAACATGGATGCTTTTGAGGTTTCAAAACGTTTTTGTTATTGAAAATGTTAGTACTGTTGCATGAAGTTTTATAAACCTGAAGTGAGGGAGATTCGGCGATATCTAAATATGAGGTATACTACTTTAAAATATCTCCATTTAAATTAATCAATCAATCTCGGCATCTTGGCTCTATATTCAATCATGGAGTTTCATTCAGTTAAGAGTTATCAACAATGGCCCGATTTATACTAGAGACGGATTATTCGTCTGGACGAATGATCCGTCTGAGAGATGGAACGTCTGAGTAGACACACTATATATGTATATATAGACGAATATGTTAATAAACATAAGACACACTATAGGTATACACGAATATGGTAACTCAACTTTACTGTTAAGCGAAACAGAATCACGCGTTTATAGAAAGTGCATGCACGGGAATATTGGGAACACGGATGTGCATAGCAGGGAAATTATTTCTAAAGAGTGCACAAGAGCCGTTTTATGATGAATTTTCCGTAGTTCGTCAACTTCGTCCCAACGCCGTTAATTATAATAACAGACTTATGATGCGTCAAGACGAACTACTCATTCAAATTCGGATGATCCGTCTGTTTGACCGTGTTAACACGCCTTGAATTCTTGTGTTGTTGTCTATAATAGCTCATATCTTGAGTTTACAAGATGTCATTTTTCGGAGTATGTTTTTTCTTGCGAGGTGAGGTCGGGAAACTTTCAACCTCACTCGGTGCGTTAATCACGGACACACCGAACCTGCAAGTATGTTTAATTTTTTACCTCATGCATTTTTGGGAAAAAGTGTTCAGAACGTTACGCATGCTAATCCAATAGTATACTACAATCTAATAATAATGATAAATAGTTCAATTCATGCAATGAAATACAATTACTAAGTCCTAGTTAATTGATTATTTAGCATCAACCAATCAGACATGGCCTTGGGAGTTGTACTGCTTAGGTAAAAAGAAACATGCATATTGCAAGTGCATTACAATCTTGTTTCCCTGTGCGTTCTGGGGGTATTTTCACCAACGTTCTGTGGTTTAACTTTCAATAATTTCATATACAATTTCCAAATTCTTCTGTTCACATCACAAACGCGAGAGTGATGTAGACACCTTGAAGGGGGCTGAAGATTAAAGTGCATGGATTAAACCAAACAACCAACTGAAGCCCATCAAAGAAGACAGCTTGAGGTAGATGCAAAACATTGTTTTCCTCTGTTGATCTGAGGCTGAGCGGATTGATCTTGTGCTGGAGTGAGTGCGGTTAATACGAAAAACAGTTAAACCAAAGAAAACGGTGTATATATGACAATAACAGTTACAATCTTGTTTCTTCGCGTTTCTTAAAGTTTTTTGACAATTCTTTGTTAGTACCGGGTTTGCGTTTTTTAGTATTTATTTTCAATAATTTCGCGTACATTTTCCGAATTCTTTTCTTCATCACGAAAGCGAGAGCGATGTAGACGCCTTGGAGAGAAGAGGAAACCACGAACAAATACGCGAAGACAACAGTTGACGAACCCACGAGCAGATGGACGAAACCAAACAACCAACTGAAGCCCATCAAAGAAGACAATTTGAGGTAGATCCAAAACATTGTTTTTTTCCGTTGATCTAAACGGGCTGATTTTGTGCTGGAGTGAGTGCGAAACACAGTTAATGTAAAGAGGACGATGTTGAACAGCTGGAGTAGTCCGAGTGGAAGAATGAAGAGATATTTGTGTGGTTGTGGATTGTCAAACCAACACATCAGGTCATTAACATAAACCGCGTATATTTCCCTTTCGTCCACGACTGCACACGTGACCACGAGAATGGCGGGAAGACCCCAAACGATCGCCAAGTACTTGTAGAATTTTCTTTTTTCGCTTTTCTTCATTTCTCTGTTTTGGACAGGAAGTTCCTCTGTGGTAAACACTAAGTATGTGTTCCACGCAATTGCTGCCATGGCAACGAATGATACCAGGAACAGGTAATGCTTTAAGACCGCCGTTACATGACATAGCGTCGGTGGATACCGCTGGTCTGGAATCACCCACAACAATTGCGCCAGGAATAACGAAATTGATAAACTAAGAAGGTTTTTACCAGGAAGATTGCGGAGCTCGAAAAATATTAGATAGGTTTGAATGACAAGAAATAGACACGCCAGCGATAATGACAAACAAACCAAAGATAAATATTCTTGGACAACTACAGACGTGCTTATTCTCCACTTGATTTGCTTGGGTGGATTTTCAAGACTACACATGAAAATCGTTTCGTTTTGAATCCTGTACTCGCTTAAGTTGTAAGCTGTGAAATTTTTCGCGTTGACTTCAGCGCAAGTTAAGAAAGCAATTTGTTCGCAAACCGAAATGGTTTGATTCTTCGCAGGAGCTCCTTCGATAAGCACTCGATTTCTTGGAAGCCTTTCGCCTGTCGAATTGATGTAATAATGCTCTCCGTTTTCAATCGAAGTATAATCATCTTGTGAATAGGTTTTCTTCTTGACACAAGCTTTCCTTCGCGATAGAGTTGCATTGACTTGAGAAACTGACTCGTTGCCAGACAAGAAAGTTGTGTTAAACACAGGAAACGTCTCGTTTTGAACAAAGAAATACTTTGTCGAGAAATCATGGAAAAAACGGCTCTCTTCAACATAAGTTTCTCCTGGTCGGCATTCCTCTCTTTTCAATTCCGCTTCTTCTGGCATGGCGATGGTTTCAAGGAAGCTTGAGATGAGAGATTCATCCACATCTTCATCGTCCAAAACATCGAAATCATTTTTGTCAGTGAACTGAATCACGGAAGAGGTATTTTTCACACTCTGACAGACGTGAATTATCCTTTCTGTGTTTAATTGAACACAAGTCAGTGAAATGCTCCTCTCACAAGTCGAAATGCTTTCGCCGGAAAATGTGTCCTGTTGGAAAAACACTCGTTTCCGTGGAATCTTTTCCCCGGTTGATTTAATGTAGTAATACTGTCCGTTTTCTTCCAATGTGTAGTTAGCGTGGAAATGCGTCTGTTTTTTTAAGCAAGCGATTTTAGGACTGGCGTTCTGTACGAAAGTCATCTTTTCTCCAACAATGAAGAAAGGCTTCTGGCATTTGCTGAAATTCTCGTTATAAATTTCTCCAGTTTTGCATTGTTTTTCATTTTTCATTGTTCCCCTTTGATTTTCTATTAGTTCGGCGTTCTTTCTCGCACGCAACACTAAGAACAGTTCCGGGTCTGTCTGCCGTCCCACAGTGCTTGCAGCTTCACGAAACCTCACGTAAATCACTTCGGAATCGTATATATCACGGCACACATGCAAAACTATATCCGTAGATAGACTTATTTGTTGGCAATACAAATAAATCATCGATCTGCAAACAAAAATCGTCTCGCTCCCGACCGAATCCTCGTGGAAGAACACTTGACTTCTGTGGAATATTTCGCCAGTTGGATAAATGTGATAGTATTCTCCCTGTTTTGTGGCATTGTAGTGACCTTTTGTGTAGGACCGCATCTGATTGCATACATATGAACCAAAAAAAACGGAAACAGTAGCATTTCCGGCGAAGAGACGTTTGCGAAATTTCTCCTCATCTGATCCACTCTTTCTTCCGTAAGACTCGTTTGAAGCACTCTGGCAAACATGAATCGCTACAGCTACAGCTACGATCAACAACAACGGCAACCTTGTACCCAGGGCCTTTCGTAGGGGAAAACATCCAACCTCCGTCAGCAACGGTGCATTAATCATTGTACAGAAATACCCGTCTTTTGCCTTCAACATTCACCGATTTATGCATAGAGTTGAACTACTTGCATCTTCTGAACTAAGCTTATGTGATAAACACTATATTTATATGCACTTGCTTTCCAATTATGCAGATTTCGCCGCGCGGAAGTCGTTAGGTCCCCCACGTTACACTTAATTTGATGTTGCGCTGAAATTTACAAGTTTTATGAGCGCCGCTCGTTTCATTTTCATCCTGCACCCAAGACTCCCAAGTGTCCTGTAGTGTTCGAGAAAAAAGAGAGTGGGCTGCACTTTTCGGCCTAGTTTCATCTGCGGGGCTTAAAGGGTTTCAAACTTGGAATGGGGTTTGCCTTGTCAGATGGTTTCATTTTTGTCTCGCAGTCAAGACTTGAATGTCAAGTGCCCTGTATTGCTCGCGTGGGCTGCACCCTTTAGCCTGGTTTGATGGGTCTTTAGGAAGGAACTGGGCTTTTAGGAAGAAAGAAATTATAGAGAAAGTATATTTTTCTCCCCATAACTTTTGACTGTGTAAATTTTCCCTTCATTCTGGTTCACTGCACAGCCCTGGTGGTAATGGGGATTATGGATAAGTTTGACACTTCTTGTATTATTAGGAAGCAGCCGTACATTATAGCAACAATATAATTGATACTTTTATAGCATAGACACTTTATCGTGTCTATGCTATAGAATTCACTTCCACAGCGTGTCTAAAAAGAATATCCCTCGCTGTATGGCATATGGCGATATCACGTAACAAAGCCAGCCCGTTTACCCTATACCAGATTTGCATAGTCGTGACATCAAAATTAACCATGTCAAAGTGAGTTTTACCGACAAAAGTATGATAGCATGACTGCTTTTAACATGATCTGCCAAATAAAAAATTGTG